TTTCGTAAGGTAGAGACAATCCAGACTACTCGAGAGCAGACTGTACAAACACTTCAAGACATTCCAATCAATACCTGTGCAAAATTGCTGATTCCCACTGTTCCAATACCATTCTCTGTGGTTATCCATTCATGTTTCTCTGTGAATTTACGCACTAAAACAGAAGACCAGCATTTCAGAAAAGCAGCATCACTTCTTCAATAGCCCTTCAAACGCCATTCTGTCAAAAGCTAAGACCTCCCCAGGACTGGTGACTGACTACTGACATTGCCTTGCAGCAGTCTGATGCCCAGTAAAGAACAACAATGTGTAAAGACAGGGCGTTTTTAAAACAAAGGAATTTTGTAAAAATTGGTTTTTATGTATGTGAGGGTTTTACCTGCATGTATGTATGTGTACTACATGTGTGCAGAGTCCATGGAGGCCAGAAGAGGATGACAGAATCCCCTGAAACTGGAGTTAAAGATGGTGGTGCTGGGACCCAAACCCAGGACCTCTGGAACAGCAACTAGTGCTCTTAACCACAGAACCACCTCTCCAGCCCTGAGAGCACATCTTAAATGGAACACCTTGTACATCCCTGTGCTTATTTGTTTTAACATCAGTCTAAATCACTCAAAAAAAAATTTCAGGGTATATTTCCTGAGTTCATTCTATGACTATAGGTCTGTCTTAAAGACCTCTATTCTTTGGAAAACAGGCTTGAGGTAATGGGTTTGGGGAGGCAGCATAAAGAAAATGATGTATGCCAGGAAGAATACAGCTGACTCCTCTGAAATACCTGGGCTGAAGTGGGAAGATTGCAAGTTCAAGGGCAATCTGTAAAGTTTAGCTGGACACAGTGGCATACGCCTGTAACCCAGCACTTAGGAGGTTGTAGCAAGAAGATCAAGAGTTCAAGACTATTAAGGTGGCTGAAGAGATGGCTCAGCAGTTAAGAGCTACACTTCCAAAGGAACCTGGTTCAATTCCCAGCATCCACATGGTGGCTCATAACCATCCTTAACTCCAGTCCCAGGGGATCTGACTCCCTCTTGTGGCCTCTACAGGCACTGCATGCACGTGGTGCACAGATATAAACACAGGCAAAATACCCATATATAAAAAGATAAATAGTAAAATAACATTAAGACGATATCAAAAAACAGGAAACAGCCGGGCGGTGGTGGCTCACGCCTTTAATCCCAGCACTCGGGAGGCAGAGGCAGGTGGATCTCTGTGAGTTCGAGGCCAGCCTGGACTACCAAGTGAGTTCCAGGAAAGGCGCAAAGCTACACAGAGAAACCCTGTCTTGAAAAACCAAAAAAAAAAAAAAAACCAGGAAACAATTTTTGAAGGAATGAGAATGCAGCTCAGTAGATGATCACTTGTCTATCATGTAGGGCTGTGGTTCATTCCACTAATGGGGGAGGGGAGTTGATTTACACAAGGCACAGTGACCTGCAACTGTTAATACTGGGAAGGCCAAGGCAGGAGATCATTTGAGTATGAGAGTTTAAGGGAGCTTGGGCAACACAAGACCCTGTCTCAAAAGAAAAGAGGAGGGCTGGAGAGATAGCTCAGAGGTTAAGAGCATTGGCTGCTCCTCCAGAGGTCCTAAGTTCAATTCCCAGCAACCACATGGTGGCTCATAATCATCTGTAATGAGATCCAGTTCCCTCTTCTGGCCTGCAGGCAGAACACTGTATAGATAATAAATAAATAAATCTTAATATAAAAAAAGAAAAAGAAAAAGATTTGAAGCTGGAGAGGTGACTCAGCAGTTAAGAGCATGTGTTCCTCTTTTTTTAATATAATTTATTTTTATTGTATGTGCATTGGTGTTTTCCTGCATGTATGTCCATGTGAGGATGTCAGAACCCCTTAAATTGGAGCTACAGACAGTTGTGAGCTGTCGTGTGGGTCCTCTATAAGAGCATCTCTCCCACATGTGTTCCTCTGGCAGGGGACCTGGGTTCAGTTTCCAGCACTCACTTGGTGGCTCACGACTGCCTGTAACTAGTTTCTGTAAATCTGATGGCTCTCTTCTGACCTCCAAGGGCACCAGGCACACATGTGGCACACAGACATGCATGCAGGTAAAACACCTATAACATATATCCTTTAAGACAGAAAAACCAGCCAGACGTGGTGGTACATGTAGCCTTTTATCCTAGCACTCAGGAGACAGAGGCAGGTGGATCTCTGTGAGTCTGGTCTACAGAGTGAGTTCTCTCCAAAGCTACAGAGAACCCTGCCTCGAAAAATGAAAAGTAACCTAAAGAAGACAATGTGACTCTTAAGGTAGAGTTGGCTAAGGATACTGCAACTTAGTTCTAAGGACTGAAATGAACTCCTATAACAACTGTAACTTAGCCAAGTTCTTAGAATTCTTCAATCATTTAAGCCTGTCCTAGAAGAAAATGGTTACTGTTGTTCAAAGAAGAAAACTAGGGCCTGAGCTCAGTGGAAGAGTGCTTGTCAAAGCCTTGGCTTCAGTTCCCAGCACACTACAAAATAAAGGAAAAGGGGTTTGGGTCAAAGATGATGTACAGCTATGTGGCTGCTGCACTCAACTTTCTTTCTCAACAAGTCTAGAATTCACTGACTACATCACCAATCATGAGCAGGTCAAAACCAGCAGAGTGTCTGTCTGACTGTAAGGAGTGGACAGTTACAAATATGTGTCACCCTGCTAATATCGAGTGTCGCTACTCTGGCCTCAGTTTTGCAGCTGAGCCAGCACACCTAGGTCCACTTGACTTCAAAGTCCGTATCATCCTTTTAGACCAGGCAGGCCGCTGAGGCTGACCACAACAGGGTCCCGGTTCTCCATTAACCCTTGACCGGACTCAGAAACAAAGCAGATTAGGTAAATAATTAGTTTTCTTCCTAAGACTTGAAATACACGGTTTGAGGCCTGGGGATGCAGCTTAGTTGGTAGGTCGCTGCCTATTACTGAGGTAGCTCTGGGTTCAGTCCCTAACACTGCATAAGCTGGGTGTGGTGGCGCTGGCCACCATTATCTCAGCAATGTCAGGAGGATTGGAAGTTCAAGGTCGTCCTCAGCTACACAGGAATCTTCCAGCTGAGCTTAAGTGAGATCATGCCTCAGAGAGCAGAAACAAAACCCACCTTGGTTTGAGGCCTCAGAAAAACTCAGCTGTAACTGAGGGAAGCCTTTCATTCCCTTCCTTTCACTTCTCAAATACAATCTATTTTCTCTAATATGGACTGGTGTTTGCTGTGTGTATGTATTGTTATGTAATACACGCTACTATAACATCAGTCTGTGTTTATGTGTCAAGTTGCAGGTGACAGGACCTTAATTCAGTTCTTCCTCCCAGTAACTGAGGAAGCTATTGTCTCCACTGCTCTAATGCAGGACACTCAGGTTCTGAGACGTAGAGGGACTGTGCCCAAGACCTCACAGCTCTAAGAGGAAGAACCAGAATTGAGTAATGTCTGTGCGCTTTTCCAAGTGCAGGCTCTGCACCCTGCAAAATAAGTGTGTAAAATTCTGCCAGTTAAAAGAGGGTAAAAATTAAAACCTGAGTAGTTAAGCAGACCATGGGAATTGATATTTTGGGCAATATTTAACTAAATACTGGAACTCCGTATGTAGCTCAAGCTGGCCTCGGCCTCAGTGATCCTCCACCTTAGCAGTGCTTACACTGTTACAGGTGGGAGCCACTCACATACCTGGTTTGAAATGGAGTTCTTATTTGTACTCCAGTCAATAACACACTGATGTGTCACAGACTAAATAGAGAAATGTTAGCAAGAAAGGAGCAAACTTTGCACTCCACACTGAGGAACACCGTGATCGACATTTTGAGCTCGCACAGATTTCTGACCCAAGAGCCTTGCTGAGAGCAGCCGTTCAGATTTGTGCTGCCTGAATAGAGATCGTAAAAAGGGCAGTTAGGGGCTCCACTATTTGCGCATAAAGAAAGAAAACTGTTTCCCAACTAACTGTGCGAACGCGTATAATGGGCAGGTCTCCCAGTTATTTCCAGTCCGTCAAATTAGCCTCTTTTCAGCCCCAGTACACATCAATGACTCCATTACAGACGTTAGCAGAACTTCTCTGAAATCTAGAACACTTTTCCTTGCCTTTCTGTAGTTCACTGCTGAATCTTCAATGCCTTGCTTGCTTTGCGGACGGGTAGTAAGAAGCTTTTTCATTTCTGCACTTTGACTTTTCTTTCGTTTATCTGTGCGTGCACTCAGTGCTAAATTTTAGCAAGTGCTTCTGTTTGACTTCACTTCGCAGTTCCCCGTTATGGTTCACTTAGTTAAGCACTCCACATTCGGGGTCTCTGTCCACCCAAATGTAAGCCACTCCTGCACGAGTGGCCGGCTTACCTGCCGGTCCAGCCGGCCTTCCCTCCCAGCTCCACCTTTTTACCCCGGGTACAAAGTTTGCTCGTGTCCTCTCGCGCCTACTTCAAGAGGGAGAAAGGCCTCAGAATCAGGATCCCAAGAGTGAGAAGCAGTGCGGATAGGGCTGCAGCTCGCTCGGACCGGGAGGCTTGGTTGTGGGTCGCCTGACGTCCCCCGGCTGCTCGGCCGTGAACAGGAGCCGTGAACAGGAGCCGTGACCACGTGCCCCCCACTTACCCGACAGCACAGCGGATCCAGTGCTCAGCGCGCGGACGGCGAAGGCACTCGGCACCCAGGGCCGTGGTGGGCAAGAGGCCAGGGCGGTGCGCAGGCTGCAGGCCACGGCCCGCGCGCTCCTAGCCACTCGCAGCGACATGATCGGGGGTTCCTAGGGTAACCGCACTGCGCCTCCGCCACCGGGCAGGCGGTAACCGGGTGGGCCGGAGTAAGCGGAGCACCGAGCCCGGGGCGGGGCTCGGGCTAGACGCACTCTGATTAGACAGCTCGAAGGTCCCACTTCGGATAGGACGACCCGCGCGAGGGGTGTGTCCCTGTGGAAGAGCTGAAGCCCGGATGGGGCTGTGTGAGGGGCGTGGAAATGACTGGGCGGAGAGGAGGCGGGGCCTCGCCTTAGCCTCGCACTAAGACTGTGAGCTTGGGAATGGAAATACTGAGTTAACAGTCTGTGCATTTCCCTAAACTGCATCACCTCAGTGGCCAGGGAAAGACTCCAGCAAGGATGGCTTTGCTGGGCTAACGCAGTATCATGCCATTAAGCCAAAAAGTCCTAGGGAAGATGAGGTGCCGCTAGGCCCTTTAAAGCATACAGTTAGGCCTATCTGCACAAGGTCACTCCCAAGGGGATTCATTTCATCTGAAGACCAGTCAGTGCTAGGCATTGGACAAAGTCACTCTGACACAGATCATATGCGGTTTTTTGGCTTTTTGGTTGTTTGGTTGTTTGGTTTCTCTGTTTAGTCCTTGCTGTCCTGGAACTCACTTTGTAGACTAGGCTGGCCTTGAACTCAGAGATCCGCCTGCCTCAGCCTCCTGAGTGCTGGGATTAAAGGCGTGTGCTACCACCGCCCAGCCTTGTATGCATTTTTAAATGCTGAAAATAACCCAGCCGCTTTATCAGTTTACAGATCCCAACTGGGTCAGAGACTCTTAGCCCCAAGGGAAAGAGAGAATCATGCAGTTTATGTGGGCCTAGTACTATCTGTGATCACAGCTGCTGAATGAACCTGGGTCCTCTGCAAGAGCAGCAAGCACTCTTAACCACTGACTCCTCAGCCCCCTAAGATTTTTAATATCTAGCTAGAAAGTAGGAGTTGTCCATCCTCAGGGTTGATTATCAAGTCAGAGACCTCCATTCCTTACCAGCATCAACCTGGCTTCTCTAAACTCTTCACTGTCAAGGGAAATGGGTTGCCATAACCAAGACAAACCAGGATTTACCTTGTGGTGGCTGCAGAAGTCCTGTGGGAGAAGGGGGAGAGGGCTCCCTGAAAAAGGGTCAGTTTCCCTTAGTCAAGAGGAAAGCATGGGATGGGTCTGGGGCAGGGAACCCCCAGGGTCTCTACAGTGGATTCGGGAAAGAGGGAGGGGCAAGACATACTAGAAGCTGTGCTGGATGCTCACTCCTGGCTGCTGGTGAGGAGGAGGTAGGAGCGAGACAGACTCCCTCGTAGGCAGACAGGGATAACAAAGGTGGTTAGCTTCCACGGTGGCCATCCTCTTCCTCACCCTCCTGACCTGAGACAAAAGGCTGGCAACTTAAAGGCCTTGTGGGCTTTCTCTCCTGCCAGCAGGGCCCCCTGCGCAAGGACTGGCTCAGTAAGTTCAAGGCCACATCAGGATTCATTGACACAGCAGTTGTGGGCCAACCAGTCAGCCTGGCTTTCTTCAAACTGACCAACCCTTACAGGGAAGCCGCTTCAGAGACAAAAGCAAACAACAATAAACAGCCCTCCAGAAGAGACTGGAATCCCCCCTCTGCTTTACAAAGGGTCTTTTTTTTTTCTGTGCTTTTGCTGCATGCCTGTGTCCCCCTCCCCAACCCCAATAAAAAGCCTTTCTTCAACTGCTGATTTCTGTTTGCTCCTGTTTGCTGTGTTCAAGAGTTCTCAGATGCCACCTGTAGAGACTGCTTCCTGCTACTTAATTATTTAGCAGTGAAAACAAAACCAATCAAGACCGGGCGGTGGTGGCACACGCCTTTAATTCCAGCACTCAGGAGGCAGAGACAGGAGGATCTCTGTGAGTTCAAGGCCAGCCTGGGCTACCGAGAGAGTTCCAGGAAAGGCACCAAAACTACACAAAGAAACCCTGTGTGTGGTGGGGGACCCCAGAGGAGCTGGATGTGGTAGTGCACAACTTTGATCCCAGCATTTGGAGGCAGAGGCAGGCTGATCTCTGAGTTCAAGGTCAGCCTGATCTACAAAGAGAGTTCCGGGACATCCAGGGTTATACAGAGAAATCTTATCTCAAGGAAACAAAACAAAAACAAAACCCTAGAGAGTAATAGTGCTCCTCCTGGTTTGTGGTTTTTGTTTGTTTGTTTTGGCTTGGTTTTTGGTTTTCTGAGACAAGGTTCCTGGCTGTTCTGAAACTCACTCAGTAGACCAGGCTGGCCACGAATTTACAGAGATCCATCTGCCTCTGCCTCCCGAATGCTGGGATTAAAGGCGTGTACCACCACCGCCCAGCACTCTTCCTGATTTTTAAGTCGCTCAATTTGTCATTCTTGGTCCCAGAAAGCTAACAGGACACCTATTAGCATTTGGAGAAGTTTTGGGAATCATTCAAAGGCAACTATCAATGATCAAACTGGTGAATTAATCGTTCCGAAGAGAATATTCTTTTCCACACATGTGTGTTTTATTTCTAGGAGGAAATACATTTGAACAAGCAGGCTCTCACACGGTGACACCATTATAAATGTATGTATTGTGACTATTTTACTACCGGAGTTCCAGAACTCCTCTATAGAAAGCAAAGCAGTCCTCCCGTGAGACTCCAGAGTCACTATTGGCAAGTGCAGGCTGGACGCTCTGGCCTTCTCCCACATGTGGTTATACAGTTTAAATCCGGGGCAAAGTTTGTGCTGGTTGAGGGGAGAGAGCCTGGGAGGATGGCTCTGGCTGCTCATTGCTGCTCTGAGGCTCTTCCCTTTTATATCTGACACCCAAAAAGCTGAGGATTTTCATCAGGAGCAATTCCGCAATCTCTCCTTCCTCTGACAGCTGCAAGAAGAAAGGACCAAGTGATATATCTGGAACCATCCCAAGATTTTACTGTCCCGGTCGGTCCCAGGGCTGAGGCTACTACGGCCTGATGGTAGAGTATGTGGCTAATGAGCTCAAGGCTCTGGGTTTTATCCTCAACACCAAAAACAAACAGAAGCAGCCTGTTGTTTCCAAGCCTAAAGTCACTAGGTTGTCCTAGGGTTGGGATGATGATATACTTCTGGGACTCCACCTCTACTGGGGTGGGCGGGGGCAGGGGGTGTTCTTCGTGTTGTCTCCAGTGGGCCCTCTTCCTCTGTGTTGAGCATGTCTGGGTTTTCCTAGCAGGGCTTTCCATCCCAAACTGGACAGAGAAACCTTGGCTGGTTACTGCACCTGAATTTAAGCACTGGACACCTTTCAGAGATGACTATCACCCACCTCACTCAGCCCTGCAGTGGGGCTTTTCCCGTGTTACCATTTCATTTCTGCCTCCTCTGCTGACCTCTCAGTCTAGCCCAGCATGGGAGGGATTAGGATATCTGGGGCATGAAGAACTGAACAGGTGTTTCTCACTATACCTTTCCCATACTTACCATAAGCGATAGATGGATGATAGGTAGGTAGGTAGGTGATAGGTAGCTAGGTAGCTAGATAGAAAGATACATAGACAGGGCTCTAAACTAAAGAAAAAGGCATTGTGACACACACACCTGTAACCTCATCCTTTAGAGGCTAAGACAAAATCCAGTCTGAGCTGCATATCACAATCCTGTCTCATTCATAAACAAATAAAGCAACCAAAAACAAATTGTAGGACATAAGAACGGCAGGCCATACTTAAAGACTGTAGGTAGAGCCACATAGACATGGTGGAACATGTCTATAATCCCAGCACTTGGGAGGCAGAGGCAGGAAGATCAGGAGTTCAAGGCCAGACTGAGATCCATGAAATCTTGCCTAAAACAAACAAACAGCAAAACTGTACATACATCAACAAAGCCGTCCTATTGGATTAGGGATCCAGAGTAACACCAATTACATCAACACCGACTACTCTCCAATATGGTCATATATGGAAGTAGTAGGACTTGGCATTTTGACCAAATGACCATTTTTTAGAGGACAAAATTTCAATTCATAACAGCTGCTAAGCCCCCTCAAAAAAGCTTCTTAGACAGTGAAAACATAGGCAATATTTAGTTGCAAAAGATTATGTAGGCCCAGTGTGGTGACACACACCTTAGATTCCATCACCTAGGAGGCATAGGCTGGTTGGTCTGTGTGTTACAAGGCCAGCCTGATCTACTTTTTTTTTAAAAAAAAGAGTGAGTTACTGATAGCTACCACGCCAGGCGGTGGTGGCGCACGCCTTTAATCCCAGCACTCGGGAGGCAGAGCCAGGCGGATCTCTGTGAGTTCGAGGCCAACCTGGTCTCCAAAGCGAGTTCCAGGAAAGGCGCAAAGCTACACAGAGAAACCTTGTCTCGAAAAACCAAAAAAAAAAAAAAAAAACAAAAAAACGGATAGCTACCACAACATGGATAAGCCTCAAAAATAGTGTCCTCAGGCTGGAGAGATGGCAGTTAAAAGCACTTGCTCTTCTTGCTGAAGACCCAGGTTCCATTGCTAGCACCCACACTGGGCAGCTCATAACCATCTGTAACTCCAGTTCCAGGGAATTCCAGTTCTGGCCTTCACAGGAACTCCAAGCAGTTAGTAGCACACATACAAACACACAGGCACACACACACACACACAATAAATAAATAGATAAAGGAATAAGTAGTAAATAAAATAACTGTCCTAAGAGGAAGCAGCCAGAGGCAATAGCACATTCATATATGATCCCATTTATATGAAGAATAAGTGAAAAAAGAGTGAGTTCACCTGGTCATATTTTTGTTCCTCACTGAAGGCCACCAGAATGACAGAGATAAACAGATTCAGTACCACAAATGTCATAAAAACTATGCAGGAGCCAATGAGGAAGGAGCCAAGAACTGGGCTGTAGTCCAGGACCTGCCAGGAAGAAAGCCCATCGTTCCCATCTCCTGTAGCCACCATCCCCCTGAGAACCCCTCAGCAGTCAATCAGGTCCTTTGAGCTGAGTAGAGTCAGGAAGATGCCCTGTGCCTGAGTCTGGGAGCATGGACTAAGCTCCTCAGAGCTGGCCCAGAACGGGTATCGGCTGCACCGCTGCCCATCACTGCTTCCTCTAAAAACAGGCACCATTTCTAGCTAGGGCTGGGAATTTCTGCAACCCAACATGGCCCTCCCCACGATCTGGTGTTCTTCTGTAAGCAGAAGCCCCCAGAGTAGGCCGTCTAAAGGAGGGAAAACAGTTTTATTGGTCTAGAGAAGCTCTGTGCTTCCCAGGCTCTGCACTACACCCGGGGTAGTACAGGGGAAGGGGGTCAGGGAGTGATTTTAACGCAGATTCTGCACAGATCGCAGTGGCCACGCCCACTCCCATCCCCCTCTCCCATTACCTCTTCGTAGTTGAAGATCCCCAGCTGCAGGCTGATCATTGTCTCCGCTGCATCAAAGAGGGTTTTGTAGGAACAGAGTTTCCAACCAAATATTAAGTTCGACTGTCACGGAAAGAGTCTTCATGAACAGGGAAAGAAAGTGCAAAGCCCCTCCCCTAGTCCTGCTGCCTGAGATCTTGACTGGGATATACAGAGGGGGTGAAGGACTAACATGGGATGCAGACAAGGACACATGGGCTGCTGGTACATATGGTCTGTGAGTGCTGGGAGGTATGAGACTGGACGAAGCTGGGGTGAGAGATGACCAAAGCAGGGCTAAAGGTCAAAGACAAAATGGCTACCCAGGACCGTGTTGGAAAATCATGGACCTATTGTGCCTCAGGGTTGGAATGTGCATTTGGATAGAGAGCAGGAAGAGGCCAGAAGCCTTTTTCTTAGTACTTGATAATAAGAAAGAGTTGAAAAAGGAAAAAGAAAAAAAAAAAAAAAAAGAGTTGAAGGGTCAGTGTTGGTTGTTGGCTTTTTTTTTTTTCTAGTGACAAACATGTTAACTGTCAACATGTAGTGTTAAGCAACTGAACGAAACAATATTGGCACTCCTGAGTCCAAGTATTTAGGTCTGCACTCTGACCTCTCCACCTCTGCCCGAGCTCAAGGAGAGGGTGGGCCAATTCATTCATGAGCACAGTAGGTGCTCACTGTTCATGCCTGGAAAGTAGCCATGAGGCTTCTAAGCAATTGGGGTATCAGAACTGGCCGCCTGAGCAGGGCCAGCTGTAGAAAGCAGCCCATCACGAGAGGCCACTGCGTCCTCCTGGTCTTGGACTTTGTGCTGCCTCACTCCTGTTCTACTGAGGTCCTGTCTTTGTTCTTGGAGGTGGAAATTTCCTAAGGTCTCAGCTAAGAGATCCTGGATTCACAAGCACTGTCATTTCCTTTGGAATCCCAGTCCCCCACTAACCCTGACTGTCCCCTTCACAGTACCAAGTAGCCTTACTTCCATCAAGACCTGCCCTGAGGTTTTCCCAAAGGAGGCACTCACTGCAATGGAATAAGCCAGGAGCATAATAAGGATGACGGTGACAAAGCCTGAAATGTCACCCCAGGCCCGGCGTAGTGCTGATGTGATCATGTTCATTTTGGGATTCAAGCGGAGCAGGTGCCAAAGCTTCACTGTGGACAGCAGGACCAGGAAGGCAATGATGTAACCAAGCACAGCATCAGTTGCTGCTGTCTCACTGAAACTGATCCCCCTGTGGGAACAACGGGAAAGCCCTCTCAGATACCAGCATGGCTGGAGTCCATCCAGACACAGGGTTATATTTACTGTGATATCTGAGGTCAACACGTCCTGAAATAGGTCTGGGACTAATTCCAGTGATGATGGTGGTGGTCATATCGAGGAGCATGTCGTTATTCTTGTTGGTGATGGTGGTGGTAAGAATGATAGTAGTGGATGTACCAATAAGATGGCTCAGTGGGTAAAAGTAATTTCCAGGCAAGCCTGGTCACCTGAGTGGGTTCCCAGAACCCATGTAAACGTGGGGAATGTGGAAGGAGAGAACCAACTTCTAAAACTGTCCTATGGTCTCCACACATGTGGAGACATGTTTGTGCCTACTCTCTGTCTGTCTGTCTGCCCCCCCCCCCCCCCGCCCCGTGTGTGTGTGTGTGTGTGTGTGTGTGTGTGTGTGTGTGTGTGTGTGTGTGTCTATCTCTCTCTCTGTGTCTCTCTCCTTCTACCCCCCCAATACTCATAAATAAAATATGCTAGATGTGGTGGTGATGCCTTTAATCCAGTATTTGGGAGGTAGAGGCAGGCAGATCTCTGTGTGAGTTCAGATCCAGCCTGGTCTTCAGAGTGAGTTCCAGGACAGCCAGGGCTATGTAGAGAGCTGCCTCAAAAAAACAAACAAGCAAAGTAAGTTAACAACTCAGTTAAAACAGAAGAATGATTATGGTGTCAGTAGTGATGATGACATTGGTGATGGTGGAGTGATGGAGATGTAGTAATGGTGACAACAGTGGTGACCAGGATGAAGGTGATGCTGTTGGTGATGGCGGTGATCATGATGATGAAGGGGATGAGAAGAGTGAGAGTGATGATGATAACAATGATGCTGAGAATGCTGAAAATGGTGACGATGATGCTGATGATGGTGATGAGAATGCTGATGATGATGGTATTGATGATGATGATAGCGATGATGATGAGAAGCTCCTGATGGTGATGATGATGATGGTATTGATGATGATGATGATGATGATGAGAATGCTGATGATGATGGTATTGATGATGATGATGATGATAACAATGATGATGATGGTATTGATGATGATAACAATGATGATGAGAATGCTGATGATGATGGTATTGATGATGATGATGATTATATTGATGATTATGAGAATGCTGCTGCTGATGGTATTGATGATGATATTGATGATGATGGTATTGATGATGATGATGATGATGGTATTGATGATGATAACAATGATGATGAGAAGCTGATGATGGTGATGAGGATGATAATGTGACCTTGAAGATTCAGTGGCTTATTCTCTGGGCCTTCAATCAGCAGTTTTGATTAATGGCTAGAGAGCTATAGAAGGATGACAAAAGAGGAATATATTGGGGTAGGGGGTTGGGAGGATGGAGAGTCTTTTGTGAGTCTTGACCTTCCTGCTCTGGGGTCACTAAATGCCACTCCCTCCTGCACACTTATTTGAGTGTGCATTCCCAGCTGCCTTCATATTGAAAGAAGCATAGAGCTGTCATCTGTTTGTTGTGCTAAGTGAGAATCTGATTTGAACTTCAAGATGGAGCAGGTCTTGCTATCTCCAGCTCAAAGATAAGAACCGAGAGTTGGCACAAGATCACTCAGCTGGTGATGTACAAACTTGTGAAAGGAGGAAAGAGCTGGAATCCAGGTGTGTCTGATTTCAAAGCCCTCCATTCTCCTTTGGAGCCAATGTATTCCAAATTCAGTCTAAACACTAGTGTGGCATTTTATTGTTTTGAAACATGTTCTCATGTTGGTTGCCCAGGGTGGCCTCAAACTCACTATGTGGCTGAGGACAACCTTAAGCTTTCTAACCTCTTACCTCAGCCTCACAGGTGTTAAGATTTCCAATGTGTAGCACTGTGCCCAAGCCAGCTCTAATATATACCTTTTTCTATCAGCTTATATTAATTACATAATAATGAGTTTCACCAAGATAGTTCCATACATGCATATGATGTGTTTTACACAATGTGTTTTGATTCCCCCCTATTAACCTCTCTGGTCCTCTTAACCCCACTCCTGCTGACCCTGCCTAACCTGTTCTCCTCCTTCCATGCTCTCTTGGTTTTTGTTTTGGTGAGCCAATGGTTTTACTTAGGGTTGCTTACATAAGCACCAGCAACTAAGCACGGTTTATAGCTTTTAAAATCTGTTTTTCTAATCGGTATTTTAAGTTTAGGTAGACATACCACGTTTCTCATTTATTGAAAAAATTACAGCTACTTTACAGAAGCAGTCTTGCCGAACAGGCCCAAAGCCTGCCTCTGTCAAACTTTCCCTTACACCTGCTGGCTTTAGCCACCCACCAGGGCAGCTTTCTGTAGGGAGCATAGGTAGGCATGGACTGGCTTTGCCCCTTTAGGTCCTAGTCAGGCCTACTACAAAAGTCTCTAGCCTTCCACAATCTTCCTCCTCCTCTCTGAACAAACTGGAGTCCTGGTATGGATGGCTACTTCCTCTTTGGTGTCTTTGAGCATTTTCCGACCCCTACTCCTGAGCCGACAAGATGGCTTAATGGGGAAAGGCACTCACTGGCAAGGCTGATGATCTGAGGTTGATCTTGGAGACCTACATGACAGAAGGAGAGAGCTGGCTCTTTCAAGTTGTCCTTTGATGTCCATATGCATGTCCCCCCCAAAAAATAAATAAATAAGTATAATTAGCAAAATAAAATACCAAATCCCTTTCATGTCATTGAATTGCTCAATGAATGGAAACAATAACAATTCCCAGGCCCTTGTCTGAGAAGGCAATTAGCTTCATTATAGTACGCCTCTCAACTTTGGCTCACGGCACTATAACTCCAGTTCCAGGGAATCCAGCACTGTCGTCTGGCCTCCTTGGGCACCATCAGGCACACATGCAGTGCACAGACATACATTTAAGCATTATCCAGCCAAATAAAAAATTTTTTTTAAAGATTTATTTATTATGTAAACAATATTCCCTGCAGGCCAGAAGAGGGCACCAGATCTCATTACAGGTGGTTGTGAGCCACCCTGTGGTTGCTGGGAATTGAACTCAGGACCTTTGGAAGAGCAGTCGGTGCTCTTAACCACTGAGCCATCTCTCCAGCCCAAAAATATTTTTAAAAATAAATAAAAGTATTTTATTAAAATTCAGGACTTGGGCTAGGGGATTATCTCAGTAGTAGAGTATGTACTTAGCATACAGCAAGGCCCTGGGTTTGATCCCCAGCAAAAGAAAGGAAAAGAGAGAAAGAGGGGGGAGGGTAGGAGGGAGGGAGGGAGAAGGAATCAGGTAGGTTCTTGGAGAAAAAAACGCTTATCTATTTAAAAATTTGTATAGGCTTCTGAAAAAAGATAAAAAAAAAAACCATGACTTTACTTAAAATGATCTGACAGCATAGACCTGTAATCCCAGCTATTTGAGGAGCCAAGGCAGGAAGGTTGGAAGTTCAAGACCTGTATAGACTGCAAAATAAGTTCAAAGTCAGCCTGGGTGAATCTTTGAGACCCTGACTCAGTTCTTTTTAAGTAAAACTAAGACTAGGATGGGGGGGTGTGGTTCACTGGGATGGGGGGTGTAGTTCCCTGGGATGGGGGTGTGGTTCCCTGGGATGGGGGTGTGGCTCCCTGGGATGGGGAGTGTGGTTCACTGAGATGGGGGTGTGGTTCACTGGGATGGGGGTGTGGTTCACTGGTAAACCGCTTGCCTAGCATGTGTGAGGTTCTGGGAGGTTCTGGGTTCAAGCCCTAGCATTGAAAAACAGAAACTAAAAATCTTTGGTTAATAGATTAATAACATTATCAAATTCAACTAAGGGTTTCAAATTAATCTTCAAACTGAGGTTTAACTGCACTTAGGTCTGCTGGGCTCAGTAGTAGAGCAATTTCTAGGAAGAGTGAAGCCCTGGATTTAAGGGTTTGATCCTCAGCACCACATCACCAAAAAAAAAAAAAAAAAAAAAAAAAAAAAGAGCAAGCTGGGTGTGGTGACAAAGGCCGTTAATACCAGCACTCGGAAGGCAGAGGCCAGTCTGGTCTACAAAGTGAGGGCTGTTACACAGAGAAACCCTGTCTCGAAAAACAAACAAACAAAACCCAAGGGCTAGAGAGATGGCTGAGCAGTGTTTACTGCCCTTCCAAAGGACCCAGTTTGGTTCCCAGCAACCACATTGTTCAGCTCATAACCTCCAGTAACTCTTGCTCTGGGGGAACTAATACCCTCTTCTGGCTTCTGCATGCATCAACACACATGTGGCAGGCACTCACACACACACAGACGCATGAATAAAACAGTCTTTTAAAAAATTAATTCAGACTTGACTTAGGTTTCTGAAAACTGGAAGATTTCTTTTTTATATTTTTTCTGACATCCACTGTAAAGAGAGAACTGTCTAAGTCAGTTCAAAACCCAAGAAAATAATAAACTGTGTGGATGTCTAGAATGAAGTATGAGGTGAAAGGAGGAAGGAACGCATTTGTCAAAACGCTGTGGTGTATGTATGATCTCATGGGCCACCTGTCACAAACTCCGCAGTGTTCCTCTGAGAACCCAGCCTTTGTTCTCTGGACGGCCAGCTCTTTGTGGGAAAGGTCAGAGGGTCCACACTTGGGGCTACATGGGCCAGAGGGTTCCTGTCTCAGTGACTCAACATTGCCACTGTAGCAGAAAAGCAGCCATAGGCAGTATGTGAGCAAACAGGTGTGCCCACCCATATTGTAATACAACTTTATTTGCAGCAGGGCATGGTGGCACATGTCTGTAATCCCAGTATTAGGGAGACAGAAGCAGGAGGACCAGAGTTCATGCTCATCTGCATGAACAGCTAATGTTCTTAACCACTGAATCATCTTCCAGCCCTGTTACTGTATTTTGTATTAAAGATTCCTCTAGATGTAGAACAGCAAGAGAGGGTAATGGTGTGTGTGTGTGTGTGTGTGTGTGTGTGTGTGTGTGTGTGTGTGTATAAATATGATCAAAGTGTATTAGATGCATGTATGAAAATGCCACAATGAAACCCATTATTTTGTATTTATAACAAATGTATAATTTTAGTAATTAATACATGCTAATTTAAAATACAAAAAAAAAGAAACCTTTCCAATTTCATAAGTTCCAGACCTTGAGGGTGAATCTAAGAGCAGCTGAGGTTATATCTTCGAGGACTGCCCTCCATCCACTCAGGGTCGGCAGGGTTTCCAAAGCCTTCCCCTGAAGGAGCTATAGGAAGGAGAGGTAGGGGAGGGCCAGGGAAGCCAAGAAGCAGCTACATACTCGCCCCTGTGCTTCCGGAAGTGCTGGAGGTCACGATCTGCCAGGATTGCCCTCTTCACAAACACCACCAGGGCACTCCAGCTGGTGAGGATGATGGTCAGTTCGAGAAGATTCCACTTGCTGCAAAAGTAACCCCACTTCTGCTTCCTCATGAGCTTACCCTGGGAAAAGGGTCCAGAGATTCTGCTTCAGGCTATGGCAGTGTCTACACCTTCAAACCAAAGACCTCTGGCAGGATGTTACCCTGCCCCACATACAGAGTCCCTGGAGATCCCACCACTAGCTCAGCTGCCAGACTTGAGGCGTAAATATAGTAGCTAAGAATGTGTGCATGTACGTGTATGCGTGTGCTACTGGGGATTGAGCCAGAGGCTTTAAGCATTCTAGGCAAGCAGTCTGCCACTGAGTTATATCATCAGCCATGTATAGCAGGCTTTCTTTTAGGCCACCATCCAGCTCCCAAATCACGACACGGAGACTTATTATTAGTTATGAATGCTCAGCCTTATCTTATGCTTGTCCCACTAGTTCTTATAACTTAATCTGTTTCTCTTCATCTACGTTTTGCCTTGGGGCTTTTTACCTTTTTTTCATTCTGTATGTCTATTCCGTGTCTGTCTGTTTGGCAGCTACCTGGTTGCCTAGCCCAGGAGTCTCCCTTTCTTTCTCCCTCCTCTTCTCCCTTCTCTCATTATTCTCTCTGCCCGCCAGTCCTGCCTATCCCTCCTCTGCTGAGCTATCAGCCGTTCAGCTTTTTATTAGACTTTAGGCAGGCAAGGTGAAACAGCAACACATCGTTATCTAATTAAACAAGTGCAGCATGAACAAAAGCAATACACCTTTGCATAGTTAAAGTAATATTCTGCCACATAAGCAAATGTAACACATCTTTACATAGTTAAAGTAATATTCCACAACAGCCATCTTTTACTTTTTCTTAAGATAGGGTCTTGCCAGGCAGTGGTGGTGCACGCCTTTAATCCCAGCACTCAGGAGGCAGAGGCAGGCGGATCTCTGTGAGTTCAGCCTGGTCTACAGAGCGAGATCCAGGACAGGCACCAAAACTACACAGAGAAACCCTGTCTCGAAAAAAAAACAAAAAAAAAAAGGGGGGGGGGCGTCTTTTAGCTCTGTAGCCTAGGCTGCCCTTGCACCAACAATCTACCTGCCTCTGCTTCCCAAGTTCTGGGATTACAGGTATGTGCCACATCCAGTTGGGTGCCCTGCTGTAAGAGGTCATGTTGAATCATAGGAGGTTAGGGTGAAGGTCAGGTGACAGACTATGGGTCTCAATTCAAGTTTTGGATTTGGGGGCTGAGAGTGCAGCTCACTGATAAACACTTGTCTAGCATGTAGGTGGCCTTGGATCCAGTTGACCTTGGTAAATAAGGTCTCTGGGCCTTAGTGTCATCCTCTGAATGCTGGAGCCAAGAGGACCTTTCTCTTGTTTAGAAAGAACATAACATCTGTGGTAGTTGGAATGTAATTGGCCCCCATAAGCTCATAGGGAGTGTCACTATTAGGAGATGTGGCTTTGTTGGAATAGGTACAGCCTTGTTGGAGGAAGTGTGTCACTGTGGGGGTAGCCTTTGAGGTCTCATATATGCTCAAGGCATGCCCAGTGTCTCAGACCACTTCCTGTTGCCTGCAGATCAAGATGTATTAACTCTCAGCTCCTTCTCCAGCACCATGTCTGCCTGCATGCCGCTATGTTCCACCATGATGATAATGGACTAAACCTCTGAACTGTAAGCCAGCCCCGATTAAATGGTTCCTTTATAAGGGTTGCCAGGTCATGGTGTCTCTTCACAGCAATAGAAACCCTAACTAAGATACATCCCTTAACCTAAGCCTTTTGAAAGGGTTAAAGTCAGAAGCCATAATACCGACCCAGATCCACCTAACCCTTGGAAGGACCAACACTGAGATGTCAGTTCAGTTCCTGGACAATACCAACTCTAGTCCTTCCTGCAACAGCCTGGATTGTCTCTCAGGACCAACAGAAGGTCTGCCTGCCAAGCACCTGGGGCAAAAAAAGCCTTTCCCTCCTGCCTCAGGCCCCACCATAGGAGGTGGGAAGGCAAAATGATGAGTCCATCCATCTCTGCCCACTGAGCCCTCACCCCCCTCACCTGCACCACCATGTAGTAGAAGAGGAAGAGGAAGTAAATGAGCTCAGCTGCTACCACGAAGGGGTGCCAGCCATCTGTGAAGAGGTATAGCCGCAGGCTTTGCAGGGTCGCGTGTGAGAAGAAGGTACCTGGCGAGAAAAGTGCCTCTGTTCACCTACCTGTTGCAGCCCCAGCTTCTGCCCAGACTCACATCACATAACTCAAGCAAGAAGACTAATGTCCTTAGGACAAGGAGATAGAGTGGACAAAGTTAGACACTGGCAGGCTGCCAATGACAGTGGACAATCCAGAAGGGACAGAAGGAGCTGCCCCAGAAGGCCCATGAGACCCCCAATCCATGGGGTTGGTTTGTGTGCACAGCACCTCTGCAGAGCCCATCCACCCAGAATCTTCCACCAGCCTCCCCACATTGCTCATTAGTGCTGTTTCCCCCACAGAGCTTCCCTGAAGATCATTTAATAGCCAATGTGCCAAGCAAGTCAACCTTCCTACGTGGCCAGATGGGGACACAGGAAAACTTCAGCTACACCTTTGAGTTGTCATCCGCTTATAAATCTTTCTTTTTTCTTTCAAGATATGATCTCACTGTACCCCTAGCTGACCTGGAACTCCCTAGAGAGACCAAGCTGGCCTCGAACTCACAGAGATCCACCTGCCTCTGCCTCCCGAGTGCTGGAATTAAAAGCATGCACCACCATACCATACTGTGTCTTTTCCTTACATTCTTTCTAGTTTTGTTTTTATTCTTTTCCATTTAAATTATTTGAGTGAAAAATGTTATTTTTGCTTTTTGAGACAGACTAATGTATCCCAGGCTGTCCTTGAACTTGCTATATAATCAAGGATGACCTTGGGATCTTGATTCTCCACCTCTGACTCCTGAGTACTGGGAGCACAGGCCTTTACCTACTTAGGTACCTGGCTTATGAGACAACATTTTAAGCCAGTTTGACAAGTAAAGCTATTACTGTCTGTGAATGTAAAGCTAGCCCTCAGGGTGACAGAAAGACAGGCTGAAATTAAGTTTCAGGCCAACAGGGGCCTTGTAGCAAAACCCTGTATATATATATTTTAAAATTTAGTGAGTGTGGATCTCATAAAAAATACACTGTACGCATCATACTGCATGCATGTCGGAAATTCTGAAAGAATAAAGCAATATGTCTTTAAATTTTAGGCTGAGTGTGCTCACCCTGTGGTCTCAGTAGTCAGAAAGTAGAGACAGTAAGATCAGTTGGAAGCCTGCCTGGGCTACATGAGACTCTGTCTCAAAACAAGCAAACAAATAAAATAGCAGTTGAATACTTTTAAATGTTCAGTGTTTAACAGAGAGGAAGCTGAGTTCTAGGCAAACTGAGCACTAGCTGAGGAGGCTTTAGGTTGATTTTGGTCTTGGTAGCTTGTAATTAAGATTTTTAAAAGATGGCAGATGGGGAGAAAGAATGAACCGGAAGTATAAAAAGCCCGTCAGGGAGGTGAGTGTGACTATTATGTGTGAATCTCTGGTCTCAGTTGTGTGAGTGCGGTTGGATGGCGATGTCAATGTGCCCCCTACTGTGGGATGAAGAGGTGGACAAGTTACCTTCACATTCCAACTGGATTCCCTTAAGATCGTGAAAGAAACCAGCCCACAGTAAAGAAGAAAGATAGGCGAGAATAGCATTGATGCTTTGCCTTTGGGGACCCAGGGCTTCATGACCTATTGCAGGCTGAACCCGCACCCCACCTTCCCTGGACCCCAGTCCCTGAGGCAGCAGGACTCAGCTAGGTTAGAGGGACAACCCAGGATGAGGATTTCCAGGAGAGATGGCTCACCCAGGCCACTATTCTCCAGTGTGAGCGTGACAATGCAGAACAGGTTGACGTTGGCATTGTAGACAGTGAATTCCACAAACACGGCTCTGGTCAGGGTGTCCAGCCAGCTGTTGTCGAAGAGATACTGGAGAATCCTGTGGAGGAAGGGCGCTTGGGTGTCCTCTTTCTCAGGAGGCTCCCTGGCCGTAAACCACCCCATGAGACTCAGGCTTACTGTCTACACCTTCTACTCTGCTCTGCTCCCAGGCCACACAGCCAGCTCCTGGGGATAGTCACCATTTGCCAGCCACATGGTGTTGTTGGCTTATGGTCTCCTGAGCATTAGAACAGAGTTTGTCAAAGGGGGTCCCCAGTCAACATTGTAGCATATTGTGAATACAGACTGTGAAGCTCTGGGTCACATGCATCAGAAAAGCTGGGTCATAGCTCAGGAATGTGTGCTTGGATGTGCCCCTTCCAGGAGGGTAGAATGCCTTTTTTAAGTCAAAGGGCACCATGTTAGAGGAACCTCGTGAAACACTGGGTCTCAGGCAGTAGCTGCAGCTGTGGAGATCCTCTGGGATGTCACCTTATGTGGGACCAGGGACCAGGTCCCAGAGAACTCAGCCTGGTGTGATAAAAAGAGCAATGTGTCCTGGGACTAGTTGGGAACTAGAGGGAACTGAGTTCAAATCCCAACTGCCTCTTGGGCAAGATAATTTCTTCAGGCCTTGGTCTCCTCATTCACAGTGGTGGTAAACATCAATGCCTCCACATAGAGAAAATGAAATTATGTGTGTGCACATGCATGTACTCTCAGTAATAATAGCTGCAGAGGGCCCTTCCCTTCAAGCCTAGAGATGCACAGTTTTTAGAGGCCTGAAAATACTACCTGAATGATTTGTATTTGCCTGTCCACTCCCACAGTGGCATGAATAAACTTGGCCCTTGCCTTATTTCGAAGGCTGCACTCTGGCAAATGGCTTCACTGAGCTAGAAAAGAATCAAGCCCATTCTTACCTTGAGGCACTTTGGCGATCAGCTCCCAAGGTGACCACATAGCCTCCTCCCCCGTACATGGTAAGTTTGCCCCACATGGGATAACCCTGGCGTTGGCTCTGGCTCTGGTATTGCCACACCCAAGGGAAGCCATTGCTGTTATTGTGGGCAGAGGCATTCCAGCCTTCTCCATAGTCTGCCAGGTCTTCAACATCCAGGGAGTATGGTGCATGGCATCCATCAAAAGAAGCCTGTAGCTGCTGGGCAACAGGGCAAGAGCCTTCCCGGACCCTCACTTGGCGAATGTGGGCACTGCCAACCAACTTGGAGTTCCCATCAGTGACAAAGCCTAGAGATGAGAACCAGGAGGGCAAGTGTGGCATCTGAAAGCATCCTAACACATCCCATGCTTCCCGACCAGATGTGAATATGATCATAGGTAGACCCATTAGAGACATAGCCAGAACAGCTCATGCCCAATAGCAGGCTGCTTTGCTAGAACATGGGCCTGCCCCTTTAAGACCCTGATCACTCTAGAGAGGCCAGAGCCTACAGCCTGAAGGGATTAGGCCACACCTCCATGCAGCTCTCTCTGGAACAGAACTGAGAAGTTATTCTGTGCTATGGCTTATGATCCTAACCAGTACTTGGCTCCTCCATGCTCTTTGTCCTGCATGCTATTCTGAACTAAATCACATTACACAAAACTTCCCACCCCCTAACACCTTATAAAAGTCTGATATGCCCTATGTTCTGGGGCTTGCCCTGCAGATTTCTGAGAAGACTCCTCAGGGGGACTGCTCCAGAATCTCTCTGAAGGCACTTCTCTGGTCTGCTCCTTGGCCCCCGCCATCCCTCTCATGGTGTCCCTCACCCAGCTCTCTCCCTCTCCCTCTCTCTCTCTCCCTCTCCCTCTCTCCCTCTCTCCCTCTCTCTCTCTCTCTCTCTCTCTCTCTCTCTCTCTCTCTCTCTCTCTCTCTCTCCCCCTCCCTCTCCCTCTCTCTCTCTCCCTCTCCCTCTCTCCTTCTCCCTCTCTCCCTCTCCTTCTCTCTCTCTCTCCCTCTCTCCATGGTCTCTCTATGTAGCCCTGGCTGTCCTGAACTGAAACTCATTCTGTAGACAGGACTGGCCTCGAACTCACAGAGATCCACCTGCCCCTGCCCATAAGTGCTGGGATTAAAGGCATGTGCCACCACCGCCCAGCTTCATTCTCCTTCCTAATGAAGCTGCTCTCCAGGTTTTAAAAGGAAGTCCTCCTTCCCTTGAAGGCCCTCTTCATGCTTGGCTCTCCCATATATGATACCATTTTCCGTCTAATATTCTCCCCCTATCTTGGGGCCAATTATGGTCTTGAGGCCCTTTCTCTGAATGAACCTCATTGCTGAAGGGTGAGTATGTGTCAGCTTCCTTTCCTGAACCAACCACTGCCACGCTATCATGAATGTATTTAGTACATCCATCCTTACCTCACCACTTCTCCATCTTGGACAGACTCCATGCTGTACATAAATTCTTTCTGGGGACTGTACCCCACCACTCTGTCAGTATGAACACCATCTGTGTCCTTCTCCCCAACCCACACTCTCAAACAGCCACCACATCCCAGTATCTCTGCCTCAGTCCCCATCAGATCTCTCTAGCATCCTGTCTCCAATACCCTTCACTCCAACCTCCCCACACTTCCAGAGTGAGGCTTCCTTGTGTAAACTTCTCCATGGTGCCTCTTGTCCAGGAGGATAAATGTGATCTTTAGAGCTCCGTCATAGCCGTGTCTCCCTGTCTCTTTCTTCCACACAACTTCACAGCAGTCCTTCACTCAGATACCCCATAGTGGTCACCCCGAGTGTTTTACAGTGGCATGGACTTGGCAGTCCCATGGTGTGCTGGCTTGGCTAGTCTCATGTCCTTTCTCCTGCCTGTACACTGTGTTTTCCTAGAGAGTTTATGTTTCCTACCTCCCATGCAAGATGCTCATCAGTTCACATCAGCCTCCTTTCTGATAGCTTGTCAAAGCATGTGGTCATGCGACTATCATGTTTTTAAGCTCTCAGTGACTTGTAACTGTTCCCACACACTTGCATGCACACACTTCCCACACTTCTTTCCCACACACTTGCATGCACAAAGGGGCCCGACACACTGCCTCATGGCATGGGGACTACCTGGGTGATGACCATATAGGTTCTTCACAAGAGTGGTGTTGGCCCATTCGAAGAACTCTCTGAAACCCAGCACAGCTGAGAAGCCTTGAGTGAAGCTGTGCTCCAGATGTCTGTTGAAGTGGTAAGCACTGGGGTCCCTTTGCCCATAGGCCACGAGCAGCAGCATCCACAGGAAGCCCAGGTAAGCTGGAAAGGATGCACAACCTGGTCAGGCAGGTCCTTAACTCCCACCAAGTTCAAAGAGGAAAAGGAATACAGATAGCTCAGAGCTGTGGTGGGCTTGCAGCCCAGCCGCTGCCACTCTGGCAACAGAAACAGCAGAGAGGAGGGAGGTGCACAGACTGGGAGGGAGGTCTGGCCACTTCCTCTCCACGTGCCCTTCATGAATGGTTCGACCTCTCTGTGGATGATTCCTCATCATTCAGATAATAATTTTAAGACCTGGGGTTGTGGTGGGGAGATCAGCTAATATTTATAAAGCATTTAGAACAAGACCCAACCAGGGAGTCACGCTCTGTGTTTCTTTTGAGACAGGGTCTCATGTCCCAGGCTGGCGGGCATTGAACCTGCTACATAGATGAGACTGGGTAGGAATTCCTGACCCTCCCAGTGTTGGGATTATAGGTTTGATCTGCTGTGCTTGACTTTCTTTTTAAAAACTTTTATTATTTGTGTGTGTGTGTGTGTGTGTGTGTGTGTGTGTGTGTGTGTGTGTGTGTGTGAGTGAGAGAGAGAGAGAGAGAGAGAGAGAGAGAGAGAGGACACGCATGGGCTACGGCATGTGTGTAGGTCAGAAGTTAGCACGAGGGAGTCCATTTCCTCCTTCTACCATGGATTTTAGAGAGTGAACTCGACTCGAGTAGCCAATTGCTAGACTCACTCTCATGCTGGGGATTGTCTGCGTGTGCTTGCTGGGTGAGGACTCTCCCCTGAACTGTTAGGCTTCCTTTTCCCTTTCTTCATGTGTGTGCCATGTATGCACATATGTATGAGTGCACGAGAGGATGATGTCACGTGTCCTGCTCTATCACTCTCCACCTATTCCCTTGAGACAGCGCCTGGCACTGAACCCATAGCTAGGCTGGCAGCTAACAAGCCCTAGTGCCTCCCATCGCACCAGGGTTACAGGTACATGCAACCACATCTGGATTTTTATGTGGGTGCTGGGAATCCAAACTCAGGGCCTCATGCTTGCAAAGTAGAGCCCTCTCCAGACCCCTATTCATGTTTTTAAGACAGAATTGTCAAAACTGGGCACCTGTCCTGATGGAAACAATGCAGTGCTGGAGCAGACATATATGGTCCCTGTGCTCATGACATTCACCCGCTTACTGGAGACCAGTTGGGAGTGTTTAGAAGGCTAGAAGCGCCCCTTTGTATAAAAAGATTTAGATCAGAAAGTCACACATAGCTGTGTGGTGGTAGTGCACGTCATTAATCCCAGCACTCAGGAGGCAGAGACAAGTGGATCTCTCTGAGTTCAAGGCCGGCCTGGCCTACAGAGTGAGATCCAGGACAGGCTCCAAAGCTACAGAGAAATCTGTCTCAAAAAACAAAAACAAAACAAGACAAAAAAAAAAAAAGTCACACATAACAATCCAACCAGGGGTGTAGATTCCTACTGAACCAGAACTTCCAGGCATGGGCTTGGGATCTGCACCATGAGGTACCACCACCACCGAGTCCCATGGTGGGCCTGGATGGACACCAATGATGATAATGCATAGGAGAACTGGTTTGTGGGGGGTTTCCCATTCTCCCCAAGGTTTCCGGCAGAACTGAACCATTGACTCTATTTCTTGCCTTCTCCCCCCTCCCTGCTTGCTGCACTTTCCTCCCACCTCTCTTCCCGGGATCACCTTGCTAGTGACATATGTCCACCCAGATCTGCTTTGGGGTAATCAGGCAGACAAACACTGTGGTTTGAGAGCCCCTGGCCTGGGCAATGGGGGATGGAGTCCTCTCTGAAGACACAATACTGAACTAAGAGTTAAAGACTAGGAAGAATCAGCCAGAAGGAAAGGTGAGAAGAAGGATGAGCACATTCCAGGCCAGCTGGGATGATGGAACAGATCAAAAGGCCCAGGCACAACCGAGGCACAGGATCCCAGGAGCCACAGAAACCAGTACTGAACTCAGGGCACTGGGAGCCAGGAGAGGGGAGTCAAGGGGTAGCCCACAGGAGGGAGCACAGACTTCATCCCAAGAGCTTGAGGGGTTTCAGGCAAAAGGGAGAAGAGAAACTGAGGCCTAGAAGCAGCAAAGGGCTCATCAAAGGACGGTCGGTGTCTGCTCCAGGATGTGCTGAGGGCCCAGGTACGGGGAGCTGCCCACCCAGGATTTCTCTGATGAGAGCGAACGCTTTCTGCTCCTTGAGGCGAGTGGTTTTCATCTTTTCGACGGCAGCGGCGAGAGGAGGCTGGTAAGCATTCTTGCTGCTGCGTCTTCGAGTTCGGAACAAAGCAGAGGGGCCTGTGGACACAGGGCACAGAGCAGTCCCCCTCATGACAGGGAAACCAGGTATTACCATTCTGATAGGTATACTACAGCCCATCCGTCTTTTGTGTTCATGCCCTCCTGCCTACCCTCCCCAGCTTCTGTCATCTACCTCCCCGCTGGTCTCCACATTTCCACTTATGACCTCACACCTGTCTCTCCAGGAGCAACACCAGTGACCTCTGTAAAATGACAAGGCAGATAGGCCCACTCTCCCGTTTTAAATCTCCAGACATCCCAGCATTGCTCCAGACCCTCCCAGTCCCTGCATGCCCTGCTCCCCAACCCTCTCCACCCTCTCCATGAGCTAATTCCTTCAACACAACTTCCTGAGCTCCTACCATAACGTTAGTAATCGCTACAGAATGAGCAGTTCTGTCCACCTCAAAGCCTTTGCAGGCATCTAGGGCTTAAGTCTTCCCTCCCCATACCCTCAAAGGATGGCTGGGGAAGCCTGAGGGTCTTATTCCTCTCCAGCCCTGTCCTCATCAGGCTTCCTTAGATGGCTGCTTATGCATTAACATGCTTCCCACATGGTCTATACCTGTCGGGACTATGACCTATTCCATTCAGCCAGTACCACTTGCCCAGGGATGTGCTTGGGATCGTGGACAGACTTAAAATGAACAAAGGAGACCTTCAGGGAGATGAAATGTTTTAAATCTCAATCACAACGATGATGATTACATAACCCTCTAAATTTACTAGATTCACTGAATTACATCCAACAGTGAGTGAATTTTATGTCAATTATGTTCTGAAGCTATTGCTGCCTGAAACACAGCCAGCTCTCCTTGAAGAGTCGCCCAATGAATGATGGAGTGAGTATCTGGTGGGTCTGGAAGCTGGTATCTCTTCAGAGAGAAATTACTCTTTTGTTGAGAAAGGACTTTTTTTTGTTGTTGAGAAATGGGCTTTTTTTGGAAGTGCAAAGACAAAATTTTAGCCTAGAGTGGAAGATTACAAGTCTGGGGCAGGGTGAACCTCTTCGCGCTCATGTGCGCACTAGCTCCTGATTTATCTTCCCTGAGGCCAAGGTCAGTTATTGATTCTGTTTTGTTTGCTCATCTGTCTGAGAAAAGCTCTTCTCCAGGTCCTTTGAGAGTTTCACTGGGAAGAGGGCACTAACCAGGGGCCTCTCAGACCAGGGTTCTGCATAGCTGTTTCCACAAATCTTTATTTACCAAAACCAACAGGGACCGTTGGGCCCCTTGGCTATGGACTGCAGACATTTCGTCCCAGAAGTCTGATTTACAGCCACTTCCTGAAGCCTGCCGGTGAGCTGACGGAATGCTTTGTTTTCACTGGAAATCTCAGGGACCCACATCTTGGTAAAGACTGTGGTTGGGGGCTGAGGATGTAGCTCCCTTGTTTGAGTGCCTGCCTAAGTTGTGCTTGCCCTGGGTTCTGTGCCAGCACCACATACTAGCTTGGTGGCACATGCCTGGAGGTGGCAGTGCGGGGAGGTAGGGGATCTAAAGTACAAAGTCATTCTCAGTAGCATACCAATTCCAAGGCCAGTCCAGGCTATGTGTGGTTCTGTCTCTAGAAAGAATAATACAGCCTGCCTGACCCCAAGGGCACACCCCTGACTAAAAGGTCCTGCCTGATCCCCAAGGGCACACCCCTGGCTAAAGGGTCCCGCCTGGTCCCCAAGGGCACACCCCTGACTAAAGGGTCCCGCCTGGTCCCCAAGGGCACACCCCTGACTAAAAGGTCCTGCCTGGTCCCCAAGGGCACACCCCTGACTAAAAGGTCCTGCCTGATCCCCAAGGGCACACCCCTGACTAAAGGGTCCTGCCTGGTCCCCAAGGGCACACCCCTGACTAAAGGGTCCTGCCTGGTCCCCAAGGGCACACCCCTGACTGAAGGGTCCTGCCTGATCCCCAAGGGCACACCCCTGACTAAAGGGTCCTGCCTGGTCCCCAAGGGCACACCCCTGGCTAAAAAGTCCTGCCTGGTCCCCAAGGGCATGCCGCTGGCTAATGGATTGTGCTGAGTTATCAGAAAGAAAGGATGGAAGGGAAGGAATAAGACTGCTCAGGGACTAGGCAAGGTGTCTCTTGTCTGGCTAGTTTGGGATGGCTGATAAATCCTGTGTGGAGGCTGGTGGGGGATAAGTTCTGGGGAGTGCCCAAGGCCCAGGACACTTCCTAGACGTTCTCTGCAGACCTAGTCAGCCTTGCCAGACCACTGGGTGGTCGGGCCCCTGTCTCTACACACCAGGGTCCTATTACCTGGACCAGACAGATGTCCTGGCAACGAGGGCAAAGTCTCTTCATCATCCTCTCTCTTCAAGACCAGCGCAAAGAAAGCAGAGAAGCCCAGGACCTGGAAATCACCCTGTGTGAGCCCCAACCTGCAGAGATTTCTCAAGGTCTGAGAGATAGGGACTGAGTGATAAGCAGTCAGGTGGGAACCAGCCATCCCCACAGAGGGAGGCCATTATGAGGAGGGAGGGCTACCACCTGTCAGAAAGGCTGACACATCTCTAAACTTCCCAGAACTTCCCACTTGCTGCCCAGCTGCCCTGAACATCTCTCACTTCTAACTCTGAAGAATTACTGCCTCCACCTCACCCCATCCCTGTACCCCTGCATCAGCTGACACAGCCTGCCACATCTGTGTCTGCTATGTCCAAGCAAAAGAGATCCTGTGGTTCGGTTAGGAACACTCAGGACACACCCCGCTTTTACTAGTATTCTAGCCTTGGCTAGTGGAATTGTCACGAGGCTTTTGAATCTTATCAGAAAGACCATTCAGGACTGCGGATGTAGCTCAGGAGGCAGAGTGCTTGCCTAGCATGCACAGAGCCCTGATTTGACCTCTAGCATTCTACATCAACAGAGCAGGATGGCACATACCCAGAATCCCAGCATTAGGGAGGTGGAGCGGGCAAATCAGAAGTTCGAGGCCAGCCTCAGCTAAATAGTTTGTGACCACCTTGGGCTACAGGACCTTATCTATAAGTAAATACATACATATAATTCAGGGTAGAGCGAGAGTCAAAGGGTAGATGGGGGAGGGGATTGAGATGTCCTACAGGAGTAAAGATTCCAGTAGCTGGTTATGACAGTAGTGCATATCTGTAGTTTCAGCACTTGGGTAGCTGAGGCAGGAGGACTGCCATCAATTCAAAGTGAACCTGGACTACATACTGAGTCCCAGGCTAGCTAGGGCTGCATGGGAAGACCCTGTTGCAAAACTAAGTAACCAAACATTATAGAGTCCCTTAATGGTCACTCTCCTCTTACAGTCCCCTGGTTCCCTGATGACTGCCAACTGCCAGACCCTTCCAGAGGCAGATCTGTCCCTGCTCCCCGCTAGATCCAAGTCTAATATGCTACCACATAACTTATATCTCAGGAATAGGAGCAAGTGTCTGAAGGGCGCACCCTCTACATTGCAGTCCTCTCTCAGAATCAGAAGTATCTGAGGATTGAGATACACACACATGGGTTATGGAGAGATGTCCGTGATCTTTTTGGTGGAAGTGCTGGAGGTAGGACCCAGGACCTTGCACATGCTGTGCAAGCTCTCTACTTCTGAGCGGCATCCCCAGCTATATGACTTCTCACCTATAAATTTTCCCACAATGCTCAGGGTGATGGTGATGATGAAGTATTAGCTCCCCAGTACAGCCCTGTACTAAGGGACAAGTCCTTTGGGCTATTAGATACTATCTCCATTATCCTGCTCTGGGGCCAGCACAGAGGTAGCATCTCATGTGTTTGTTAAGTGAATAAAAGACATAATAGCCATGCTTGAAAATGAACTGCTCACAAGAGGGTAAAGGCAGATAAAAAGCACATGGGCAGCCACTTTGAAGGGGGGTGTTCTGACCTTCAGGGGCTGGGTGATGAACACGCTCTCCACAAAGGACACAGCCATGGACATGAGCCACCTGAGAGAGCTGGCCCTTCCGTAGTGCAGGCCGTAGAGCATAGTGAAGAAGGCCGCCACCCCGCTGGTGGTCGCCACCAGGAGCCAGCCCACCAGGACACACCACCAGGGCAGGCCACGAGCAGACTTGCTGACCCGAGGAGTGCTGCAAAAGAGAGAGTGATACATACAGTCAGGGTGGCACCCGAAGACCCACGTTCAAATCCCACTCTGCCTTCATCCTCCAAATGACCTCGGGCAAGCTGCTTAACCTCAGACAATCTGTTTCTCCTCTGTAGCTTGTGCCTGCCTGGAAGAGCAGTTCTCTAGGCTGCCCTTTCGTCCATTGCTGGCTAGGGGGCTGTCCCTAACAGCAAGCCTAGAAGGCTGGTTCTATGTCATGAAAAAAATCTTTTCTTATGAAAAAAAGTTTCATCATACAAAAGTCATCAAGCCAACAACCCCCCCAGGCACCCATCAGCTGGTTTCAACAACTGTCCCTATCTTGTCTGGCGTATTCCATCAGTTCCACACCCTCCTTTTTCCTTTTGGAGGAAGGATATTAAAAACACATTCTGGCCATAATCCAAAATCACCTCAGATTACCTCAGAATGCATCTCAAGAAGGGTCATTTTCTGACTAAATTATCATACTATTGTTCCACCTAAGATTTTTTGTTGTTGACCACCAAAAACTATGTGTGTGTGAGCTATGGAAAGACAGCCCATGGGCTTCCGGCATCCTAGGTGAATGTGTTACCACTGAGCTATATCCAACACACACACACACACACACACACACACACACACACACACACACACACACTGAGAAAAGGTCTCACTAAATTGCCCAGGATCAGGCTGGAGAGATGGCTCAGTGGTTAAAACCACTTCCCGGCTCTAGCAGCAGACTGGAGTTTTCAGCTCTCAGCAGCTACACCAGGTGCCTCACAAACACTTGTAACTCCAGCTCTAAAGGATCCAACACTCTGCTCTAGCCTCTGGGCATTCATAAAAACACAAACACATATATAAATAAAACAAAATAAATCTATAAAAAAAAGAATATCGGAACAAATTGAAAAGGAACGCAGAGCCAGATGTGGTAGATCCCAGGACTCAGGAAGCAGAGGCAGGTGCAGCATCTCTGTAAGTCTGAGGCCAGCCTTGTCTACATAGTGAGTTCTAGAACACCCAGGGCCATAGAGAGAGACCCTGTCTCAAAACAACGGAAACAACAACAACAAAAAAAAAACCCCAGGAATTTAGGTGCTGGAGATATGGCTCAGTGGTTAAGGAGACTGGCTGTTCTTCCCGAGGACCTGGGTTCTATACAGCACCTAAATGATGGCTCACAACTGACTATGCCTCCCAAAGCCCTCTTCTGGCTGCTGCAGGCACATATATTGGGGGCACAGACACTAAATACAGGCAAAACAAAACAAAACAAAAACCCACTGGCTAGTTTTATGTCAACTTGACACAAGCTAGAGTCATCAGAGGAGGGAACCTCAACTGAGAAAATGCCTGCATAAGACTGAGCTGTAGCAAACCTGTAGGACATTTTCTTAATTAGTGATGATGGGGGAGGGCCCAGCCTATTGCGAGTGGTACCATCCCTGGGCTGGTGGTCTCAGATTCTATAAGAAAGCAGGCTGAGCAAGCCATGAGGAGCAAGCCAGTAAGCAGGTCCCCTCCGTGGCCTCTGCATCAGCTCCTGCCTCCAGGTTCCTGGCCTGAGTTCCTGTCCTGACTTCCTCCAGTGATGAACAGCAAAGTGGAAGTGTAAGCCAATAAACCCTTTCCTTTCCCAGTTTGCTTTTGGTCACGGTGTTTTGTCACAGCACTAGTAGCCCTGACTAAGACACTCAGGTGTCAGCCTTGAATTTACTGTGTAGCTCAAGCTGGCTTTGCATCTTCCTGCTTCAGCCTCCCTAGTATTTGGGATTATAGGATTGTATATCAGGCCTGGCACACTGACTGCTGTCATCAAATAACCTGTCTTCAAGTTTACTGATTATTTTTGTTTGGTGTTTGAGGCAGGGTTTCACTGTGTTGCCCTAGCTGTCCTGGAACTAGCTCTGTAGACCAGGCTAGCCTTAAACTCACAGAGATCTGCCTGCCTCTGCATCCCGAGTGCTGGGATTAAAGTTGTGTACCACCACCACCTGACTTTACTGATTATTAAAAAAAAAAAAAAAAAGAAAGAAAAAGAAAAGAAAACTTGCAGAGAAATTCCCTGGCATGCACAAGGATGAGATTCAACCCCCAATACCGCAACAAACAAACAAAAATCAAATAAATAAAAGAAAATATCCTTTAAGTTTGAACTAGGAGCTATGTATTTCAATCAGATAATGCAACTGAGGCTCTGAGAGACCGAGGCCCTGCTCCAACACTGCAGACTGGGGAACAACTGACGTGAATATGGTCGTGAACTGCAAAGTTGTGTGCAAAGGGCTGAGTATCTTCCAGCAAGTAGCCCTGTCCCATTAACCCCTGCTGGCTTTGAGGGTACCCAAGGGAGTCCTGAGTCCCTCCTGCTTGCATGGTCTGAGTGGACAGCTTTCCAAGGCTGGTCAAGGTGCCCCAGCCCGTAGCCCCAGGCAGGAGAGGGCAGACGTCCATTCAGCACCCTGGGAAGTAGATTACCTGGCATATGCTATTGCTGGGGTGCCAGGCTGTCCCCAGAGGTGGCCCTTCAGGACACGCAGCTGCTTGAGGGCCTGGGCATGACTATGGTGATGCAGGAAGCCTTGGGGCCCCACCAGCCGCAGCTCCCTCTCCACATGCTCCAGTTGAAGGTAGAGACACTGCCTGGAGATGCTGTCCTTCCAAAGCCCACTCACCGCCAGCTTGGGCTTGGGGTGCCATGTGCTCTCTGGGGGACAAAGGGGAAGGTGACCAGATAGTGGTGAGTGACAACGAACCAGCTACAATAAAAACAGCAAGGGCAGCAGTTTTGAGCTCACCGGCTGCACGCCAGGTGCACTGGGGCTGGGCTCAAACAGCCAGCTAGGGGATTTTGGCTTTTTATCAGGGACAGTTTGAACAAGCCCTTGCTTACAAAGAGGAGAGTGCACTTTCCCATGCGCCCTGCTTCAGCAGTGACTGCAAGTGACCATTAAATTACATCCGTTTACCTTCTCTCTCTCTCTCTCTCTCTCTCTCTCTCTCTCTCTCTCTCTCTCTCTCTCTCTCTCTCTCTCAGAGTGGACTGTGAGTCCCCTCAATTAAATATTTTCCTTTTAAGAGTTGCCATGGTCATGGTGTCTCTTCACAGTAATAAAAGCCCTAACAAAGACATTCCTCCACCATGTGGGTCCTGAGGATTGAATTCAGGTCGTCAGGCTTGGTGGCAAGCCTCTTTACCCACTGAACCATCTTACTGGCTCCCCATCTGGAGTCTTTGCCTTCTATGTGGTTAGACTTAAATTTAAGTCCAGTTTTGCCCAGTGCCAAAGATGGGGTAAGTCTCGGTCTTCTGTTCTCATGTTTTAAAAACATTTATTTTTATTGTTTTTTACTCATGTATGTGTGTGTGAGTGCTATAGAGGCCAGAAGAGGGTATTGGCCCCCACGGAACTAGAGTTACAGGCAGCTGTAACATGGGTTCTGGGAACAGTATTTGGGTCCAAGAGAAGCAGACACTTATCCACTGAGCAATCCCGCCAGCCTTGCTTTCACTTTTTTTTTTAATTATTAAAATGAAACCTGTCAAATGAACCAGGTGTGGTGGTGCTTGCACGCCTGTAATAACAATTCCAGGTCAGTCTGATCTATGGAGTGAGACCTGTCTCACAAAACAAACACCATTTCAAACATCCAGAAGAGAAAAAGATTTGGAGCAGCGTGCCCTGTCTCCAGGCTTCCACGTGGTCTTTCCACGTGGGTTTACTGTTTGAAATGCCCAGGCCGGCCTGGAACTCAGCATCGTCCTGCATCAGTCTCCTGAGTCCTGGGGTTATAGGCTTGTACCCCCACATCAGGCGACTTGGCAGCACAGTCAGCAGCTCAGACCATTTCATGACATAAATGATTGCCTTTCTGCCCGAGATGAAGGCTTCAAAAGGCTGCACGATCCATGCTGGACAGTGGTGGTGCATGCTTTAATCCCAGCACGTGGTTGGAAGAGGCAGACAGATCTCCACGTTCAAGGCCAGCCTGGTCTGCAGAGTGAGTTCCAGGCTAGCCAGGGCTACACAGAGAAACACTGTTTCAAAGTGGGGGGGGGGCGCTGCACATTAACATCAAAATAAAAATACATAAATAAAAAACTAATAATATGAGTTGTTAAGATGCTTAACAATAATCCCATCCAATGGTCATTTTCCCTGATTATATTAGGAACTGATCTCCTCCTCTTCCTTTTCATCTTTTTTTTGGGGGGGGTTTTGAGACAGGGTTTCTCTGTGTAACAGTTCTGACTGTCCCAGAACTCCCTTCGTAGACCAGGCTGGCCTTGAACTCACAGAGATCTGCCTGCCTCTGCCTCCCAAGTACTGGGACTAAAGGCATTCACCACCATACCAGCCTAAGAGTGCTTAACTATCACTTTCTGTTGTTTGTTTTAAATCACAGAAGTAACATATTTATAATAAGGAACAAAACGAGGGTCGGGGAGATGGTTCAGGGGACACAGATCCCTGCTGCCAAGCTTGATGACCCGAGTTTGCTCCCTGTGACCCACAAAGTGGAGGGACCAATCACACAAACTGTTCTCTGACATCAAAGCATGATCTTACCTCAGACAACAATAAATGTAATCATTTTGTAAAGGACTGTGAAGCTATGTGTGCTGGTACACACCTGCAATCCCTGGCATTTGGGAGATGGAGGCAAGGTCCTGATTTCCTGGCTACCACCCGGTTCCACAGAACCACTTCCTTTGGCACAGGGCAGGGAAGGACTTACCTTTCAGTTGTACAGACCCATGTGTGGAGGTGAAAGGGTCCTCTCTCTCTTTGGCTTCCTCCCAGAACCCCTGTCCTGTTGTGCCCTCTGGACAGACAAGGTCTCCCATTAAGGCCAGGAGGTAGTTAATGTCCATCTGGTTCAAAGAGTCCCAGCCTGAGGCTGGGGGCGGCACCTTCAGAGCTTTGAACAGTGAGCTGAGGAGACTCCATATACCCTGCAAAAAGCCCAGGGAGGTGAGGGGGCATGAGCAAGGGCGTGTGGCATAGAAGCCAAGAGCATGTGCCCTGAGCTGCGTGTGTGATCTGTGTTGAACTATAGCTCTGTGCTGCAAGCCACAGGAAAATGTAATGGAATTCAGCTACTATCACAAAAGCTACTCCTTGGAAAAGTCTTAAGAAGTCTAGGTGATACTTTAGCTTTTGTATGTATATTAGCTGGTTCCTACAATGATTTTCTTGTAATGTTATGTGTGCTTCCAAGAACTCCTAACTGTATCTATCTAAAATGCCTATTCAAGCATCCAAGGCCAAACGATCTCCTGAACTAAGGTAACACCCTTGTGGAAACGATGCCTGCTCCCTAGGTCAGGCGGATAGCCTTCTTTCTTGTGCGACCTGAGACCCTCCTTTTCTATTACTAACATTATAGACTCCTCACTTCTTACTAACCACTTCTAGGAATGTAGTTTGAGCACACAAATTCCCTTTTTCTGATATACTGACTGATCATGATCATTAGCTCTCAAATTGACCTTCTTCTTTACCACTCCCCTTTTGGGTTGTAAAAGAAAGCCTGGTGGTCACTGCCTGAGGAAAACTCTCTCTTTTTTTTTAATTTTCTGGAGCTGAGGACCGAACCCAGGGCCTTGTGCTTGCTAGGCAAGCACTCTACCACTGAGCTAAATAAATCCCCAACCCCTCTGAGGAAAACTCTTATCTGCCTTTATGACCCTGTAAGAATTCAAGTCTGGTGACCTTGCTCTGCCAGAGGATGGCTATTGTTTGGGTTTATAACTGTACGCCTCAGAGACTTGAAAGGAGGAGAGAGATAAGGAGAGAGAGGAGGATTTTGAAGATAGAAATTGAGGACAAGATGGAGAAGAGAAAAGAGAATGGAAGAACTAGGTGGGTAAGAACTGGAGAGGAACAGACTAGATGGGGAAGAACTAGGTTGAAGGGCTAGAAGACAGTACTAGAGGAATGAGATGGAAGATGAGGAAGAGCCAGATGGGGAAGAACAAGATGAGGAAGAAGATGATGAGAAAGAAGGAGATGGGAGAGGAGCTGATATGGGAAAGAACTAGATGGATGAGAACCTAGAAGGGACAGAATTAAGATAGAGGGGACAGCAGATAAATATAGAGAGAAATCAGGCAAGAAAGGAGCTAGGCACGAGAGCAGAGCAGAAGCTGTGTAGAGAGAGAACTGACACAGAATAATAAAGTATACGGACTAAGGAGTTTTGTGTAAGTAGATTCATTTCATATCATCAAAGATTAAATTATCAGCTGGTTGTAGATTCTTCCTGAACCCTGGGAGGGGACTACTGAGGGGCTGGACCCTGATAGTCCTCGTTAGCTCCACCCTCTGAGGCATGAGGATCTGCAACCACTAAAATATCTCTTCCAGGACTTGAGTAGACGCAGTCCAGGCTGCATTACTCAAATGACTGCACACAGCAAGTGTTCTATAAAAGATTAGCAAGCGCATGAGTGCAGGGAAAACATGTCTCTTTTGTAAGCTTCTAGCCTGGGGGTGGGGGTGGGGGGCTGCAATACAGCACTATCCTTAGAACCACACTGCAGCCGTCTTCAGTTCTTCTGGGCCTGCTCACAACAGAGCACAACAGCTGCCCTGTTGACTCTTACCTTCCCTAGCTGAAGGACGGGTAGGGAGGGTCACGGGGCTCTCCATTCCCAAGCAACCCCATGCAATTCTGGCATAACTGCATATGGTCCTGGGGGAGAGGCTAGAGGATACTGGCAAGGAAGGAGGGGAGGGGCTCCATCTACACAGCCATAAAGAAGCCATAGTTACTGCCGCCTGCTTTAAGGTCACATGCTCCTGTCTGTCACACCCCTCACCATTGCTCTATAAATGTGCCTATAATGGACTCATTGCTTTCCCCAGGTGAATTTTGATGGCCTCATACTTTGGTTTGCCATTGGAGCCTCAGAGGAGGGTGAATATTGCTTATGTCTCCCCCAGGGAAGGAATTTTAGCAACAGAGTTTCCAGTCGGGTAGTGTATCTTACACACAACAGATGCTCAAAAAGTGTGCCTGTGTGTGAGCACATATCATGTGTGTATGTGAGATGCATGTCAGGCTGCATGTTTTCAGCTGGTGAATCCTGGCAACTGTCAGGCAGTCCAGGCTGCCAGGCGCCATGCACCAGCCTGCACTTCCTCTACTACCAGCTTTAGAGAGTCCCTCCGTTCCTACACAAGCCGAGGCTGAGGACATGCCTCGGTCACTGTTTCAGGTGTCAGATGTCCCTCCTCCATGGGCTGCGGCAAGGGAGTCAGGTTGGGGGGTCCCTGTTCCCGTTTCCCATCCTTCTCCAGGGGGAGCCGAGGCCGGGTATTCCGAAAGATCTGGACAATCAGGAGGTTGATGGGGAACACAAGGATGGAGCTCTCCAGCCCGATCATCACCTCCTGCCAAGTGAACTCAATTTTGCCTGGGGAAGAAGGAGGGAAGGAGAGGTCAAATGGAGACATGCCCCAAGTCCAGTCCCCTCCACCCTCTCATCAGAAGGCAGCTACACAGTGAAGGACCAACCAAGCACAACTCCTGGGAGGTCACCTGAAAGATGTCTACCCAGCCCCTAAGAGGCCCGTAGCTTACCCAGGATCGTGGGTCAAGCCAGATAGTCCACACCGACAAGGCAGTTTACCAAGAGCCTGGGCCACGTGGCTCAGCTTACTCTGAGGGGCCCAGAGGCTAAGGTCAGCTGTGCAGGTACATGGCCAACCACATCTATTTGGTCCCAATGAAGACTAAATCAAGGGGGTGGAGGAGACAGCGCAGTCTGTAAGGTGCTTACCATGCAAGCATGGGGACCCGAACCCCGCGATCCCAAGCACCACTGTAAAACGCCAGGGGTGGTGGCACCTGCTTGAAATCCCAGTGCTGAGAGGAGGCACATGCAGATCCCTGGGACATTTTAGCCAGCCAGTGTAGCCCAGGTGGCAAGCTTAAGGCCCCTGTCTGCAAAAATGAGGTGACTGAGCTGGGCGGTGGTGGTGCATACCTTTAATCCCAGCACTCGGGAGGCAGAGGCAGGAGGATCTCTGTGAGTTCAAGGCCAGCCTGGTCTACAGAGCGAGATCCAGGACAGGCACCTAAACTACACAGAGAAACCCTGTCTCGGGAAAAAAAAAATGAGGTGACCAGCTCCTGAAAAACAACACCCAAGGCTGAACTCGGATTTCCACGTGCCTGGAAACGAACGTGTGCGCATGCACATGTGCACACAAGACAAAGACAAGTCAGGCATGGTGGCACACACCTATGATGGTTAGTGAGTGAGTCTGAGACCAGCTTGGTCCACAGGGTAAGACTTTGACTCAGAATATCAAACCAATCAAACAAAACTAAAAAAAAAAAACCTCCTCTAGATTGAAGTGGTCTTGCTGGGCCAATGAGACTGGTACCCAGCAGCCACAGCCATCAGAAGTAATGCTGAGATTTACCCAAGTCCATCTTCTGCTCAGCTGGGTCCTTGGGGACACCCCAGAACATGATGCTGGTCAGCATGGTGCAGAGAAGCAGTGAGAAGCAACAGGACACCCTCTGCACACGTGTGAAGCTGCTCCGGGGAGAGTGACAGAAGACTGAATACCAGATGTGTCCGTCCTGGAAGCCCGTGGAGGTTTTTGTGAAAAACAGGTGGCTGTGGGTGGGGCAGATGAGAGAGACGGGTGGACGGGCATTTAGGGAGACAGGTATGCAGAAGGACTGGTCTCTTAAGAGCAAACTGATTCACCTGTAAGATTTAGGATGTTTGGGGGCCAGCAAGCTGGTTCAGTGGGCAAAACCCCTTACTACAACACAACTATGAACCATGTTTTAAAAAAGCTGGAGTAGATGGTTTGTTGCTACTGAGGGGCCCAGCCTCCAGCAGGTCAGAGAAACTGGAGAGGAAATGTGGAGTAGGTGAACACTGGACAGACAACAGACACACATGGGAACTTTATCTGAGGGCCAAAGCTGAATTCATTTCATTTTTCTCTCGGCTGGTTGTTCTTACTCTGTTCTCTTTCTGTGCTGTTCTCTACCCTGATGTTTTCTTTCTTCTTCCCAGTTCTTCTAGATCTTTCCTGGTGTTCTCCTTTTTGTTTCGTCCCTGATGGTTCCCTTCTGTTTCTTTTCTGATGTTTTCCCTTCTACATCTTTCCTTCTCCCAGCTCTTATTTTCCCCTTATCCCTTTTATACTTCCTAATCCAAAGATTTCTATGCAAGAGAAGATTACCTCATAACCACAAGTTACATATTTTCCAAAAACAAAGTGAAATCTTTACATAAGAGGAGATCACATTAAGAGCACAAGTTACATGTTTTTCTTAGAGCCCACAAGTAGTTAAATGGTTTTCTTTGTATTAATTTTCTCATCATAACATCTTCACCCTGCCAGGCAGTGGTGGCGCACACCTTTAATCCCAGCACTCGGAAGGCAGAGCCAGGTGGATCTCTGAGTTCAAAGCCAGCCTGGTCTGCAGAGCGAGATCCAGGACAGGCACCAAAACTACACAGAGACACCCTGTCTCAAAAAACAAACAAACAAAAACAAAAAAACAAAAAAACTTCATCACAAAGCAGTGATTCTTTATAACTGATTAACAAAGTTTTAGGCAAGCTAAACACATTTCAGCCAGTTCCTTTTGTGCTGGCAGGTGGCTGTTTGCAGTTTCTGTGTAGCAGATTTCTATTTTCTACTCTAGAGGAACGTTAAAACAAGTGGTCAGTTCACCATCTATTTTCCTTTACACACAATAGAATCATTTAATTTCCTTTCATAACTTTGTTTTTTCAAGGTACATACTGGGGCCTGTGATTAATTCTGTAAGTTACATGACCAAGGAACTCAGGCCAAACCCTGGGTGTAGGGACATAATTGCTCTTTTTGATCATCAGCCTGTTTTTCCACAGGCAGAATTTATGGGTCTAAAATACATGAAACTTCCTTGTTATTATTTTCCATCCTCTGCAAATCTCACATCTAGGAGAAGATGAGAAGGTGACTTTTAGCCTATATTTGCCTTTTTTGTATCTCTTATTGGCGCAATTGGCAGGATAACCTAAACCATTTCCTTGATCATCTTTACTAACTGTCCTAACTACCTATATCTTTTAGGCTAACTCAGAAAATCCAATTAAATCACAGATCTAACTAACTAATCACCATTGCTTATAAAAATCATCTTCATTATGATCTGCAAGTAAACTGCCCAGCGAGGAGTGGGATTTTCCCAGGAAACAATCACACTGTATTAGATACGGTAGGATCCCTTCACATGGTAATCCCACCATGCCGAATACAGCAGGAACTCGGCAGCAGCAAGCAGGAGGAAGGACAGCAGAAGCAAGGGGCAGGGGAGCTCTGGAGACAATCCTCCCAGGGCTTGGCTCTCCAAGATGCACCCAAAGTAGCTTTGCTATCCTCTGAGTTGTATCCCATAAATTCCATTGCTGCCTGCAGCTCCTCTGACATGACCACAGATAGTCCGTAACCCCTGCCACTCCTAAGACAACATGGGAGATGCAGACAGAATATCTCAAGTAAGCAGCAGGGAGCCTGCCTTAGAAACAAGGGGAGATGGCTCGGTGGTTAAGAGCACCTGCTGCTCTTCCAGAGGTTCTGAGTTCAATTCCCAGCAACTACATGGAGGCTCACAACCATCTCTACTGCAATCTGATGCCCTCCTCCAGCATAAAGTCATACATGCAGATAGAGCGTGCGCGCGCGCGCGCGCGCGCACACACACACACACACACACACACACACACACACATATATATGAAATAACTCTTTAAAAAAAGAAAGAAAGACAGAAACAAGGTTGGCCTGGGAGATGGCTCAGGAGCTAAGAGCACCATGCTCTGTTTAAGAGGACCTAAGTTCGGTTCCCAGCACACATATGGCGGCAGCTAACAGTCGTTTGTGACTCAAGTTCCAAGGGATCTGACACCTTTTCCTGTCCTCCACAGGTATTGTATGTACAAGATGCACAGACACACATACAGCCAAAGCACTCATACATGTAAACTCTCAAAAAAGTGGAAGGAAAAAACCAATTCTCAGAAAGTTGTTCTCTGACACAAATGCCATTCTATGGATAGACACATGTGTGCACCACAGGCACATTTACACAATTAGCAGATTGTGATTTACTTTTGAGATAGCCTGCCACTTTCTCAGTGCTGGAATTACAGGCATGTGTTACCACACTCAGCTGATATGGTGCTGGGGACGGAAACCAGGGCTTTGAGCATGCTAGGCAAGCATTCTTCCAACCGGGCAATGTCCACAGCATGCATGCAAAGAGAGCCACCTTGGAGTCCTAGCCTCCCTCCTACCCAGCACTGTGACCTCAGGCAAGTGACATCATTCTTTACACCTCAGTTTCCTTGACTTTAAGCTAATGATAGAACTTTGCTTGTTGGGTGTTTGGAAGGATTTAAAGTGATAGCTGTTACTGATTTGAGACAGGGTCTCAAGAACTCAGGCTGGCCTCACACTATAACTGGTCTGTACCACTATGCCAGCAAAACTGTCATCTTTGTAAATTGTTGAGACAGCATTAATGTATGGGTGAGTGGTTCAGGGTGTTTTTGCTATATTTGAATTTGATAAAATAGCTATAATAGGGTTTGGGGATTTAGCTCAGTGGTAGAGCGCTTGCCTAGCAAGCACAAGGCCCTGGGTTTGGTCCTCAGCTCCCGAAAATTAAAAAAAAAAAAAAAAAGCTATAATATTACTAGTTTAGGACCCACTATCCATGCCCCTGTCTATGTCAGCCTCTTGGGTACCCAGGTCTCTAATTCAGATTTATCCCTTTAGAAGGCCCCACTGGGAGGGGAAGTAAGTCACCAGAATAAATATCCTGGAAGCAGACCTACTGCCCATTGATGGGAGTGAGAGGATTCGACATCCATTTTGTATGCTATTGCAAAGCCATTAGGGACCCTGGGTATGATGGAATATGCCTATAATCCCAATACTTTGGGAGGTAGAGGCAGGAGGATCAAGAGTTCAACGTTATCCTTGGCTTATTACCTGGGCTACGTGAGACCCTTTCTCAAACAAAAATAAGGGAACTTATTTCACCTAAACAAATTCTCCCCAAAAGGTGACCATGATACATTTATTATGCTAAAGACAAAAGCAACATGTTTCCAGTAACACCATAGATGTAAAATAAGTGACCTAGGAGATAGCTTTGGTAAAGTATTTGCTGTATGAGGACCCGGGTTTGATCTCCATCTGTCGTGTGATATTTTGATTTCATTCTGAAAATAAACCTTGCTTTGAGTTGGAGGGCGGAGCTAGCCACTAGCTGACCAAAATTAACCATAGAGGTTTGGAGGACTGTGGACAGATAGAAGACAGGAAGTAATAAAAAGTGACTGAGAGAGGACCTTAGCCCTTTAGGAGGAAGGAATGGAAAAGGTAGGAAGTCACCGGTGCCTGCTCCCCTGCTTCTCTGATCTTTCAGGTTCTTACCCTGATATCTGACTCCTGGCTTTTTTATTGGTAAAGATTAATTAGACAAACGCTTCACCCATCCTATGTAAAAAGTCAGGTGTGGTGATGCATGCTTGCAACCTAGAGCTGTGGAGGCAGAGGTGGACTGAAAGCCTCCTGGGACTCACTGGCGGGCCAGCCTAGTCAAAATGGCAAGTTGTAGGTCAGAGAGAGACTCATCTTCAAAAACAAGGTGGATGACTACTAAGGAATGACCTCTGTCCCCCATGTGTATACAAACACCACACACACACACACACACACACACACACACACACACACACACACACACGTAAAATAACAATGTATGGTGTGTGTGTGTGTGTGTGTGTGTGTGTGTGTGTGTGTGTGTGTGTGTGTGTGTACATGTGCATATTAATGTCTGTTCATATGTGTTTGCAGACCAGTGTGGAAGCAAGCACATCAGGGTACGGAGAAATGCATACATTGAAGGGAAGGATGGGCTGAGGACCCATGGGCAGTAAACACAGAAGAGGGAACTGGAGGGAAGGATGGGCTGAGGACCCATGGGCAGTAAACACAGAAGAGGGGGCCGCACAGGGCCAGCAACTGAATCAACGTTTATCCTGGTTAGGGTCAGCTAGTGGCTAGCTCCGCCCTCCGACTCAAAGCAAGGTTTATTTTCAGAATGAAATCAAAATATCACACGACAGATGAGGGAGGAAAGGCTTTATTCCATCTGACCGCTTATCATCCAGGGAAATCAGGGCAGGAACTCAAGGCAGGAACCTGGAGGGAAGAACTGGAGGAGGCTATGGAAGAGGGCTGTCCACCTGTTTACCTCCCCTAGGAGAAGGAACTCAGGCCATGTCAGAGGTGCTTGGTCAGCCTTCTGTCTTCCGGTGCCCAGGACCACCTCCCGGGGATGCTGCTGCCCACGGTGAGCTGGGCCCTCGGCATCAATCATCATCAAGAAAGTACACCATAGGTTCTCCCACCAGGCCAATCTGGTGGCGGCATTTTTCTCAACTGAGGTTCCCTCTTCCCCAATGACTCCAGCTTCTGTCACACTGACATAAAACTAGCCATCACACCATTCAAAACACCATGGCTGATAACAGAAAATGTCCTGCGACATTCATCAGGTAACACAGGTGACTGTTTCCACGTCCTCACCACCTGCAACAGACTTCTTGCCAATCCTGCCAGTGTCCTCATCCCAACAGGACATTTGGCCGTCAGTGTCACATACTCAAAGATGTCCAGACCACTGTGGAAATGTGCTTTCATTAGCATGCCTGGGCTGTGAGGCTGTTTTCCTAAGATTAAAAAAGACAGAGCCAGAGCGGTACATCTGCTGAAAAAAGACAGAAGGGAAGTACCTAAACTGCTTCCTGTCCTGCTCTGTGGCCACAGGAAACACCTTGTCGAGGACACAGTCACCCACATCAATGGACAGCCACGAGTTGCAGAGGAAATACCATTTCCGGTCCACCACAGGGTCATAGACCAGCACCTGGCTCACATACCTGGAGAAAGGAGATGCAGCTCTGAGGATTAGGTGTAGGGGGTGGGACTCCCTGGGATACCACAGGGATAAAGCCTTCAGACAATGAGCCCCAAGTACCTGGAAAAGGCACGTGCATGCTCTTTACTTAGTGTCTGGGTGACATCTGGCCTCCTGTGGGGAGCTCAGCCAGCTCAGAGAGCCGCCTCAGCTTTGAAGGCAGCTGTTTGTTCACAGGGAAGCAGCAGGGTACAGGAAAACACATTTGAAAACTCTGAACCCCTTACTCAGGACCCCCAGCCATAAGCAAGAGAAGCCAGGCCCAAGAGAGTGTGCTCCAGTAAGCTGTTTCGAAGCTTCAGAGGAGGAGGTGTCATCTTGCCTGAATCGAGAAGGGCAGGCTAACAGCAGCTTTTCTGTAATTGTGTAGCCAACAGGAACAGCCTGTTCTTCCCTGAGTGCTCACTATGTAACGGGCACTGTGCTCTACCCATGTCCCTCGTTTCCATAAGCACAGCTCCGTTAGGGATGCAAAGGCCACCTATGTCCAGGCCACGGCCCTCCTGGGTGACTGGCATCCAGTGATCCAGGACCTGGATATTTTGATCCAACTTGGGACACCTTCAGGGAGCCACAGGAGATGGCGGGGCTGTCACCAGCTTGGACCACATTTGACAGCTCCCTCTGCCTATCCCAGGCCTGGCCTCCCTCCCCAGGAGCCAACACTAGAACTCCTTTAATAGATACTTGGCATGCTCATCTGCCTCTCAGAGTCTGCTTCCTGGGAATTTGGTGAGTTAGATAGCAGGTGGGGTGGCCTGTGCCAGCTCTTACAGGCTGAGACAAGAGACTACCAGAAGCTCAAGGCTAGCCTAGGCTACCGAGTGAGACCGTCTGTTAAAAAGGCTAAAACCTAAACAGTGTAAGCACCCCCCTCCCTTTTTATTTTCCAGACAGGGTTTCTCTGTGTAGCTTTGGAGCCTGTCCTGGAACTCCCTCTGTAGCCCAGGCTGGCCTCGAACTCACAGAGATCTGCCTGCCTCTGCCTCCGGGTGCTGGGATTAAAAGTGTGTGCCACCACCGCCCGGCTCCCCACCCCTTTTGTTTTTTGAGACAGGGTCTTGTGTAGCACAGGCTTGTCCTGAATTGTCTTTGGAGCCAAGGATGACTTTGAACTCCTATCATCCTGCCTTTCAAGTGCTGGGATTATTGGTGTTCAATACCCAGTGTTTATGTATATATATATAAACATAGTCTCTCTATGTAGCCCTGGCTGTCCTAGAACTCACTATGTAGACCAGGCTGGCCTTGAACTCAGGGGTCTAGCTGCCTCTGCCTCCCAAGTGCTGAGAGTAAAGGTGTATACTACCACACCGGGCATGCCCAGCCTTTTCGTGATGAAGTCTCACACTCTAGTCCAGGCTGGCATGGAGCTCACTATGTACCCTAGGCTACCCCAGAACTTGTAGCACTCTTCACACCTCACCTTCCCAAACACTAGGATTGCACGTGTGTACACTGCCTGATGATGCTGTTTTTCTGAAGGGACTGCCTGCTGATAGCTGGTCACACTGACGCTGTTTGTCTGAGTCACTAGTTTTGGTCTCAGGGAGAATGGACAGGACCTTGCTCTGAACTTGTAGCTGTGTGTGACCTTGGACAAGTCTTAAGCTGGAGCTCTAGAAAGGCCAGGGGTAGGCCCAGCGCTGGACATCAGGGCTGGACTTCAGTCCTTCTCCTTTCTGGTCTAGTTTGTGTGGACCATGAGCCAGGGGCCTCTCTGAAAGGTTGTCTCGCTTGTGCCGTGGAGAACCATTCTGTGTGTTTGTAGCAGTTCCTGCAAGCCAGGAAACGGGTGCCTGGCCCCAGCCTGGTCATTTGTGGTCTCCCGACTCACCATGATGGCCGGTCCCCAGAGTTGTCATGCCACAGCCTGAGGCTCTGCAGTTCTCCCAGGGGGAAGAGAGTGGACAGGAGAAAGACATCCACCCCTCCTCGCTCAAAGACCGCAGCATCAGGGTCTGACAGGTGGTGGGGCTCACTCTCTCTGTCTGAGCCATACAGGGTGAGAGTCACCTGGAACCCAGAGACCAGAGGCTGGCACGGTAGCTCAGTCAGTGCAGTGTCTGCCCAGCATTCGGAAGTTCTGTGCTTGATGCCAGCACTGCACAAAACTAGGCATGCAGACACATGCATGCACACTCACACATGCACACACACTCACTCATACACACACACACACACACACATACACACACACACACACACACAATGAATAATGTAATTTTTTTTAACTAAGAATATTCTCTCCTCTAAAATACGAAATAAAACAAATAGGGTACACAGAAACACAAGTCCAGGGAGCCAGAGACACCCCACATCGACAGAGCCAGTACTGCCAGTACTGCTGGTGGGTGGAGAGACACACCCACCAGCCAACAGGTACCTTCGAAGATGTGGCTGCCCCTCGTCGGTGTCCCGTGTAGACTGTCACCAGGTAGTGATACTGGGCAAAGGGCTCATTGTCCTCTAGCACTATGACTTTTACCTAGGTAGAAGGACAGTGTTAGGGGGACCCTACTCGGTGAGCTCACCCACCACCCACAGCTAAGAATGAGTTGGGCATCAATGCCAATTAACATGCAAAAAAAATACATTTGTTATTATCTGATCCGGTGAGAACTGTCATGTATGAAAGGAGGAAGAAAAATAGTAGCAAAAGCGCAGAAGCAGCTGGGCGGTGGTGGCGCATGCCTTTAATCCCAGCACTTGGGAGGCAGAGGCAGGCAGATCTTTGTGAGTTCGAGGCCAGCCTGGTCTACAGAGGGAGGTCCAGGAAAGATGCAAAGCTACACAGAGAAACCCTGTCTTGAAAAACCAAAAAAAAAAAAAAAAAAAAAAAGCGCAGAAGCACAAACTTGGTGTTAAACTAAGAATGTTCAGTGTTTGGTGTGGTGAGTGTATACAGTGTGTTTATACGACCAGATTTGTTTCCCAGGGAATTCAGAAGGAATCTTTTAGTGAAAGCATCAAGTGGCCGGAGTTAGTTGGGGTCTGGGGTGACCTCTGGGATGCGCTGCTCAGCTCTCTTTCCTGTGAAAGGCTCACCTCGGCTGCTGAGGCTCCGCTGTCAAGGATGTAGAGTCAGTCATCTCTGTCAAGGGTTACTCTTGTGGCAGCTGACAGCCAATGACCCGTCTATGAGGTATCTGGATGTGATTAAGACCTGGGCATCTCAGCCCAGCTCAGTCCCGCTCTCCAGGGACTGGCGGGGCTCTCAATGCTGCATAAGCATCCTGCCAGCTCCACAGGGGCTCACCCTAAAGGTTCCTCTTAGAAAACACCCCTTAATTCCATCTTAAAGCATGCTTTCTGGGAGCAAACCTGAGGCATTTAAGATTTATTGTATATATTATATATTATATATGTATATAAATGTTTCTTTTTTTGAGACAGGGTCTCACTAGGTAGCCTTGGCTGGTTTGGAGTTCTCTTGGTAGACCAGGCTGGCCTTGAATTCATAGAGATTCACATGCCTCAGCCTCTCAAGTACTGAGATTACATGTATGTGTCATTATACCCAGATTTTATATTTTAAAACTAATTATGAGTATATGTTGGGGATGGAGGTTGTACACATGGCCACAGTGTCCAAGGAGGCCAAAATAATGCATCAGAGCCTCTGGAACTGGGGTTTCATGTGCTTGTGAGCTGCTTGATGTGAATTTTGGGAATGGATCTTGAACTTGGTTCCGCTGCAAAAACAGTACATGCTTTTTTAGTTACTTGTTTTATGTGCATGTGCATTTTGTCTGCTTGTATGCATGTATGCGCATGCATGTGTGCCTGGTGCCCTCAAAGGGCATTGAATTCCCTGGAACTAGAGTTGTTAGAGTTAAAGATGGTTGTGAATCACCATGCGTGTTCTCAGAACTGAACCCATGTCCTCTGCAATAGCAATAAGTGCTCTTAATCACTGAACCATCTCTCAAGCCCCATTTTTGTGTTTTTGTTTTTGTTGCTATTTTTTTAGACAGGGTCCCATTATGTAGCCCTGGCTGGCCTAAAGTTCCTGTGTAGAACAGACTGACTTTGAACTCAGAGATTCTCCTGCCTCTGCCTCCAAGTGCTGGGATTAAAGGCGTGCTCCACTATACTAGGCCCAGCAGTGTGTGCTCTTAACTACTGAGCTGTCTCTCCAGCCCCAACCCTGTATTTAAATGTCAACGTTTGGTCTCCTGGAAGAATCAAAGACACAGTATGAATGCTGAATGTCATTTGAGAACACTTCACTCTGTACTGGCATCCCTCGTAGTGCTGCCAGGGAGGAGAGAGCGAGAGATGGACAGCCCCGAGCTCCGCCACACTGCGCCCTTGCACTCGCCTATATATTCCTCAGACGTCCATGAACACTTCCTGAAGGCCAGTCTGTGTTCCGTAAGACTTTACTAATTGCTGTCGCAAACAATTCCTTGCACAGTGTTTTTGTCCAGTCCATGTATGGCCCGAGCCCCATCGGGGCTGAAATCCTGGCTCCTCTCTAACAGCTGCAGGCCAGTTAACTGGCCTCTTGATCCCTGGTTGCCCCCTCCTCTTTAAGATGATGGGGGGAATGAAATCCAGGGTAGGCTCAGTGAACTCGAGGTGTCCACACCAAAGGAAGGACTGGAACCGAGCAAGGGGATCCTTCCTGCAATCCCAGCACTCAGGAGGCTGAGGCAGGGGACTGTTAGGAGTTTGAGGATACCCTCAGATATATAGTGAGTTTGGGGCCAGCCTGGGCTACATGAGACATAGTTTAAAGAATAAACACAGACACCCCACAAACAAATGGGAGGGCTGTCCTTATAGCCTGTGTACCCACTGTCCATATCCTTAGAGGTGACTTCTGTGCATCCTACATAAGATGCTTTTGCATACAGGAAGCCCAGGCCAAGCCACACATGAGAACTATGTGATTTATGGTGGGACTTCAGGTCATACTGTGTGTTTGAGGCGGGAGACTACATAACCAAGGTTGGTCAAGTGGACTCCTCCTACCTCCGTGCCCAACTTCCAATCAAACCCAGGATACCAAAGCTCACAGGAGCTTCCGGTTGGCAATATTTGCTAGGTGTTGTCTCAGGGAAAATTAAGCATCATCTGTAAACATCAGCTGAACACAGAAACCAAGACAGGTCTCTCCCGAGTCCTCTCAGTAGATCAACCATGAGGAGATGGCCCAGTTGACAAAGTGCCACACGACCATGAGGACCTGAATTTGACTGACATAAAAAACCAGGCATGGTGACACATACTTGTAATCCCAGGACTGGAGAGGGCATTCCTGGGGTTCACTGATCAGTCAGTCTGGCCTGAGATCCTGTCTCAAAAACTAAGGAGGGCAGTTCCTGATAAGCGACACATGATGTTGACATCTGGCCTTCAGATGGACATACATGCATATGATTGCACATCACACAGACACGTACACATACAGGTTCACACATACACATACTTACAAACAAAAGTAATAAAACCATCACCATCACTTCAATTCTGAATTCTGAGTCCTTTTAGCAAATTACTGACACAAGGGTGGCCTTGTGACCTCCCATCCTAACACAGGTACCTTTCTCCAAGGGCTGCTGTGTACATAAATGGGATTGTGCCTGGTATTTAGCGAGTACTCAGTTGATGGTCAATAGCACACTCTTCCTGATAATTTGATGAAAAGGGATGTTCTGTAAATGCTAGGCTGAGTGGCCAGCTTGCCCGAGATGACCCCAGGGGTTAAAGCCTGGACAAACAACTGGTCTCTCCATAGACCCCGGGGCTCTGTCCTCTACAGTCCCTATTCTCCTATTCCCAGGAACTTAGTGCCTCACCTTGCCCTGGTCCTGTATGTCCTTTCTCCTGGCCCAGATCACCACCAGCACGTAGACCACGCAGAGGCAGCCCACTGTGGTAACTACCACAGGGTTGTCCTCGAAGGTGGCAAAGAGCTCTGCAGTCTGGTGGACGTCGATGGCATTGGGCATCACCAGGATTGTGCTTCCGAAGAAGGTAAGGTGGTTGCAAAGGCAGTGTGTCTGGGAGGTGGTGGTTCGAGGCCCGACCTGTAAACCCCAAAGAGACCATGTTTTGAAATGCACCTGCTTCAGCTCAACAGTGAGAAATGATGAACACCCCAGTGTGGACACCACTCAGTCAGCCTTTCAGATCCACAGATTCAGCCAACCAGTCCTCTGGTTGAAATGACATGTTTTTAGGGCTGGGATGTGATTCACTTGGTAGAGAGCTTGCCCAGCATGTATGAAGCCCTGGGTTTAATCAACATCGAATAAACTGGATATGGTGTCACGCACCTGTGATCCCAGTATCAGAAGGTGCACATAGGAGGATCAGGAGTTCAAGGTCATCCCCTGCTATATATTCAAGGCTAGTCTGGGCTACATGAGACTCTGGCTGACTGACTATCTAGGCCAGAGGCATCAAATCCCTCTGCAGTTGGAGTTACAAGTGCCTGTGAACGAGGTGATGTAAGTGCTGGGAACTGAACTTGGCTTCTCTGCAAAAGCAGTGAGGATCAGAGTCCAGAAACCACGTGGATGCATGAAAGTGGACCTGTTAACCCGCTAGTAATTCCGGCCTCGGAAGGTAGAGACAGGATCCCCAGAGAAAGCTGATAACTGAGACTAGCCATATCATCGAGCTGTGGGTGTGACTGAGACATCCTGCCTCATTGAATGGGGTGAGAAAATGGAGGATGATTCCTAATGTCAACAACCTCTGGCCTTTATACATACGTGCATGTGCACTCACCCACATTCAAAAATGCATACACACACACACACACACACACACACTTGAAAATGAAAATTTATTTTAAAATTCAGAGAATATTATTTCCTTTTCATGTGCTGGGATTGAACCTGGACCTTCCCAGCAGGGTTTTGTTTGTTTGTTCTGTTTTTGTTTTGTTCTATTTTGTTTTGTTTTGTTTTGAGACAGGGTGTCACTCTGTAGCCCTGGCTGTCCTGGAACTTCTATGTAGACCAGGATGGTCTCAAATTCACAGACATCTGCCTGCCAGGTGCTGGGATCAAAGGTGTGCACTACCACACCCGGCTTGTGAATATTATTTTTAACAGTTTCATATCTGTCCTTCACAATTTGCAGGCTGCTTTGTCTGTGTCAGAGAAGTACTGAAGGTGAATCTAGAGTCTCCATCATCACTGGTCCCAGCAGCACCCAGCACCACAAACATGACCTACAGCCCTCCTGTCCTTTGCCTACTTAAGCCTCATTCATGGAGGGGGCGTGTGCTGGGTGCTGACACTTGCCCAACAATTGGCCAGGCCGAAAACATCTAGTGGCCAACTTGTCTCAGTTTTCCAGGACTCCCTGGTTTTCAACTGAATGTCCTGGGCCCCAGGAATCCTCTCAGCCTGCAGCGAACTGGAATGGGTGATTGACCCATGCTGAAGAGAAAGTGCCAGTCTGGGAAGCCTCTGGAAGGGAGAAAGGAAATGCTAACCCCCTAGGCTGGGTCTCAGCTCCAGCAAGGTGAGGATCGTTTGGCTGTGCAGCCTTTGGGTGCTCAGCAAGGAATCAGGGAGGCTAGGGCAGGCACCCCCACCCATGCGGCTGTTCTTGTTCTCTGTCCCCAGGACATTTGGTAAGTGAAGCTGCTTAACTCAGCTCCAGGGTCCAGCTCCATCTTCATTCCAGATGATGAAGACAGACCCAACAGAAAGGAGTGGCTTCTGGAAATTTCTCTGCTCAAACACTTAGTGAGAGAGCCTCCTGCTGCCCAGTTCTGCCAAGGCTCATCCCACGGACAGGCCAGACACCAGCTGCTCATTCCAAATTTCAGGTAGGTCTTCCTTCTGTTCCCTCTGAGCTGTTTTTACTCTTTCCTAATCCTGGTGGGCATTTGGCACAGAGAGATGGGTGGTATGGGAACACCTGCTACACCCAGAAGGGGGTGAAGCTGCTTCCAGAGGAGAAAACAGAGCAGGGACCCATCACTGTTTATGCTCAGGTTTTGTCCCAGGTTTCACAAGGACCTTGAGGTCAGTGGCTCTCCCAACCACTCCCAGCATGGTAGAACCTTTTTGGGGGGCATGGAGGTGCTGGTGACTGACTCCTAAATGGCAGAAAAGTATTCTACAACTGAGGTATACCCCAGCCAAGGGGAAGTTGTTGTTTTTTCTAGTTCTTTAAAATACATACATTTGTGTGCCAGCGAGATGGTTCAGCAGGTTTAAGACACTTGCTGCCGTGTTTGACCATCTGTGTCAATCCCTGGATCCCATGTGGTAGGAGGAGAGAACCGACTCCCACATCCACGCTTTCCTCTGACCTCCACGTGAATGCCATGGCATGTGTGCACACATATACAATAAATAAAGAAACAAAACTTTAAAAATTATCATTTGTGTCCAGGGAGGGGGTTGAATGTTCCATGTGCATGTGACAGTTTTGTAGAATTGGTTTTCTCGTTCCACTTTTATGTGGGCTCAAGAGATCAAATTCAAGCTATCACCCTAGTATGGCAAGCTCCTTGACCCACTGAACCATCTCACCATCCCATGTAGTTTTAAAAATGTGTGTGTGTGTGTGTGTGTGTGTGTGTGTGTGTGTGTGTGTGTGTGTGTGTGTAGATGAGTACACACTTGTGTGCATATTTGTTCATGAATGTGGAGGCCAGGGTACAGCCTCCCATGTCATCCTCAGGAAATCTGTCCACCTCCTCTGACACAGGGTCTTTCATTGGTCTGGAGCTCACCATTTAGGCTAAACAGTCAGGGAGCCCCAGGGAGCCACTTGACTGCCTCTCCACAAGTGATAGCATGTCTGGCACTTTCATGTGGGTTCTGGGGATCTACCCCAGGACCTGTGCTTACAAATCAAGCACTTTTCAACTAGACCACCTCTCCAAGCCCAGAAACATGTTTTAAATAGCGTCATAAACATCTGGAACCTCTTCTGTACTCTGAAACTTAGGTTTGGCTGAGTGAGTCTCGTGCTCTCTCCCCGCCACATCCTGATCCTCAGTCCTTGGCTTCTATCTTATAGAAAGTGTTGCCCCCTTTACAACCAGAGGGTTGAACACAGTGATCCCTTTTGCAGAGCCACCCTGTGAGTTAGGCATTGTGCCTCATTCCTTGTAGCCCTGAGCCCCACTCAACTCTATCCCCATTTCAGGGTGGTAAAGCTCAGAGAGGTGGGGCAACTAATATTTATCCAGTGAGTGTAGGGACTAAACCCAAGTCTGTTTTGTGGCAGACTCCACACCCCCAACTCCTACACCACCATGAACCTCAGGGTGCAGGGGCAACCCATGCCAGCCACATAAGGTGGCTTTGGGGAGTAAGTGCTTTGGGAGGCCACCACCCACCCAGGCCTGTTCCTGAGATGCCAAGGCTGGTGCCTGGAGCTTGGGCACCTTCTGTCCCTTAGGAGTATCTTTGTGCCATCCTCCTCCCTGGGCCTTGAGTGTGGCAGCCAGAAGCCAGGGCGGAAAGTGACAGCGGAGCTTTTACTACAGCCTCCACAGCCCAGAAGGGGCTCACCCTCAGTGTCCTCCTTCCAGAGCTCTAGAGTGACATGGTTCTTAGGTGTGTCTCGCTTCAGGCCTGTGCCCTCAGCTAGACTTCTTATTCACTGGTTTTTCTCACCCACCTACCCCACCACTGGGACAGGGTAAACATTTGTCAACACATGAAAGAAGGTTCTATGTCCATGGATGCAGAGAGGTGAGGGATCAATTTGGATTCTACACGAGACAGCCGATCTTGGTAGGGCATGTAATGATAGAGAAGTCCAACAGCAGGAGGTATGAGGCAGCCTCATGGGCTCCTGGGAAGAGGGCTCTGGAGTAGGAGGCCAAGGGGTGTTCGTGGGGTGGGAGATACTGGAGCTTTCTAGGCAGAAATAACTAAGAAGAGCATTTAAGGACAACACAGCCTATATAACTCATATTGGGACAATGTGGTCCTATCCAGGGAGTACTTTGATGGCCTCAAAGCCAAAGTCTGTCTGCAGGACACTGTCACAGGGGCCTCAACTCCACGAGGCAGACTGGATAAGAATTACAATTAAACAACTGTCTCACTTATTCAGAGGGCCTAGTCCAGTTCCATGGGGGCTCCTCAGCTATTGGTTCACAGTTCATGTGTTTCCACTAGTTTGGCTAGTTGTTTCTGTACTTTTACCAATCATGGTCTCGATATCTCTTGCTCATAGAATCCCTCCTCTCTCTTGACGATTGGACACCTGGAGCTCCACCTGGGGCCTGGCCGTGGATCTCTGCATCTGCTTCCATCAGTCACTGGATGAGATTTCTATCATGACAGTTAGGGTGTTTGGCTATCCGATTACCAGAGTAGGTCAGCTCAGGCACCCTCTCGACCATTGCCAATAGTCTATAGTGGAGTTATCTTTGTGGATTTCTGGGAACCTCTCTAGCAGTCTGCTTCTTCCTATTCCCATGGAGTCTTCATTTATCATGGTATCTCTTTCCTTGTTCTTCCATTCTGTTCCTGATCCAGCAAGGACCTCCTGCTCCCCTAAGCTCTCTTTCCCCCGACCCTTGCCTCCATTAATCAATCCCGCCTCACTCCCAGTTTGCTCATGTAGATCTCATCCACTTCTATGTCGCTGGGCGATCCCTGTGTATTTCCTAGGGTTCTATTTCCTAGCTAGCCTCCCTGGAGTTGTGATTGCAGTCTGGTTATCCTTTGCTTTACATCTAACATCCAGATGAGTGGGTACATACCATGTTTGTCTTTCTGAGTCTGGGTTACCTCACTCAGGATGATATGTTCTAGTTCCATCCATTTGCCTGCAAACCTCATGATGTCATTGTTTTTCTCTGCTGAGTAGTACTCCATTGTGTATATGTACCACATTTTCTTTATCTATTCTTCAGTTGACGGGCATCTAGGTTGTTTCCAGGTTCTGGCTATTACAAATAGTGCTGCTATGAACATAGTTGAGCATGTGTCCTTGTGGTATGATTGAGCATTCCTTGGGTATATGCCCAAGAGTGGTATAGCTAAGTCTTGATGGAGGTTGATTCCCAATTTTCTGAGAAACCCCCATACTGATTTCCACAGTGGTTGTACAAGTTTGCATTCCCACCAACAGTGGAGGAGTGTTCCCTTTGCTCCACATCCTCTCCAACATAAGCTGTCTTCGGTGTTTTTGATCTTAGCCATTCTGACAGGTGTCAGATGGTATCTCAGAGTCATTTTGATTTGCATTCTAGGCCCTTTGGATAAGTTGTTGCCTTTGGAGACAGTTGTTTAGCTTGAACTGTTTAGGAGGTCCCCAGGCAGTGGGACCTGGACCTGTCTCTGGTGCATGAGCTGGCTTTTTGGAACCTAGTACCTATGCTGAGACACTTTGCTCAGCTTCTGTGCAGGGAAGAGGGGATTGGACCTGCCTCAACTGAATGTACTAGGCTCTGCTGACTCCTCAGGGGAGATCTTGCCTTGGAGGAGGTGGGAATGGGGGGTGAGATTGGGGGGGGGAGGCTGGGGGGTGGAAGGTGGGAGGACAGGGGATTCCGTGGCTGATATGTAAAACGAATAGAAAATCTCTTAATCAACAACAAAGGATGTCCAATACTTAAAAAAAAAAAAAAGAATTACAATTAGTAAGGCCATTCTGAATCTCAGCATTTGGGGAAGTTGTGTTGTCATGGTGATGATATGGCCACAGGCAGACCTGGCTTTAATGTGTGTGAGGTTTGGGGGCAGTCCATCAAGTTTCCAGACCCATTGTCTCATTGCCTGTGAAATGGGAACCACCGCTCTGCTCCCCTGGGGCTATCTGAAGCACTGATGAGATACTGCTGGGAAAGGTGAACACAGGACACAGCTGAGGTCATTTTCTAGGAAGTGACACCCTGGCCCGCCACGCCCCACACACACTCCTGGCTCCTGGGATGGCCTAGGGAGAGAGGTTGGGGAGCACACTGCTAAGCAGGGTGAGGTGGAGAGAATGCACTCAAGTTTACAGCAGGAATCTGACCTAGTCGGGGCCATGAAGTTTTCTCAAGAAAATGGGCAAGAAGGACACTCTGAGCACAGGAACCACATATGCAGAACACCATAGAGAAGCATGAGATATTGTACCAGAGGCTCCAAAGGACACACCCTACCCAAACCTCCCCAGCTTACTTCTCTTCCTTACCTGGCACCCAGCGTTGTCCCAGGTCTCCTGGGTTTCATCCCAGAATACACAATGTGACAAGAAGGTGGTAATGCCAACTGTGAGGTTCCTGCCAGAGGCAGACTCCAGGTCATCCTTGGGGACCACCCTCAAATAGTAGATCCCTTCTCCAAAGGGCAGGTCCTCTGGGCCCAGGATCCAGGTGGGTAGCTCACCTGCAAGAAACAAGGCTCTGGTCTTATTGAAATTAGAGGACACCAAGATGACATGGCGGGACATAGACCTCAAGGTTTCTCTATTATCCCAGGAGTACCCTTGCTCAGTATTCATGGGCATGGCAGGACACGAAGGGCTCGCAACTGCTTCTTATTGGCTCTGTGATATCAGACTGGTTATTGAATTTCTATGTCCTTAATTATTTGTTTCGTAGTTTTGAGGCAGGGTCTTATGTAGCCCAGGCTAGCCTCAAACTTGCTATGTAGTAAAGGCTGAACCTACTGGCCCTATTGGTCCTCCTGCCTCAGCTCCCAAGTTCTGGGACTGCTCTGCACCTGACTTGACCCTCTCTGCTCATATCTGGAACGTGGAGATTTCTACAGCTGGCCTCAGAAGGTTCTTTATGAGCTCATCCACATCTCCATGGCATGTACTAAATGTTTTCCTAATGGGGGGGGCAAATAACACCAATAACATCAGCCCAGGAAAGCTGCTGAAGAAGGCAAGCAGTTTGTTCTTTGCTTTTCAATTAACTAATTTTGAGTGTGTTATGTGTGGGTATGCACACACATGTGTGCATTCTGAGAACAGAGGCTGACACTGGATGTCTTCCTCAATGCTTCTCTACCCTATTTTATTTAAAAAAAAAAAAGACTTATTATTATTAATTAATTGCACTAGGGGCAGGGTATGTAAATGTGAGTTCAGGTGCCCACAGAAGCTAGAGGCATGGATCCTCCCGGAGCTGGAATTACAGAGGGATTGGGAACCTCCCAGCATGAATGATGGGGACCTCTGCAAGTGCAATGTGTGCCCTTGACTGCTGAGCCATGTCTCCATTCCATGTTTTATTTGTTTGTTTGTTTGTTTTGTTTTTGAGACAAGTTTTTTCACTAAAACCCACAGCTTCACATTCAGTGAGGCTGGCAGCCAGTGAACCCCAGGACCCTCCCATCTCTGATCCTCCCCACTCCCAGGACTGAGATCACAGGCATAGGCTACTACATCAAACTTTTTATGTGGTTTCTCAGGATTGGACTCTGATCCTCATATTTTAATGACTGAGCCATCTCCCCGGCCTTGTTCTTTGATTTTTTTTTTTTCCTTTGACACCTTAGCTTGAAGCTGGCCACACCCAGGAAGCCGTTCAAGAAACAGCCCGGGGCGCTGACTACCTGTGGCAGCCCCGGGAGGCAGGTGTGTTTGGGCATCGTAGCTGGTCTCATTGGGATGGTAGCCGTAGCCCAGGCTGAGTGTGAGTGGGACTCCAGGTCCCCAGTGCAGCTGTATCCCCAGAGCTGCCTCCCCTGTAGTCATATTCACCCACAGAGCTTCCGGGGTGGCCAGGCTCAGCATCGTTGGCCTGCTGTGTTCTGAAATCCGGGGCAACAGGATCTGTTTTCAGGAACAAAGAGTTAGAGCCAGGCAGAGGGGCAGAGCAAGCGATGTGCAAGCCCTACAGAGTCATAGGGCCGATGTGGACAGGAAGATCTCCGTGGCAGGTTCTGGGGGGCGGGGGTTGTCTTCCCATCCTTCTCAGTTCTACAGGCCACCTGTGGTCCTAGGTTTCTCATCTGTTCCTCCCATCACCCCAACCTCTCTCTGTGTCATGAGCAGTCGTCAACGCCCCTTCTACTTCCCTTTTCTGAGGCCCCTTGTGACTTCACTGGGCCCCTGAGCAATCCAGACACAACTGCCCATCTCCAGGTCCTTAACTGCATCTTATCTGACAGGTCCCTGGTAGCACATTCACAGGTGCCATGGATGAGGATGGAGGCACCCCCGCAAAATGCTAATCAGCCACTGAGAGGAAACGGTAGATGACTAGGAGAAAAGCCAGTGAACTCTTGAAGGAGTCTAAGTGCCCATTGCACCATGGCATGTTAGCATTCTTGCTTACGTTTAAAGAAAACCTAACGGCATTTTGGAGGCTGCACTATGGGCCTTTAAAATGAACATTTGGTTTGTGTAATGATTAGAATTTCACCCAACAGATTTACATTCCCAGGAAAACTTGTCATACACCAAAGATGTGTGACTGGTCATATATGCATGATTTTCAGTAGAATACAATGTTTAATCATGTAAGGGGTACTTTGAATGATTACTCTATTGTTTTCACAACTGGTCCATTCGGTCCCAAACCAAGCTGAAGAGAAGGCCAAGTGCCACCTGACTTCCGATGACACCCCAGTGCCCACCTCGATATTCTGCGACAGGTTCTTCACTGGGATGGGATGACCACTGGAGCTGGTCAGATGGAGTCCACCAACAGTTCCACTGACTTCAAACCGGCTTCGGGAAAGGAAGGGGTTCTGTGAGAAACTCACCATCTAAAAGCCAAGAGCAAGAGAAACTGATGAGGGGTGGGAGATGAACAGGCCCCCGTGTGAACAGTGAATCCTGAGACTGGGTGAGTAGCCCTTGCTCTTTGGGGTGGATGCAGAAGCCTGTAACTGATGGTGGTTTCCAGAGATGTGGTCTCAGAGGGCTGGCCCTGGGAATCAGGCAGTCTTTCTTCATCCAGAGTCGGTATAGTCAGATCTCCATTTCTTTAGTTTTGTGTCTGTGGACTCAGCTAAATGTGGACTGAAAATATTTGAAAAAATTGCATCTGTATGGGTACTAATTTTTCTTGCCATTCTCCAAAAATAACACGTTTTTCATCAACTATTTGTGTAGCATTTACATTGTATCAACTGTTACAAGCCACCTTGACTTTATTTAAAGTATATGCAGAGGTGTAGGCTGAGCATGGTGGCAGTGTTTTTAACCCTAGCACTCAGGAGGCAGAAACAGGCAGATCTCTGTGAGTTCAAAGCCAGCTTGGTCTATACAGTGAATTCCAGGCCAGTCAAGACTACATTGTGAGTCTTTCCCTTCTTACCTTTCTCCCTCTCCATATATAATATATATATATACATATATTTACATATATATATTATATACATGTGAAGCTGTGCATTGGTTTTATGTAACTACCATACCATGTTATATGAAGGACTGAGGAGCCACAGATTTGAAACTCCTGCTCACAGGCATCCTAAAAACAACCCCATGGCTACCAGGGGTGGTAAGAAGTGTCTAAGATCTGGGTGGTGGTGGCACATGCCTTTAATCCCAGCACTTGGGAGGGAGAGGCAGGCGGATCTCTTTGAGTTCAAGGCCAGTCTTGGTCTACAGATTGAGACCCAGGACAGGCACCAAAACTACACAGAGAAACTCTGTCTGGAAAAAAAAAAAAAAACCAACCAAAAGAAAAAGAAGAAGGAGGAGGAGGAGGAGTATCTAAGGGAAAGATGTTGGTCTATTTTCACTAGCATTCAGGAGACTCAGATGTGCCTCAGTCTGGGGTGAAAGGGACCCTGGTCTTTGTTTGAGTCACAGATGGGAGCCTGGAGAGCTTGGTTCCCAACAACTCACGAAGCCAAGGCTGCTGGAGGAAACTTGCAACCCACTGGAAATAAATGGATTCGGGTGTCCAGAGCTGTGGGGTGTGAGTTCCACTTGTGTGGCTGTGGCTTTGATGAGATACTGAACCTCATCCGTAATGGATGGGGCTGCTGGTATCATCAGTGAGCAAACACCCACTAGAAAGGTTGTCTTGGAGGAGGCATTGCTGGGTTACCCTTATGTCCACAGGCTCCTGGCTGTCCTCCATAGGCCAGAGGGAGGCGGCGGCAGGCAGGATGAAGGTCACAGAGTCAGCGGTGGCCGTGTGCACTGAAGAGCCTTGCCAACTCCGTGGCTGTATTCTGACCACAGGGTGAGAATAGGAAGAAAAGAAAGTCAGTGTTTGAGAAAGAACCCCATTGTGCACTCGAGGAGGAGGTGGGGCTCCACTTTACTGTCAGAGATGGCTGTGGCTTGTGTTTAGCGGCTTCTGTGTTTCACACAAAAGCAGCATCAAAAGCTGCTGGTGCCCCCGTGTGGACTGGAGGTCCACAAACACACAGACTTGCTTAGAACTGACTCTCAATCCCTAGAATAGCCTCAGTACTTAACCAGCGGCTGGCGAATCATTTCTCCAAGTCTCTCCCCCTACCTGCCTTGACCTTTGAAGCCATGAGCTTCCAGGCCCATCTTTTCCGACCATTGACCTTGTCCCCTTTGATAAGACCCAGAAACTATTTTAAGAGATCAATTCTGCTAATGGAATCTGTCACTGGGACCCAAGAGAGCACCCCTGGTCTGAGGAGCCAAGGACTGGGACATAGTGAGGGAGCCTCCCTCCTGCCTGCTGGCCAGGAAGTGGCATCGATGTGTGTGTGTCTGTTTCCTCTGAGTTGGACCTGATCTTCGATATCGTGTATCGGAGTAACGGTGATCAGTTAATGGCTCTAAGACTGGGCCCATTAACATTCCACTGTGAAAGGACGAGAAAGGTCACAAGGCTTGTGAGGATCAGGGGACACATAAGACCCCTTCCCTCCCCAAGAATATATAAGCAGGTATCATTGTTGGGAAGTGGGGTTCTTTCCTTCAATGGTATACCCACCCATCGGTTGCCTACACTCCTGTAACTAACCCTGTATTAGTTACCTATATTAGTACCAAGTTAACTTGGGTGGAATTATTTCTTTCTTCTGTCTCTATATCTGGGTGAATTAAAATAGATGCCCCAGGCTGGCCGTGGTAGCTCACATGCCTATAAACCCAGCACTGAGGCAGGGACAGAGTGATTACTGCAATTCTGAGGCTAGCCTGGTCTACATATCTAATGCCAGGTCAGCCAAGGCTACACAGCGAGACCCTATGTCAACAAATAAATACGTAAATACATCAAAGTAACTCCCCTGGGAAACATGCACAACAGGAAGTATCTCAAAGCCCTGGTCAGTGCTCACTGAGACAAGTATGTCTGGGAATGCTCACAGACTGTCTGGGACCTCCATGGGCTCTCTATAACCAGTGGGATAGCCAGGACCACCCAGGACACAGTGAGGATAGCATGTGAGAGGAGGTGGTCCCACTTATTTGCCCCCTTACCTGCACAGTTCTGCTGGGACTTTCTCAAGACTCACTCAGGTGACTCAAACACTGGGCTTAGCCCTCCGTAATTCTCTTTCTGCCCCAAACAAATACCTCCATGGTGGAAAGACTACATTACACCCACACACCAGGCCTGGGTTCCAATGCTTCTCCAGTCCTAAGACCGGCCTCTGGCCCTGTCTTGGGTAGCTTGGAATGTGGGTTAGGGCACCAACTTTCTTTCTCATGCACAGTGCAGCTTAGTACCTGTTTGTGTACACAGAGATGGAGGGGGTGACCAGGATGGCTGGAAGGCCCCCTGGCAACGTTCCCAGCAGGAGGGCAGTCTGCAAATGGTCTACAACCTGAAGTAGCTGGGCCACAATGTGAGCCTGGAAAGGAAACAGAATCCTACTGTGGACTGTCCCCAGAGGCCCCCTTGGCTGCTGTCATGAGGTTAGTGTGGGACTCCTGGCAGGGACTGGGAGAGCATGGGGAAGTGATAGACAGAGTCAGCCCTGCAGGTCACGGGCAAAGCAGGCATCCACATGCCTGACTCCCGTGGACTCTTCCACCCTCAAAGCAGCCCCGTGATTCAGATGCTTTTCAGCCCCTTGGAAAGAACACAGAGAAGAGGTGAATTGGGAAAGTCACAGATTGGTGAGACAAACCAAGGCTCTCAGGAAATCTGGCTCCAGGATCCATATGAAGAGCCACTGTGCTGTGTGGCTGTGCTGCGGGTGTGTACACATGGCCTACGTCTTGCTCCAGGAGAGGTAAGAGCCACAGACAAGGCAAGCTCAGCTCCCTGCCCCATCCAACAACCCCCAGGTAAGACACATTTGGTACCAGTTAGTTGGCTCAGAGAGTAAGGTGCTTGCAACTAAACCTGACGACCTGAGTTCCATCCCAGGGACCCACATGGTGGAAGGAGAGAATCAGTTCTCATGGGTTGTCCTCTGACCTCCACATGCATACTGTGGCATGTGTGCCCTTCAAATAAATAAATGTTTAAAAAATTTTTAGACACATCCTCATGATGAAAAACAAAGCTCGGATAGGGACCTAGTGGAAGACCTCATAGGCTCTGTGTGTGTGTGTGTGTGTGTGTGTATGTGTCTGTCTGTCTGTCTGTCTGTCTATTTATGTTTGTGTGTATCCATGACTGTATTTGAGATGTGATTGCGTATATGTATGTTTGAGTGTGTACATGCAAGTCAGTGTGAGCACTAGTGTGTGCAAATGTGAGTGTATAGGATTGAATTTGGGTGTTGATCTGAGGGTATGTATTTAAGTATGTCTGAGTGTGCATGGGCAGCTTGACATATTGCTGAAACCACCTGTAAGAGTTTATATACCACTGCACTGCCACGTGAGAATGTAAATCTATGTCTGTGTGTATGTGCTTGAAGGTATGAAGCATGTGTGTTCGGGGGCTTCCAGGTATGTGCACAAGTGTATGGCCGTGTGCCTGTGTGGGTGTGCATGTGTAATTGTGAAGGGTGTGTATGTATGTATGAGTGTATAAGGATGAGCACAGGAGTCTGTTTAGTATCTGAACATGTGGACACATGTGAGGGTATGACTTCGCATCTTTGCAGGTGTCTGTCCTTCAGTTCTCTTTGAATAGGAAAGAAAGCCCATGGGACAAAGGACTGTGGAGCAGCTGCCATTAGGCTTTGTGGCTCTGCCGTGACACTGTCCCGAAAGGCAGTACTCTCCAGGCCCACCAGTGACTCTGGAAGTCACATCTATCCCTCCTTTCTTGCTCTGGGTGTCTGACTCCTAAAGACAGTCTGTATTCTTGGATACAAGAACCAGGACATTGCCCAAACTTGCAGAGTGGGTCATATAACCCGTCCAGTGGACAGTTGCTGAGGATGAGGCAAAGTGCCTCCAGCCAGAGATGAGGGCAGGAGGCTTAGGGAACTTGGGGGACTTGGCTCCCAAATGACAGGTGGGGTTCACTGAGTGCAGCACCCCTGTTCTGTGTGCCAACCCACACTCTACTTTCAAGAACCTTCCTCCCGGCTCCCAAGAAGCACTGTAACCTTTGCACCTGCTTCCCCCATCTGTAGGCTGTCGAGAAGGATCCCCTTGCAACACTAGCATAAGCTGGGCATGCAGTGTGTGGGGCTCTGCCTTTGGTCAGGGCGCCCACCTGGCTGCTGTTGGCCTCCATAGGCTCTTCGGATCCGTGGCTGAGAGAAGCTTCCAGCACACTCCCCACAGCCTGAAACATGGCCCTGGTGGCTTCCTGGCGTCTCTGATCCTCAGGATGAACCTTGGCACTGGCTGTCAACAGAGCTTCTGTGGCATGCTGCAGGACCTGGCTGGCCTCCCACTGGGCTCACCCAAAGAAAGAGAAACAGTGTGAGCCCCTGCCTGGGAAGGACCATTCAGAGAATAAGGATTGTACTGGCGGGGTGCACAGGAGGCCCAAACCAGGGAAGAGGTAGAGCAGAGCCTGACATAAGCAGCCTGACTTAAAACTGGCTCCTTCTTCTTCACCAGGATTGAAGTTCTTCTGGGAGAGTAACCTGGTCTGCCTCTGACCAACCCCAGAGTACTTTGCACAATATCCTACACATAACAGGCGTTTGGTAACATTTATCGACCAGAGGCATGAAATACGGACGTGAGGAAAATGTTGGGTGGATGACAGGCGGAGGACAGATAGACAGATGGAGGACAGGTGGACAATAGATGGATTGAGGATGGGTGGATGAAAAATGGGGGGAAGGTAAATGGAGCATGGGTGAGAGACTGATAGAGAAAGAATGTCTGCGTGGAGGGTGGACGGATGGAGAAAGGAGGCATAGGTGGATGGATGGTAGACAGCTGGACATAACACTCATCCCAACTTTGTAACTTTATTTGTGTTTGTGAAATCATTTGTTTAATGTCTAGGTGCCCCAGTAGACTGGAAGTACCATGAGGACAGGTCCGTGTGTGAGTGAGTTCAACACTGGCACACAGGCATTCAAGAAGCATTTGTAGAATTATTAAATTAGTGTAAGCACAAATGCACAGAAGTGGGGAATGGGGGGTGTCTAGAGGGGTGTGTTTAGGCAGGTGTGCATAAAACAGACAAATGAGCAGATGGGGTAGGCACAGGGAGTGTCTCATCAACAGCACAGGGCCCTGGAATAGTTCCAACTGCTGTGGGATATCCTTCTGTACCCTTGTGAATGTGTGTTGCTCTCATTGGTTGATAATAAAGCAGTTTTGGCCAATGGTGAGGCAAGATAAGGCGGTACAATCAAACTGAGGACGGAGATGAAGAAGGGTGGAGTTGGGGCAGATGCCAGCCAGCCACTGAGGAAGCAAGACATGTAGAAAATGAGGTAACAAGCATGAGGCAAGGCATAGAGAAGAAATATGGGTTCATTTGAATGTAAGAACTAGTAATAAGCCTGAGCCATTGGCCAAGCATTTATAATTAATATAAGCCTCTAAATGGTAATTTGGGAAGCAACTGCCGGGTATAATTAGGCATATGGGACAGAAAGCTCTGCATCCAGTTACATCCATCCTTGCTGACTTCAGGTCAGGAGATCTATGAGGATAGCACCCCCCCAACCCCAGGCAGAGCAGCTGGGCAGGACCAGGGCACTTCTCCTTCTCCATGACTTTGTGACTTCATTTTGACCCTGGGCTGCCATACCCTGGGAACGTGGTACTTGGCTATAATTCTTCAGGAAGATGATCCTGAAGCAAAAATATGAGTGTGAGTCATTGGTTTGAAGGTGAATCCAGGGAACATTCTAAGGGAGTGGGGAAGTGAGAGAGGGAAGGGTCAGAGGTCAACGCAGAAGGTACAAGCCTGTTACCTGGAGTTCAGTCTTGCTCAGGGCTTCCTCACCAAGAGTGTCTGGGAGCTGAGATACTTGTGCCCCATCCCCACCAGTCACTGAGCACTGTGTGAATCCCCTGTCATGTGAGCAGGTGGGGAAGCTTGGGGATCAGGGAGACCCCAGGCTAGAGAAGTGGAAGCCAGCAGCTGTGTGTTAGGCTAACACACAGTGGGTCAGCAGCAATGTCTGGACACACACTTGGGACCCAAGATGAATAGGATCCAGAACTCCCTCTGGTGCCCACCAGTGGGCAGCAAGCATACAGGCCATAAGCCCAGAGTGAGGCACTGGGATCTGTCATGGACCCATGAAGGACTCTAGGAAAGAAGATGGCGGAAGTCTTGTAGCCCCAGGACAGCACCATAACTGAGGGACTTCTTTGATCTATACCCTAATGGGTTGCCACCCCCCACAGCATGGAGGAATGTGTGCTGTGGCCTGGATCAGCCAGTGGAAATTCTTACCTGGGCCACAGGGGTGAGCTCCTCGCTGCAGTGAGTCACTTCTCTCAGAGCCTCAGCCAAACCCTGCACCCTCTGCATGCTCTCCAGGCCAGTGGCGAGCATGGACAGTGATCTCAGCACGAGCTCTCGTACCTTGGCATAGAGGGAGAAAGGCCAAGAAAGGACCTATATTTCAAAGCCTCTGTGAAGGCCTTGCAGGAGAATTGGGGGTCTTAGGAATGACTGGGCTCATCCGGGCTCTGTAGACCTGGATATATATGGCAGACAGGATAATGGCCAAAAGATACCCACATCTGGGTCTTGGAAACCTGTGACCACATTGCCTCACAGAAAGAAAGGAAAGGTAATTTGACAAAGTCACTCTGAAGATACAGTTCATCTCAGTGCCTTCCCATGGGGAGATCCTTCGGCAGTTACGAGTGGGAGCACTGTAATTGCAAGGGTCTCCATAAGAGAGCGGTGGGAACACTGAGGAAGGAGACAGGTGATGGGTGCAGAGATGGGGAGAGGATATGTGGAGAGGAGAGGGCTTCAAAAATCTAGGAAGGGGGTGCTGGGGTGCTGGCTCGGTTAGTTAAGTACTTAGAATGCAAGAAATGAGGATCTAAGCTCCATCTCCTAGAGCACACACACACACACACACACACACACACACACACACACAGAGAGAGAGAGAGAGAGAGAGAGAGAGAGAGAGAGAGAGAGAGAGAGAGAGAGAGAGAGAGAAGGGGGTTAGGAGCCCAGGACTGGTGATGACCTAGAAGCTGGAAAAACCAAGAAGCAGATTCTCCCCTACAGCCTCCAGAGAGTTCTCAGCCTTGCCTAGGCATCCTGATGTCTTTCTTCCTCTGGTCCTTGGCTTTGTCGTCTTCAGTGTGAGGGAGCTGGAGTGAGGCTCTCCAATTCCCTTCAGCTTCCGGAAGGCTGTGACTCCACGGTGTTGGGCAGAGAAAGTGGGTTACCAATAAAGAAGGTATGTTCTTCATTTTATGCCACTCATTGGAAAGAACTAAAGCAGAAAGTGACAGTGACCACTGGGAGACATTCAAGGCTTCTCTGATTCATGAGCACCGCCCCCAGCCCAAGAAGCCGTATGCAGATTTTAAAGGACCCACTTCACGAACCTTCCGCTTGATATCTGTTCTAAGTTGCCCAGAGCCTGGGCTCCGGTCCTCCTGATTAAGTTCAGAGGACACAGCCTTGGCAAACAGGAGAAGCTGCTCATGGCCATGCTCGTCTTGCAGAGCTGCGGTGATTCTCTCTGACACAATAGCTTGGAATGTCACATTGTCACTACCTGTGTTACCATGTCCCACCTGCCAAAGAAACCAGAAATGGGCGCAGTGATCTTTGTTCAAGAAGCTGGCGCCTAAGCCATGGGTCTGGGAGCAGAGCAGGCCTAGCAGAAGAGCTCGCTGGCCCTTCCTGAGGCTGGAGGGCACCTGGACCCATTGGCACTAGGTAGCTGATAGCTTCCAACAGCACATCTTGGGCAAACCCACCCTCCACCTTCAGATGCCTTCCTTAAACCAGCCACCCCCCACCTGCACCTGCCTCCCAGCCAGGAACTTCTCTTGAGATCTCTCCAGGCTCCCCGCTGAGTTCTGTTGGCTGAGCTCAGTCCTAGCTCATGCCTGAGTTCTTCTGTTTCAACTTGCCCCTGCTCCCAGGACCTCCCTATGCTCTGGCTACTAAATCATAAGATACACAAAGGTAGAGGCCGTATCCATGTGTCCACGGCTGTCTCCTCAGGACTTGGCACATGGTGGATGGGTGCTCTGTAAATATTTGTGGAAGGAATGAGTGAATAGGCTAGTCATCACCCATGCCCTCAGCTGCCTCCACATGCCTTGTAGTTCCTGAGGCTCAGCTGGGTGGAGACATTGCCCAGCACAGAAACACCAGCCATCACCATCACCCACCTTAACTGCCACTTGGGTCTGCTCTCTGTCTCCTGCCTGATTGGTGACAGAGATGACCACGGTCAAGACGAAACCATCCTTCTCTTTCCCAAGTGGTAGGTACAGAGCAGGGAGTGCTAGTTCAAGGCCACAGTGGAGGCAGGAACCTGGCCAAGTGGAAACAAACCAATTGGGAGGTCAGAGCCAAGCTCCTTGGCACAGGGGCAGAGAAGCCCCAGCTACTGAAGGTGCGGCAGCCAATCTGGGAATCCACAGGTTGCTGTACCTTTTGAATCACTTCCCTAAAGTGTGTGAAGAACTGAAGGACCTTCTCCCTATTTGCAAGTGCGTTTTTGTTTCTTGTGGTGGTTAAACTAAAACATTTTTAAAGATTTATTTATATGAGTGCTCTGTCTGCATGTCCCTCTGCTTGCCAGAGGTGGGCATTGGATCCCATTATAGATGGTTGTGAGCCACCATGTGGTTGCTGAGAATTGAACTCGGGACCTCTGGAAGAGCGGCCAGTGCTCTTAACCGCTGAGTCACCTCTCCAGCCCAAGATTTATTTATTTTTATTTTATGTATATAGTTGTTTTGTCCACGTGTATATATGTGCACCACAGGCATGCCTGGTCCCTAAAGGGGCCAGAAGAGGATGATAAATCCCCTGGAACTGGAGCTACAGATGGTTGTGAGCTACCATGTAGGTGCTGGGAGTAGAACCTGGGTCCTCTGGAAGAGCAACAAGTGCTCTTAACTGCTGAGCCATCTCTCCAGCCCCGGGCTGGTTTGTTTTGTTTTGTGCTGTGGGATGTCCTGTATGTTGTGAATAAATAAATCACTGATTGGCCAGTAGCCAGGCAGGAAGTATAGGATAGGCAGGACAAATAGAGAGGAGAGGTTGGGAGGTGGAAGCTGGGGGAAGATGCCAGCCTGCCGTCCAGGGAGCAGCATGTAAAGACAGCAGGTAAAGCCACGGAACACATGGTGACATATAGATTAACAGAAATGGGCTGAGTATAAGAGTAAGAGCTAGACAATGGTAGGCCTGAGCTAATGGCTGAGCAGTTTAAATAATATAAACGTCTATGTGTTTATTTTATAAGTGGGCTACAGGACTGCCAGGGCTTGGCGGGACTGGAGAGAAAAACTCCAGCTACATGTTTTGGTGTTTTTATTTTTAGAATATGGTAAACCAAATTACAACATGAAGAAACAGAAGGTAGAGAGTGCGAGGAGAGAAAGGAAGAGCAGGAGCAGCCCCTGAAAACTCCACACCCCTTTAGGAGTCAGCAACGTGAGTTAGGTGGGCATGTTTTGTTTGTTTGTTTGTTTTAATATTCATATGTGTGTATATAATGTGCATATGATGTATGAATGTGTGTGACGTGTGTGTATGTGTTTATACTTGTGTGCCACAGCACACATATGGAGGGCAGAGGATAACTTCATGGTGTTGGTTCTCTCCTACCACCATTAAGATGGTGTGTCTGAGGACTCTGGTCAAGTCCCAACCAGAGCAGCAAGCCCCTGTACCCACTGAACCACTGAGCCAGCCCAGTGTTTGTTGTTCGTTGTTATTTGCTTGGGGTTTTTCATTGTTCTTGGTTTATTTTTCTGAGACAACGTCTCACTCTGTAGTCCAGCCTGGCCTAGAACCCACCATAGAGCCCCGGCTGGTCTTAAACTCACCACAGTCCTCCTGCCCTAGACTCTCAAGTGCTGGGACCGTGGACATGAGCCACCACCCTTGGCATCAGTGTTGGTTTGGGGTTTGGTTTTACAGTGTGGGGATGGAGTCCAGGGCCTCCTATGTGTAAGTACTCCGGACAAGCACTCTCCTGCAGCCCTTCACCCTGCCCACAGCACCTATAGAGAAGTTCCCAGTCACTATGTCTCAAGCAACACCCCCTGTGGTACATGCCATGGTTTACCAGATGTCTCTGCCACTAGACGTTGAAGATTGTGAAGTTAAGGATTTTCTCTGTTGTGTTCACGGGTACATACCTAGCACTCAGAACACAACCCGCAGTTTGACATGTATCTGTTGTAAACATAAGTGAACGGATGAATATCTTTTGTTCCGTAAAGGAGACCCACACATCATGGGAGTCTCCAGTCACACACGGTGTAGTGTGCAGACATTCATGAAGCTATTGGCTCACAACCGAACACTCACTGTTGTGCGACCACGCTGCCTTCTCGCTCACTTGTATGAGATGGGGGTTGAGGATGAAGGAGGAAATCTGGCCTCCCTCTGGGTGCAGAGGGGAGGCGTTTGGGAATGAAGCCTACTCTCCTTGTTTGGGTTTTCTTTTTCTTTCCACACTCAGACCCAGTCATTACCTTCTTAACAGCCCCATGTTTGCCAATTCCTTGACAGGGCACCCTGTGAAAACTATACTCCCTAGAAAGCCTTACAGCCACCTGTCCCTAGTCAAGGTACATTGTTTATGTTTGTGGTGTCTGGGACAGGATATGGCAGAGTACGCCAGCTCTACTCATGGAGCCTCAGTTTGGATGAAAGTTTCACTTGGGCTAAGGCCCACACAGAGCTCATGTGACAGTCCCCAAATGCTCAAGGCCACAGAGAGAACCAACAGCCACCAAAATGGAACAGTAAATGGAGTGAGCTGCCCCAGGCCACCCATATCTTCATAGTCACTGCTGCTCTGGGTGTGGTTGCCATGACCGACGTGACTGACATTGTAGGTAGGGTGTTTGATGGTCCCTCTCTGTGAACCTTTGCAAAAAAACAAAAAACATTCTTTGAGATTTGCATGTCCTGGGACACTGTCATTCTCTGCTGCCACTTACAAATGGGAGTCAGTGAAAGTGTTGAAGCTTCTATGAACCAGATCGAGTTCTGTCTTTCAAGGTAGCTCTAGCTCCGGACTTTCAAAGAGTCACAGTGCCTCTCCCTCCCTCCCTCCCTCTCTCTCTCTCTCTCTCTCTCTCTCTCTCTCTCTCTCTCTCTCTCTCTCTCTTTTTGTTTTGTTTGGTTTGGTTTGGTTTGGTTTTTCGAGACAGGGTTTCTCTGTGTAGCTTTAGAGCCTGTCCTGGAACTCGCTTTGTAGACCAGGCTGGCCTCAAACTTACAGAGATCCGCCTGGCTCTGCCTCCTGAGTGCTGGGATTAAAGGCGTGCGCTACCACCGTCCGGCGCTCTCTCTCTCTCTCTCTCTCTCTCTCTCTCTCTCTCTCTCTCTCTCTCTCGTGTGTGTGTGTGTGTGTGTGTGTGTGTGTGTGTGTGTGTGTGTGTGTGTGTCTAGGACTATGACCTGGTATGTCCCTACCTGTTGGGTCTCTTCATCCATTAAACCCTTTCATATACTTTACACTGGGACAGCCATTGTGTCCTCTGGGCTTGGGCAGATGCTGCTAGTGCATGCTGTCCTTCTGGTGTGATGACTAGGCCAGCACTTTGGGGATGGCCAAGGCTTAGGAGTCCCTCATCCTGTCAGCCTCCGTCCATTCTAGAACATATTCTATTGCAGCTCCCTGATGGGGACAGTCCCCGTTCCTGGAGAGGATGATCCTGGGGGCTGAGGGAAGAGCGGTCTTTAGCTGGTACCTGACTGCAGACAGAAGCAGTACTCCAGGGGCCCTGGGGCTGTGGAGGCGGTGCAGAAGACAGCGAAGCTTGTCAGTGTAGTACCCTCCTCCGGAACGATTGCACAGGCCGGCACCTCCGGTTGAGGTAGCATGCTGATCACGTAGGTATCCTCCCCGTAGGCATGGTTGGTCAGTGCTGGGAAGTGAAGATTCATTGTGCTTAGGGGGACTGTGTGTCCAAAAACTTAACCCCTCTTCAGGATGACCTGGGGAGCTTGTTGAACAAAGATTTCTGAGCCTCTGCAACCCCAAACCCTCTGACCTCTCTGGAGATTCTGGGGTAGGCCCCAAAATACTCATATCTAACAATTGTCTCCAGTGCAAGGCCCTGGTGCTCGCTTTGAGAAAATGAGCAGAGAAGAGAGGAGAGACTCAGGCAGATGTGGAGCTGGAATTCTAGTTCGGCTATTCACTATCCAAGTGGCCTTGGCCTTGACCTCTGTCGTCTGTAAGGTGGAGCCAAAAACAACTTCCTCATAGCGACGTCATGAGCAGCTTACCCGGAAGCCATCTCTTCCCATCCTCACACCCTCAGCTGTGAGCCCTGGTCTATCCTGCAGCAATGTGCCACCACGCCTGCTTCAAAAAGAGCACATGGCTGCCAGAGCCGAGCAAAGGAGAGTCTTATGTGGTGACAACTAGTGTCTTGGCTTCACTCAGTTGGGAAGGCCTGCGGTAGAGCAGGAGCGCCCACTGAGCCAGTGCCTCAGTTTGTCTGGCTGTGGGCGCTCTGTGGGCTGCGTTAGGGAATACGGAATCAACAGCCGGCCCAGGCAGCACCTGCCTGCAGCCCTACGCACTGAGGAAACAGAGTCAAAGGAAGTGTTCTTAGAAAGCGTAGCAGTCTGTGTTTTGTGTCTCTCTGAGCACTGGGCTCATTTTCAGTGGGTAACTCTGACTTCTCCTGGTAGGACACACAGGTTGACTCAGGGTGGCCCACTTGTCTCCATGGCACTCCGCCAATCATCGTTCGTGATAACAATTCCAGGGCAGGTATTTAGATCACCCCAGATTTACATGGGAGGGGACTGAGGCAACAAGACGTCAGATCGTTTGCCCAAAGTCTCCTAGGTAGAAAGCCCAGACTCTGGCCCCATGCTAGGCCAAAGTTCCTTATTTTAGCCTTTCCGAGACCATCTTGTCTCTGTGACAAGAGGTGAGGTGGCCGCTTCTCACCTGTGACCCGGATTCGAACAACAGGTCCCCAGGTCTGCAGGAAGCTGCTGTTCAGCAGCAGCACGGAGGAATTGTGGTGAAGGAGAGTCAGCGAGCGTGACCAAAATCCTCTGAGTCTGCAGGCATCGGGGAGGGGCTCAGCCTGTAAGGGAACAGCACTGAGGGCCTTAAAGTCTGTTGGGTAGAGACCGGGACATCCTCAGTCCCATGGCTTCCATCCCCGAGACTGACAGACTCTGATGAGTGAAGGCACTGCTTCTTCCTAGGAGGTCAGTAAACAGTCAATCTCCAGCCTTGTATCTTGTCTGAGGTTAGGTTCCCAGAAAAGGAGCCTGAGGAGGAGTGTGTGTGCAGGTCACTTATGGAGGGAAGAGCCTGAGGAGGAGTGTGTGTTCAGGTCACTTATGGAGGGAGGAGCCTGAGGAAGAGTGTGTGTTCAGGTCACTTATGGAGGGAGGAACCTGAGGAGGAGTGTGTGTGCAGGTCACTTATGGAGGGAGGAGCCTGAGGAGGAGTGTGTGTGCTGGTCACTTATGGAGGGTGAACTTTCTGGGGGAATCAGCAAGTAAATAGGGCAGAGAAGGGAGTGAGAGAAGCATCCTTCTCAGTGTGGCCCTGAGGGACCTCAACCATGTGAGGCATGCCACAAAAATGTCTTTGGGGCAAGGATGCTAGGCTGTTTGACTTTCCTGTTCATCAATTGTAGGCCATCAGGCCCCTATGTAGCAGCTAGAGCATGCATGCATCCTGGCAGGGGGCTTTAGCTGAGGGCAACAGTGTCTGCCTCCCCCATAGACCTGGCTCCTTTGTATCCATTCACCTGTTAGAATTCCCTCAGGCCCTTCCGAAGCATGTCCCCAAATCTTCCTGACTGCCCGCACTGGCTCCGAGTATGGTTGGTCCACCCTGGCTCAGGACCTGGCCTGCAGCGTGTTTCTACTGAGTGGCTATGGCATCTCACCTTCTCTGATGAGGTATCATCTAAGTACCAGCTGAACATGGTCATTGGGCTTTCATCTCCCACAGTGACTGTGAGCAGAACGTCTTGGTTGGCTTTCACTGGCTGGCAGTTCTTCTCACAGCTGGAAGGTACAGAGAATAAAGAGAGAAAGCGCCCTCAGGCATCATGACCACTTGCCTAGTCTTTAAGTCTGCAAAAAGGGTGGGATGTGGCCAAATGAAAGATGGACTAAAAGCTACCGATGTTCTAACCTAACCAGGACAGACCCTGGTCTGTAAGCAGGTGAAGAGAGTCAGGACATGACCGTATTCCCATGTCACTCTACTTGCAGTGATGTGGAGGGGAGGCCAGGACAGGGCCCCTCGTTTCCAATCCCAATTCTGTCACTTAGGAAGGCTCGCCTTGTATGAGTCACTTAACCTCTAAGTCTTGGTTTCCCTAGCTGCAAAGGAAGTGGAGAAAGCCAAATAACTTCTGAGATTCTCTTCAGTGTCGATAAAGGTGGCAGATGGCACCATACAGTGAACAACGAGAGCCACTCTGAGAGTGACGTGTCACAACTCCTAGAGCACTTGTGAGCATGCCGAGCTCAGAGGACTTTCGGGATTGGTCCCAGCACCACCACCCCGCCTCTGTGTGTGTGTGTACTTTTGTGCGCATGCACATGGATGTCAGAAATCGATATTGGTGTCTACTCTCTTCATTGTATTGTTTGAGACGAGATCCCTTTCTGAACCTGAAGATCACTTATTTGCCTAGAGCTCCTGGCCAGCAAGACCTGCCTCCCCTGTCCTGGACTTGGTAGAGCCATGGTACTGTCTGGATTTTTGCTTGAGTGCTGTGGATCGGAACTTCGGTCCTCATGCTTGCACAGCAAACACTTTATCAAATAAGCCGTCATCTCTCCAGCCCCCTGAGCCTTCTGTGTGGTGTCCTACCCCTCCCTGGAGCCCGAGAGGTCGCACTGACATCTGCTGCCTGTCTAATGCATCTCCAGGTCCACCTCCAACTATCCCTCTTCTCTCATCAGGTCAAGTACAAGCATGCTGGTGGGTTTCTACAGCCCTCTCTCTGCAGAGCCAATGCCTCAGCTCCCACCCTCCAAGCTTCTGCTTGGGTCCAGCATTGGTATGGGCCCAGGAGCTTTGAGGAGAGAAGGTGGTCTGAGGAGAGCATGAGGCTGTTTTTCAATGTTTCCCGAAGGGCTAAAGCAGCAGAGCCGGTGCCCCATCAGGTAACGGCCATGGCTCCTGTCCCTCTCCAGCAGCTGTGGTCCAGAGGGGATTCTAGACATAACCCCTCTCACCTCTGCAAGTGATGGCTTACCCCGCCCTATCACAGTCCTGCATTGTCTCCTAAGCTATTCCTCCAGTCCTGTTCATTCACACCTTATCCATCTGTAATCAGTTTCTGACTACAGTGAGCCATCTGCTTCCAGCAGGGACCTGGCTGACAGGCCCAGCTACCTCAAGCTCCTACCTCCACTCCTGTAAAATGCTAAATCATCTCCTCGAGGCCCATTCTATGCCGATAGCAGAGTGTTCTGATGCAAGCTGTGACCATGTCCCTCCTGCACAGAGATGCTGGACAGCGTGTTGGCTGGTCTTAGGTTAACCTGACACACAAGTTAGAGTTATCTGAATGGAGGGAGCTTTGAGAAAATGCTTCCATCAGGTCGGGTTGTAGGTCATTTTCTTAATTAGTGATCACTTGGGGAGGGCCTAACCCGTTGTGGGTGGTGCCATCCCTGGCCTGGTGGTCCTGGGTTCTACAAGAAAGCAGACTGAGCAAGCCATGGGAAGCAAACCAGTAAGCAGCACCCCTCCATGGCCTCTGCATCAGCTGCTGCCTCCAGGATCCTGCCTTGTTTGAGTTCCTGTCCTGACTTCCTTTGATGATGAACAGTGCTGTGGAAGTGTAAGCCAGATAAACCCTCCCCCCCCCCCCCCCCCCCCCCCCCCCCGCAACTTATTCTTTGGTCGTGGTGTTTTGTCACAGCAATAGAAACCCTGACTAAGACAAGTAGCTTTCCCTAGAGACTCCGGGGTGAAAGACCTAAATCTGGCATGACCTGCAAGACCCTGCCTCACTCTTCCTCCGCCCCACATATCCCCCCTCCAGGTCTCTGTTGAGCTTCACCTCCTATGGGAAGCCCTTTCTGTCCCTGGATGAAGAAGTCGTCACAAACTTCTGCTGTCTCTTCATGCTATTTATTGTTGATCCCCAGGTTGCCACCCCAATGGGGGCATAGGTGAGACCTGCCCTGCAGGTCCCACCCCTGAGTGGTGCTTGCTGATGAAGAACATGCCCACATGCCTCACCTGATTTGAGGCCCAAGGTCCAGGGGAGAAAACACATAGAGGCATTGTTCTGTCTCTTTCTCCAGTTCCTGGCCCCTCAGGATAGCCAAGTGCAGGGTGGCAGCAGAGTTGAGCGGTGGCAGACAGGAGGTGTGGAGCACCAGCATCCTTTGGTCTGTGTGGAGCAGTTGCCTCTCCACACAGTCACTCCACTGAGCCCAGCAGCGTCCTGAGAGAGATGGGCAGACACCTGGGCACAGCATCCCTGAACCTGACACACCATGGACTTTCTGGTTGAGCGAGGCTTTTGTGGGTGGTGGTTTGGTTTTGTTGAGACGGGGTCTGGCTGCACAGCCTGAGCCAGCTTCAAACAGATCATCTTCCTGCTCCTGCCTCCTGAGTGCTAGGGTTACAGGGCTGAGCCACCATGCCCAACCTCCAGGTATCCCATTTTATTTTGGTTTTGGGGTGTGTGCACATGTGCATGCATACGTGTGTGTGTGTGTGTGTGTGTGTGTGTGTGTGTGTGTGTGTGTGTGTGTGTGTATGTGTGTGTGTGTGTATGTGTGTGTGTGTGTGTGTGCGCACCTGCACATGTTCATGGGCACACATGTCATGGGTGTGCATGTGGAGGGCAGAGGATCACTTGAAGGAGTCCGTTTTTCCCTCCACCGTGTGGGTTCCAGGGATTGAACTTAGGTTGTTAGGCTTGGCAGCATGTACTTTTACCTGTTGAGCCATCTCACAAGCCCCAATTACTCCATTTTTAGAAATTTTAGTTGAGAAAGTAGCCACAGAAGATGAAGACTGGCAGGGTTGTTTATCAGAGCAGAGCAGTGGAAAAACCCAAGTGTCAACAGTGACTACATGGTGACCCGGCTCTCTGCTGTGTTACAATTATGAAAATCAGAATGGACAGGGAGATACTACGGCGTTAAGATGAGATGGCTCAGCAACTAAGAGCACTGGCTGCTCTTGCAGAGGACCCAGGTTCAATTCCCAGCACCCACATGGCAACTCATAACTATCTGTAACTCCAGTTCCAAGAGATCCAATACCCTCTTTTGACCTCTGTGGGCACCAGGCACACACACGGTGCATGCACATGCATACAGGCAAAAGACATACACAAATAAAAATACACATTTTTTTAAACATGCAGAGGATTGTTGTTGTTGTTGTTTGGGATTTTCAAGCCAGGGTCTCATATAGCACCAACTGGCCTTGAATCCATATATAGTTGAACCTGAACTCCTGAGCCTCCATCTTCTACCTCCCAAGTGCTCAGGACATGTTATTCAATGAAACAAAACAAAACAAGACAGCAGCAACACTTGTAGCATTTTATTTCTAAAATGAGTGTGTAGCTAGGGTATAGCCCTATAAAAAAGGAGACACCTACTTTTGGAAGTATGTGCTACCATCTTTGTTTGAAGAAAGGGGGCCTGGACTCTCCTTGGTGAGGTGTGTGTGTATGTGTGTCTCAAGTATGTATGTGTTTGTGTATTTGTATGTGTGTGTGTGTGTGTGTGTCTGGTGTACGTGTTTGTCTATGTATTTGTATGTGTGTGTAATGTTTGTATATGTGTGGTAAGTTATGCTCTGTGTGTGTATGGGTGGTGTATGTGTGTGTCTATGTATTTGTATGTGTGTGTGGAATGTTTGTATGTGTGGTGTATGTGTGTGTGTGTTTGTGGTGCTGTGTGTTAGGAGGGAATGACCCTTTCAGAGGGGGACTATCTGGTCACGGACCTTTTCTGGACTTGCCAGTGCATGGTGTCAATTAACAAAGCAGAATGGCTTTTTATGTTTTGTTACTTTTTTAAATCTCCCCCTGCCCCTGTCCTCCGTGTTCAGGGCCACCATCCCTCCTTGGTTTGCTGTTACTCCTCCACACCCATTCCTGTGGTTTACGCTCTGGCACACACAGGTCGACAGTGTCAGCCATGAATCGTGTCAGATGAAGATGAGAACAGGCAAACCCGACAACACTCACTCATCAGTGAGGGGGAGGGGATCAGGATCAGGTGTGCACCACCTACCACAGGACCAGTGGAAGCCCAAGTCTGGGTCGTCATCTGGCCAGCCCAGTGTGACTTCTGTGAAAGGGTCCACGTACAGTTCAGGCTCAATGAACACCTTCATGTCCCCTGTGTCTCCCTGCAGAGGAAGTGACCACCGGTGAGACAACACTGTTCAGTTTCACTGTAGAGTCCTGCCAACCTACCCTCCACCCCAGAGCAGTGTGTGCTGACAGTGGCCACAGAGTGAGGCTCAGAGCAGAGAAAGTTCTGGATGATCCTCTGCTCTGGGGTTTCCCTCAGGAGCATAGAATGCCTCCCTAAGACTCACTGGGTAGCTTCACCTCCAGTGTAGGCTTAGGACTCACTGTGAAGTCAACTGGACAGAAGCCATTCTGAGCCAGGCCCTGTGCTGATGACTGGAGACATGGTAGCAGAGACCCAACTCTTGCTCTTAAGGTAGATAGGAAAGACAGGGACATTAATGGACACTTAAAACTCAAGGCACTACCTGTGCTTGATTAGAGGGTATTCACTTAGAGGAAGCAGGAGGATGTGGAAGATGGAGGCAGTCAGTTAAGAATCCCTTGAGGGGTTTAGGGAGAGATGACGTGGTTTGTAAGGCCTTTGCTTTGCAAGTGTGTTGACCTGAATTCAACTCCCAAACCCACTGAGGACAGCAACATGTGCTTGTAATACCAGCCTTGGAGAGATGAGACAAATGGATCTCTGAGGCTCACTGGATAAGCATCTGTATGTGCTTTGTTTTGGAGCTGTGAGGCCAGACCCCCCAAAGGAGTAAAGAGTAAAAAACCCCAAAACAACATTTTGGCATACCAACATGGGGCTCATATTTCTATGTTGGACCTGATAAAGCTGAAAAAAAAATTGTTTTAAAGAAAAAGGACATGGCTCCTTTAAGAGGCACTGCTGTTCAGCCTGCAGGGCAGCACTGAATAAAAGAACAGCAAGCTAAGTAGAAACCACTTGTGGCAGCCCAGGTACCCGCTTCCTACAGCTAGGAAGGTTGAATGCAGTTCCTGGTCACTCACCTCCAACTGGGCCCAAGCTTTAGGCTTGGCTTTCATGACCCAAGAAGTGAAAAGCAGGCCGGGCAGTGGTGACACATGCCTTTAATCCCAGCACTCGGGAGGCAGAGGAGGACGGATCTCTGTGAGTTCGAGGCCAGCCTGGTCTACAAAGCAAGTTTCAGGATAGGCGCAAAGTTACACAGAGAAACTCTGTCTTGAAAAAACAAACAAACAAACAAACAAACAAACAAAAAGAAGTGAAAAGCAGGCAAAGCCAGCCAAGAGCCACAAGGAGGATCCAGGTGTAGCTTAGCAGTCTAAAATTTGCTAGTGTGGTCAAAACAGGCTAAAAGATACACAGTAAAAGAGGTTCAGAGGGGAAAAAAAACTCTAAATAGGTTACAGTGTGTTTAATAATGTGCATAGGCTTGAGAAAAGAAAAAGGGTATAGTCATAGAAAAAAATGAATAGTTAAAAAATAAAGTCTTTAAAGAGAGAAGGAAAGTAAATATAAAAAAAAGAATAAGCCATGTAAGATGGGAAATACACAGGGAGTCTGGATCCTATAGAGTATTGTGTTGATTTTGAATTTTTTGAATGCTGACAAGCAGACAGTAGCTGCTAAGGGGTTGTGAACTGCACTGCTAAATTGAACCCATCTAAGAATGGCTTGACTTTAAAATAGAAGTAAAAAAATGTGTTTGTCAAATGGAAGTCAAAAATGCTTTGGAGAAGTGGTTTTGCTTTTGTTTCCACAGGAAACAAGAGGCTGTGGATTTGTTCCAGGTTAATATGGATCAGATTTGATCAAGGGAGACCTCCTGAATCTTGACAGGTGATATCTGTCAACAAAGATTATAGCTGGTCTTCCCAGAACTTGGCCATTATCTCAAATATTCTCAGGGACCCTAAAGATGCCTTCACCCACAGACAGCAGGAAACAGTTTGGAGAACATGGCACCCACATCCCAAGAGAGGTGTGGAAGGTTTTAGCTTAATTGGTGGGTTATGGATGTTTGCTATAATTTAGGGGAATATAGGAATATAGGATAAAAAGACAACTATTAATCTCAGATATTTGCATTGGCATGGATTTTAGAATATTGATACAAATTTAAACTTAATTTTGTTACACAACATATACGTTTCTACTCTTGTTTGAGGTATTGTGTTTATGCAGTTCATTTAAAAATGCAATGTATAAATAAAAAATTAGGTTAGTAGTAGATCTATAATAATCAAACTTGTAGTCACATTAGATATATTTTCTAGGTTAAATAGGTATATTTTAGATAGATAGATAGATGGTCTTCAAACACTTCAAAGACCTATAAAATATGACCTTTAAAATGTTTTGTTAACCTAAGGTTTTTCATGACAATGAAACACATCTGCTCTTGGAAGCACCAATTTACTTCAGAGATGATTGGCATCAAAGAAACTCCTTATGAAGTTTGCTTTCATTGAGGCAAAGTTAGCCACTGGGCAAAGAAACTGCTTTTGCCTTTGACTGCTGACAATGTGCTGTGCAAACTGAACATGCAGGACACACAGGAAAAAGACTGTTGAACTTTTCCAAAACAAGGCAGGACAGTACTTCAAAATTCCTGCTTCACAGAAGAATCTGCCAGACAGTCTGCAGGACACAGAAGAAAGCAATTGACAAACTTTGCCAATACAAGGTAGGGCAGTCCTTCAAATTTCCTTCTTCACTGAAAAGTCTGCCAGATACTCTGGGCCTGTAGGCTGAAGATGAATGCCCTAACGTTGCAGAGGAACTTTGGGTGACTTTTCAGGCAGCCAAATGTCTCTGTTGTTAGATAATATTACATCCTTCTGGGTCTTTGATGGAGTTGAAGACTAGATAGTTATAGTAGTAATTTTCCTTAGTTATGATAGAAAGTAAATTAGGTGTAAAACTTTGGACTCACAACGATAGGATAGATAATGCATTATTTTCTCTCAATATACAAACTACAAATGGACAGAATATTGTAAATGTAATTCTTACTTGATAACTGTTTTTGTTGTGTATAGTTTTACTATGTTAGAGTGAAAAACTTTTTATTTAGACAAAAAGGGGGAAATGCTGTAGAATATTATTTTAAGGTATGTTACATTTGTTAGTAGTGTGGAATATTTGTTTAATGATGCAAAGGTGTGTTGCATTCTTTTCTGTTGCATTTTTTTTTAATTCTGTAAAGCTGTGTCACTTTGCCTGTCTAAAATACCTGATGGTCTAATAAAGAGATGAATGGCCAATAGCGAGGCAAGAGAAAGGATAGGCAGGGCTGGCAGGTAGAGAGAATAAATAAAAGGAGAAATCTGGGAGGAGAGAAGGAGTGAGAGAAAGAGGAGGACCCAGGGGCCAGCCACCCAACTACACAACCAGTAACCAAGTAAGAAAGAAAAACATACAGAAACAGAAAAAGGTAAAAGCCCAGAGGCAAATGGTAGATGGGTGAATTTAAGTTAAGAAAAGCTGACAAGAAACAAGCTAAGCTAAGGATGTGCATTTATAGTTAAAAATAAGCCTCCATGTGTGATTTATTTAGGAGCTGGGTGGTGGGCCCCCCAAAAGAGCAAAAACAACCAGCAAGACAGAGTGGGTCATGAGCCTGTGTCCTCCAGCCATGTTCTAAGTCTCTGTCTCACTGAGGACTTGTTAGCATCTGACTCTCCCTGGACAGAGCCAGGGAAGCTTCCTTTGGAATGGTCTCCCAGAAGCACGGGAAGGAAGAGGAGAGAGAGCTGGCTAGGCAACAGTGGAGAACGTGTCAGTCCTAGGAGAGGAATCAGGGTCCCAAGGTGAATTCTGGGAGTAATTGCTGATGGGACCTGTTAAACAACTTAGCTATGGGTCCTCTTGTTCACATCTTGACCCAGAATAACACAAGGCTACAGTGAAACTCAACCTCTGATGGGTTGTGCATGCCATAAGTGTGTGGAGGTCTGAGGACACCTCAGTTGTCAGTCCTGGCCTTTGTTTGGGACCCAGGCTCTTAATCTCCTCTGCACAGGCCTGGCTGACTGGCTTTTGTCCTCCTGGGAATTCTCCTGTCTCCACTTTCCATCTTGTAAGAGCACCAGGATTTCAGGTGCTTGCTATCATGTCCCGCTTACACCGTGTAGCAATAGCCTTACCCACTGAGCCATCCCCCTCAGTCCTCATGTCACCTCTGAGCACATCTGTGAGACCACACTCTGACCATTGCCATCAGCACACCTGAGGGGTTCTTGGTAGACACACAATTCTCAGTTTCTTCCTTCTTCTCCTCTATCTCTGAGCTTCACAAAAGCAGAGAGACCACAATCTGCCTTTTCCACATCACACCCTCAGCCCCTAATACCAATTCCTGAACACTGTAAATGCGCAGTAGGTCTTTGTTATTCAGTAAACACATGCATGAACAGTGTCAAGGGGAAGGATCTGAAGACTCTGGCATAAACACTGACAAACACGAGCCTGTTGCAAAATAAGCACTAACAGCTATGAATTTCCCTCTGAGTACCGCTTTAGCCACAGCCACAAACATGGATCCACTGTATCGCCATTATAATTTTAGTTAGAAATAGTTTCTAGGGGCTGGAGAGATGGCTCAGAAGTTAAGAGTACTGATTGGTCTTCCAGAGGTCCTAAGTTCAATTCCCAGCAACCACATGGTGGCTCACAACCATCTGTAATGAGATCTGGTGCCCTCTTCTGACCTGCAGGCATACATGCAGGCAGGACACTGTATACATAATAAATAAATAAAATCTTAAAAAAAAAAGAAATAGTTTCTAATTTCCCCTATGGTTTCCTATTTCACCTAATTTTTTAAACAGAAGTGTGCTACTTACTTCCTAAGGACTACCTACATGACCCAGTGTTATTTTTTACAACTTAACCCTGTTGTAGTTAGAGAACACGCTTCTAGACCTCTTTCCAAATGGAAGACAGCTTGGGAATTCCTGGGGGTACCCTGTTGCTATCCTAAACCCCAAACTGAAAGCAAAGCACTTGGATGTCTTTTTCTTGTGAAGTTAAATGTTGTAAAGATGCTCACGTTCTTTGCTTCAGCGTTCATTCCAGGTGGTTCTTGGAGACTGGAAGGGGCTGTGAACGTGATGAGAACAAGCATTAAAGGTTGTCGGAGAATATTGTACAAAGTTGTCCAAGGCAGAGTCCTGCAGGGACTGTGGCACACACTCAAGGTCCCAGCTCAGGGTGGGGGTGAAGGGAGCAAGTCCAGACAATACAAGTAAGACCTCTCTCAAAAAATAAAAATAAAAAAAAAAACTATGATAAACAAAGAGAAGATTGTGTTGAACATGCCCTGAGATGTCTTTGTAAATGGTCCCAGGAACGTGGAGAAACCCATTCGGGCGACAGACACACAGGTGACAAGCCTCGGTGGGTGACAGATGTGTGGCTTCCTCACCTGGCTTTTGCATGAGTGCTGGGGATCTGACCTCAGGTGCTCACACCTGCACATCAAGCTCTCGACCCACTGAGTCACCTCCCCAGCCCTCACCTGGTATATTTTTGTTATTGTTTTCGAAGCACTAGGGGTGGGAACCAGGGCTTCTGTGAGCTAAAGAAGAATTCTACCACTGAGCCACACCCTCGGGCCATCACAGGAGAGGTGAAGAAGGCTTCAGCCCACCTCAGGTACTTCTCCATGTCTGAATGCCTGAGATACTATGAACATTATGTCTGAGCACTGCACCGTGCAGTTAAGGAGTTCATCTGTGCACATTTGGTGCAGAACTTTTCTGGTACTTTCTGTGACCGTGTCTATAAAGCACCCAGAGGATTCTGAGGCCGTGGAACGAACTCCAAGTTCAGAGCCCTGTCTTAAGGGCCCCTTGCTAGGCTCCAGGCAGGTTCAGTGCCCTGGACTCCTGAGTGTGGAAACACCTTGCCTGTGACTGTGATGCTCCCCATGTCCAAGCTCAAGTCTGAGAGAGCATTCCGCACATGCACGGTGACCAGAAAGTTGCCTGCAATTCAAAGGGAAAGAGTCACTGACATTGTCACAACTGTGTGACACAAGAGGAGACAGCTCTCCCTAGGTGTGCCTGTCTGACTACCTGGCTGCAGCCCTGGAATCTCTCAGCCTCTTACACACTTATGAGTCCTACCAGGCCTGGGGACGCAGAGGTGAAGGAACATGACACTTATATACGTGTAGGTCGAGGCATCACACCATGACAAGGACTGGCACTGGGAGGCGACTGAGAGGGTAATAATGATGGATAAATATGAAAAAATGTATTACCTCCATATATGATATTATCAAAGAATAATTAGGAAAGGAAACAACATAAATGACATGAGAAGTGTCCAGGCTGAGAGCCTCTGCAGACAGCTGGAAACTCTAAGGGCAGCAGACAGTATGTGTCCCCTTACTGAGGAGGGTCTCAGTAAGGTAAGCCATCATTGTACCCAGGAGTCTCTGAAAAACTGATGCAACCAAATCAGAAATATAAAAAGGGGACCTGGAAGGGGAAGCTACCAACCCCAGTACCTTCAACAGGAATCGCCACGTGGTAGGTCCCAGATGACTGTCCACCACTCTCTTCCTTCTGGGAGAAGTTTGCATTGAGTCCTGCCACCTCCAAGGTCACCTCCTCCAGGGTACCACGAGCCACTGAGACATTGACCAACAGGTCGCACCCAAGCTCCACATGGTCAGAAGCCCAGGAGGCCTGCAGCCCTGACAGCAGCTCCAGGAAGTGGACCGTGATGTTTCCGGAGGGGGCGGAGGCGGTACTGTTGCCAACAGCTCGGATGTTCAGGTGGTGCCTCCCAGGGCCCAGCAGCTCCTGGGTTTCTCTGTCCAGAGTCAGACTGTAGGGTCTCAAGCCATGCTCGGTGGTGAATTCAGCCAGAGTTATATTACCCGAAAGCACAGCGTAAGTCACCCCGGCTCCTAGGTGGGGTAAGGGAAATTTAGGAAGCCTGTTACCAACCATGCAGCCTAGCATTCTAAGATAGTTCAGACTGAGCTCTGATGTCAAATTCTGGGGTAGACATAAAGATATGGGTCCAAATAAATACCTCAGGATGGACCCCCCCACACCCTAAATGCTGACTGTAATTATTCTGAATATTGACATAATAAGCGATTTTCTATTTTCTTTCTGGGTCCTCTCTATTTTTTGTTTGTTTGTTTTATTTTACTTTTATTTAATTTTTTTTCGAAACAAGATTTCTCTGCATAGCCCTGGCTATCCCGGAACTCCCTCTGTAGAGCAGGCTGGTCCTGAACCCCGTGCCCCCCCCCCCCCCCCCCCCGTACCTCCTCCTCCTGGGATTCAAGGCGTGATCCACCACCACCCAGCTCTGCTCAGTTTTAGTTTGTTTGTTTGTTTGTTTGTTTTTGAGACAGGGTCTAATTTAGTCCAGGCTGGCATTGACCTCACCATGTAGCAGAAGCTGGCCTTGAATGCTTGATTTTCCCGTCTGAGTCTGAACCTCTCTAATGTTAGGATTACAGGCAAGCACCACCATGTCCAGTTTATATGATGCTGGACATCAAACCCAGGGTTTCTGAACTGGCAAGTATTCTACCGAGTGAGCTGCAGCCCCAGACCCCTCATTATTTATTTATACCCTTGAACCTAGAAGTTTATAACAAATGCTTAGGACATCTTGATGATAGGGGCACTCCTGGGTCTGAAAAAGAGACATCTCTGGACAGACATTGGGATTTTGATGCATGAGAATGAACCTCAAATCTTGTCAGCCAAAGCATGTGGAAGGGTATCCTTCAATATCCACTGATGACCTCCTGGGACCGATCACTATGGAACTCAACCTGTTCTCCACGAAGTGAGACCTTCCTTACAGCCTGCAGATGATTGTCCTAGTTAAGATGCCAAATATTATTGTTGGCTGATAATGTGATATATGCAACCAAATGGTATTCTTTCCAGTAGATGCCATGCCAAATACATTTCTTGTTTGGATGATGATTGAAAAAAAGTGGGGGAGGAAGAGGAAGAGAAGAAGGAAGAGGAAGTACTTACTGGTGGTGGTAATGATGGTGATAATGATGGTGGTGATGATCATTTGTTGATGGTGGTTATGGTAGTTTGAATGTAATTGGACCCCTTAAGTTCATATGGAGTGGCACTATTAGGAGGTTGTGGCTTTGTTGGAGTGGGTATGGCCTTGTTGGAGGAAGTGCATCATTGTGGAGGTGGGCTTTGGGGTTCCCTATGCTCAAGATAACGCCCAGTGTCTCAGTCAACGTCCTGTTGCCTGAAAGATGTAAGATTCACAGCTACTTCCCCAACACCATGTCTGCCTGCACATTGCCATGCTCCCCACGATGATCATAATGAACTGAACCTCTGAAACTGTAAGTGATCCCCCAGTTAAATGTTTTACTTTATAAGAGTGGCCATGGTCATGGTGTCTCTTCACAGCAATAGAAACCCTAACTAAAGCAGTGGTGATAATAATGGTGATGATCATTTGGTGTTGGTGGTGATAATATAAAGTCCTATAGGAGCAGGACCCTTAACTTTCATGTGTACTCCTGCCTCCCCCACACTGGGCAAAGACCTTGTACACAATTATATTTTTAGGGTGACTAAATAAATCAATGAAAGATTATTTAATTTACCCCAGGCACATATATCAGCCTTCATTAGGCAATAGACACACAAGAGCAGAAAGGAATCTCATGAGTGCTGTGTCAGAACCAATCATAATCCCATTAAGTCTCTGTCCAAGTGAAGGCGGTCATACTGAGTTAGATCCTTCCTCATCTGATGATCATTACCACTACCATCACCATCACCACCACCATCATCATCATCACCGTCATCATCATTATTATCATCATCATCATTATCATCATCACCATCATCATCATTATCACCATCATCATCATCACCGTCATCATCATTATTATCATCATCATCATTATCATCATCACCATCACCACCACCATCATCATCACCATCATCATCATTATCATCACCATCATCATCTTAGCTTGGTACTGCATAATTTATGTCAACAGGGCTCAGTTCAGATCTCTAACTGGACTGTGCTTGTGAGAAAATGCTGCTGTGGGTAAGGCAGGAGGTCTCTGTGGACAGAAGAGGCCCTACTGAAAATATCGATGGAAACCATCCAAGTCCCTGCCAGTTAGGATGGATGTGCTGAGGAAGAGTGGATACCGTGGCAAACTAGAGCGATTTCTGTAATAATTAGAATGGATGCTGGGACCAATCAGTGTGGGAACCTTGACTAATCAAAGTAGATGTTGGAACCCATCAAAATGGCCTCTGGAGTAATTAGAAGACACTGTGTCCAATCAGAGCGTACCCTAGCCAGAACTGTTGAAAGGCTTATATCAGTGTGTACAGCTGAATATTGCCAGGCCTCCTGGCCGAAGGATGGTGCCACACTCATTGCTAGCATTGCCTGTGGGAGATGGGCTTGGGCCCAGCTGGCAGCCCTCCCAGTGTTACGTCTTCCTTGAAATCCCCCCAGAGGGGATGTGGACATGCAGAAAGAGCCTTGAGAAGGTAGAGGTTCTCACTGGCTCACTAACCGTCTGACCTGGGGCAAATTAACACGGAGTCTATCCTGAGTGGGCCACCACAGGTCAAGCACTTAGAGCAGTGAAGACACCATGGGTGTTAAATATACGAACAGACGGCAGCTAAGACACTGAAGCCTCGAGTTAGCTAGACAGATTTGGAGGAGGCCGATCCTCCCGTTTGCCTCAACTGGCTCCATCCTGCAGACTCACCTCCCTCCAGATCCACCTGAATCCACAGAGGTTCCCCAAAGACTGCCTGACAGAGAAGGCTGGCTCCAGATCCAGAGCGGCCAGCACACCCAGTGATATGGGGCGTCTCCATCTTGTCTCGCAGCGTCACTTGTTTCTGAGCGGTCACGTGCCACTCACTGGTAGTACACTCAGCGAACACGGTGAACTCCCCAGGAGAGGTGAACTGGTGGGTCACGTTGCTGGACACACTGTGAGGGGCAAGGGGAACACAAGCTTCAGCGGTCACACACGGACTCACAACCCCCATGCTCTGCAAGGACAAGTTGGGGGGTGTTGGGAGTGTTGCTGGGACGGGGGGTGGAGGGGAGGGCTTGCCTAGCATGCATGAAGCTCTGAGTTTGATCTCCAGCACTCCATTAACTGGGTGTGATGATGCACATTTGTGGTCCCAGAACCCAGCAAGGGGAGGCAGAAGATCAGAAGTTCAAGGCCATCCTCCGCTACATAGTGATTTTGAGACCAGCCTCAACTGACACCCTGCTTTCTGTGTCAAGAGAAATCACACTGTGACAACTCAGCAGCACCTCAGAAATAGAAATAGCATTGATCAGTCTTGGAAAATGTCAGCTGCCGTTCCTTTGAAAACAGTTACTTATTTTATCATGTATTTGTGTGTGTGTGTGTGTGTGTGTGTGTGTGTGTGTGTGTGTGTGTGTGTGCTCACCTGTGTGTACATGTGTGTGGAGGCTAGGGGTCAACCTTGGGTGATGTTCTTCAGGAGTCCAGTGAGTTCCAGGGATCTCTTGTCTCAGCTGCCCCAGTCGTGGGATTACAAGTGCATGCCATCATGCCTGTCATTTTGTGTGGATGCTAGGGATCAAACTCAGGTCCTCATGCTTATATTGCAAGATCTTTACTGGCTGAGCTATCTCCCCAGACTCTGCAAGTCCTTTCAGCCTCCATCTCCTAGGAGCAGTTTCCTCAGACAGGAAAGCTTTAATGGCTCTTCCTGACTGGGGCACTGTTGAGCTTTCCAGGATCTCTCAGCTTCCCTCATATCCCTGAGCACCAGGGAGCGGTTTGCAGGGTATGAACTGTTTCTTCAGGGCCCTTTCACTACATCAGAGTTTCTCAATCTGTGGATTGAGACCCCTTTGGAGTCGAACACTCCTTTCATAGGGATGGATCTGCTAAGACCATTGGAAAACACAGATACTTACATAACAATTCACAGTGGTAACAAAATTACAGTTATGAAGTCTCAATGAAAAAGTTTTATGGTTGGGGGTCACCACGACATGAGGAACTGTATTAAAGGGTCGCAGCATTAGGAAGGTTGAGAACCACCGCTCTAGATCTTCCACTTCTACACCCGAACCCAAAAGACGGCAGCTTTTGGAGCGCTCTCCATGCTATCAACTTCCTCTGGGCCTCCCTGTGCCCTGTGTGCTCTGGTTACCTTGTGTTTTAGCATTTTCTCAACAAGATTGTTACCCAAAGGCACCCTAGGTATAGAGGCAGCCCCCCATGGGCACAGAAAAACAGTCAATCCCCAGTTGCACCAGTAGGGGGCACATGATTATTCAATTCTGGGTTTGGACAAAGTTAGTCTTAAATAAATGGTCCCATAAGAACCATAATACAATCTCAGATATGAGGAGATTTTCTAGGACAGAGATGTAGGAACAAGGACATCAAATGCAAGGCAAAAAGGGTGCTTCCAACGGAGAAGCCTCTGGTTTATTAGTCTGGCTCTGTACGAGGCAGGATTCTCCCTTCAGCTCGTGTCGGTATCCATGATAGGGGAATGGGGTCCGGTTTTAAAGTTTATGCCTCTTAGACTAACAGGCAGCGAGGCACAACTAGGAGTCTTAGTTCAGCTGTAGAGCTCTAACTTAGCATGTGTGAGACCCTGGGTTCAAGCCCCAGCATTGCAAAAAAAACAAACAAACAAACAAATGGAGGGTGTATGTGGGTGGTACAGCAGCTCATACCTGTAATCCAAGCACTTGGTATGAGGCAAAAGGATCAGAAGTTCAAGGCCAGCCTAGGATGCCTAGTGAATACAGAATGAGGATCTATCCTGAAGGGAAACTACGGCAAGATGGCTCAGGGTAAGGGCTCTTGCTGTCAAGACTGGTGATCTGAGTGCCAGCCTCAGAAGCCACATGGTGGAGGGAGACATCCAAGTCCTCAAACCTGTCTCCTGGCCTCCACACATGCATGTGGCACAAGAAAAAAGAAGAAATAAAAATGAAGGGCGAAATGGAGGGAGGGAGGGAGGGAGGAAGGAAGGAAGGAAGGAAGAGGGGGTGGGAAGGAGAGGAAGAGGGGAGGCAAGCACAATGGTGTTTGCACAGTATAGCTTCTGTGTAATTAAAAAAACTCATGTCGTTATCCATACTGCGAGCCGGGTGCTAGCGCTGCTGGCAAAACCGAGAAAGTGTGAGAAGGGGCCGTCCTCGTATGAACAAAAATGACTGAACAGCCTGGATAATTTCAAGTTCCGACGGATCGTTAAAGCATATGAAATTGGATCACTCAATTGGGGTGATGGCGTTGGGACATGCTGCCATCTATTTCTCTTAAAAGTGACTTTTGCTCAGAGCTGCTGCCCAGACAGGTGTCAGGGAGAAAGCACTGATTATGTGCCAGATTGGTTTATGGGCATGTGCACACGTACACACAAAGATGTACACACACATGCACACACACATACATGTGTATGTGTATGTAGAGGTAAGGGGAAAACCTCAGATGCCATTCTTCAGGTCTTATCCACTTATTTTTTGAGACAGGGTCTCTCATTAACCTAGAACTCACCCAGGAGGCTCAGAGGGTCTTCCTGGGTCTGCTTCTGCAGCCCTGCCCTAGGGTGACAGGGTAGACCACTATGCCTGGCTGGGTGTGGGTTTGGGGTTTTTACATGGGTGCCAGAGAACCACACTCAGGTCCTTTACCACTGAGCTCTCCCCAACCCTATCATCTTGTGTTCATGGACAAAGCCATTGAGGCCTGGAGAGGTAGGACATAGCCCGAGGCACAGGGACTGGGGGGTGGCTGAACTGTGATGCAAACCAGGACTGTGTGACCAAGCTCAGTGATCAGAGGGAGGTGAGGATGGCACAGAATGCCGGGATGGAGCCGGAGCACACTGTACCTGGCAGCATCCTACAGCCAAGCTATCACACTGGTCTGACAAAAAAAAAGGTTCGACATCACTCATAACACTTGATTCTCAGTTCTGCCACCCCCTTGTCACACATGGGATCGAGCCCAGGCCGGCCTTGAGATGATGACTGGCACGTGCCTTCAGCAGACCTTCAGTTGACCATGGGGCAGGTGATCTCGAGAGTACAGCCTTCCTTGGTCAGTCACCACCCGCAGGGTAAGCCCAGCCGGGAAATCCACCCCGCCTTCCCCAGGACCATGAGAAACGAAAAGGGTGGTTCCAGTCCTTAGGCTTGGGGGTGGCTTGGGGTGCCACAAGAGCTGACCAATACAACCTTCACCGAGGGTCAGAGGTCACTCTTACCTGGAAGGGTAGTAAGGGTCAAAAGTGTGGCCATCCCCCATGCTGAGGACGCAGGACAAGTTTCCAGTGTAGGGAGAAAGGAGCCACGTCAGGGAGACGGTGACGTTGTCCAAGACGAAGCTCCCATTGGGCACCACCAGCCGCAGGCCTGCAGACCCAAGCACGACGTAATGTGAATTTGTGAACCAAAGGTGCGGGTTCCTGCTTAAGACTCACCTCCTTCCACCCATGTGGCCATTAATTTATATGAGGCATTTATTTTATAATTTTATTTTACTTTGAGACAGAGTCTCTTCACATAGCCCTAGCTGACCTGGAACTCACTCTGTAGACCAGGCTGGCCTCAAACTCACAGAGACCCACCTGCCTCTGCCTCCTGATTATTTTTACTTTTGAAAGATTTATTTATCTGCTTGTTTGTTTGATGTGTATGTATGTGTGTGTATATGCATGCACCCATGCCTGCATACACAAGCCTGTATGTTCATGTATGTGAAGGTTATAGCACAGCTTGCAAGAGTCAGTTCTCTCTTTTCACCATGTGAGCTTCAGGGTCAAGTTCAGGTCACCAGGCTGCAAGAGCCTCCGCTGCTGCGCCATCTCTCTGGCCTTTTAAATTCTTTATATATATTTTTTAAATTTTATTTTGGAGACAGGAGATACACACACACACACACACACACACACACACACACACACACACACACACACACACACACATATCCCAGCCCTCAAAAACAGTATGTAGTTGTGGATGACCTTGAAATTCTGATCCTCCTGGATGCCAAAATTACAAGCCTGCACCGCCATGCCTGGTTATACATGGTGTTGGGGATCAAACCCAGGGCCTCTCACATACGAGGCAAACGCTCCACCAACCGAGTGACAGCCCTCAGGCCCTGGAAGCACACACAGCCCTCAGTGGCAGCCGTTGTCACCACAGTCCTGGGTTGCCTTGTCGAGAGAGCTGCAGGCACACAAGCACACACAAACAGGCACGCTCCTTTATTTGCACAGAAGGCACAGGCTGTTTCCTATCCAGCACCTGGCACTTGGTAACCGAATGTATCAGAGATTGGGGTGCGTGACAGTCCTAGAGCTGGGCTTTCCTTTTTATTTATCTATCTATTTATTTATTTATTTATTTATTTATTTATTTATTTATTTATTTATTTTTTAACAAGAGATCTTTTTTTTTTAATTTTATTTATTATGTGTACAGTGTTCTGTCTGCACATATGCCTATAAGCCAGAAGAGGGCGCCAGATCTCATTATAGATGGGTGTGAGCCACCATGTGGCTGCTCGGAATTGAACTCAGGACCTCTGGAAGAACAGCCAGTGCTCTTAACCTCTGAGCCATCTCTCCAGCCCTGGGCTTTCCTTTTTAACAGCTGCATAATGCACCCTAATTTATTCAAGCAGGACACCAATGTTCCAGATCTATTTTATGATAGCGAAAACCAGTAAAGCAAAACACTCCTGTAAGAAAATCTACTTGGCTAAGGTGGCAGATGGGTCGCTGTAAGCCACTTCGTATTAAACTTTATAAGGCTTGGCCTTCAAAAGCTGGGGTGGGGTGGGTGGGGTGAGAGAATTAGCTGGGGCTCCACACAGCCCTATGCTAACCTGTGCACTGCAGCCTTCCGGTGCCCGGACACTAAACTGTGAGCGGGAAGACTCTGGAGAGGGGCAGAAAGCCACCGGAGTCTCGCCCTCAGCTGTGAGGGGTGCTCAGGGTGCAGTGGGGGTGCTCAGAGTGCAGTTGGGCCTGTAAGGGGTGCTCAGGGTGCAGTTGGGCCTGTAAGGGGTGCTCAGGGTGCAGTTGGGCCTGTAAGGGGTGCTCAGAGTACAGCTGTGACCTGTGAGGGGTGCTCAGAGTACAGTGGGACCTGTGAGGGGGTGCTCAGGGCACAGTGGGACCTGTGAGGGGGTGCTCAGGGTACAGTGGGACCTGTGAGGGGGTGCTCAGGGTACAGCTGGGACCCCTGTGTACAGGAGTGGGGCATTGACTCTGTCTTCGTGAATCAGAGGAGGGCTCTGCTCAGAACACACTGGTTCACAGGGACAGGATGAAACGTGGTCACCACACCCTACACATCTGCCCTAAGCCGAAGACTTCAGTAGCACACTGTGGCTGACAGATCTCCAAAAGACACTTTTTGTCCACTATCAAAACCACCAAACAGAAGGAGGTGCCAAGGCCTACGGCCTGCTCTTCCCCAACAATAGGAGAGGCAGAATCACTCTCCATCTTGTTTCATGGGTAAAGCCTGTCAGCTACCAGCCTCCCCTTCTGTACCTGCCCTCCAACAGCCTCCACTCTGCTGTGCTAGACGTCACTGGAACCCTGCCTGCTCTGACTCATCTTTTCCCTCAGGTCCCTGTTGCTCATGCCCCGGGCAGAAGTTGCTTTTCTGAGTGATTTGTCACAGGGTGGCACAATGCAGTGTCTCACCCTGAAGGGAAATTGGCATACTCATCCTTCTTTGTAGGAAAGTGAATTAATGCATCTCTTTGGGAGGGTAATTTAGTGCTGTCTACCGGCTCTTAAAAATGCACTTAGCATTCCAATTACAAGCAATGTCTTTTCTGAAAATGATCCCAGGTTTACGTCAAGACAAACATGCACAGTGGCAGTAGCCTGCACAACACCATCTGAGCAGCATTCAGTCATAGGATGCGGAGAGTCTCATGGGACCCCAACCTTTACTAGGGAGCCGTGGGCAGTGGAAGGCTGCTGAGTGAGGGGAATCACTGTCTCCCGTGTGGGATAGACAGACAGTGGCACAGCCACGCTCACACCCAAGGCCCTGGTTAAACTCAGTGGGTCACAAAACCAAGCCAACCCTTCCTCCAAAATGTCAAGGCATGAACATGGAGGAGGATTTGTTGAGAGGAAAAAGAGGGTGGGAAAGAGTGGGAGGGAGATAAAAGAGAATGAGAGTGAGTGTGAACAGAATGAAATTAAGGATTTCTTAAAAAGAGGAGTGCACCAGGGAGGACTTTTCAGTGTGACAGGAAACAGAGAAAAGCTGGGAGAGGCCTCCGTGTCCATCCGTAAGGGAGCTCTGACACGATCAAAGGCTGGAATAGCGCGCAGCCGTTCACAGTGTAAGGAAGTGACTTAGAGATGTGTCTGGGATATATCATAAAATGAAAACAAATCCAGGCGGTGGTGGTGCACAGCTTTGATCCCAGCACTGGGGAGGCAGGGACAGGCAGATCTCTGTGAGTTCAAGGCCAGCCTGGTCTACAGAGCAAGTTCCAGGAAATAAAATGAAAAAAGTCAAGTCATAGATAAATGTGCTATATGATTACATTTTAGTTCAAAAATGCATATCTATTCACTCATGGTCGTGTCTGCAAACATCTTTAAAAGTAGAGAAAAAAATCTTCTCAATAATTAATAGCATTTCCTTAGGAGGAATAGGGCTTTCAAGTTGAAGGGTAAGATTTTTCCCTTCATTATAAATTTTCTTTACAAATTATGATAATGTGGGTTATTTCATGACTTTTAAGATTTTAATTTTAGGGCTGGAGAGATGGCTCAGTGGTTAGGAGCTCTTGTTGCTCTTATAGAGGACCTGGGTTTGTTTTCCAGCTCTTAATGGTGGCTCACAGCATCTGGAACTGCCATTCCATGTGATCCATCACCCTCTTCTGACCTCTGCAGGCACTACACGCATGTGACACACATACATACATGTGGGCAAAACATTCATACACATAAAATAAAAATCATTTTTCAAAAACTCTATTTTAAAAGAAAGTGTGTGTGTGTGTGTGTGTGTGTGTGTGTGTGTGTGTGTGTGTGTGTGTTTTCCAAGACCAAGGGAGCAGGCCAGGAGGCAGGAACATCTGGTTACACACAGGGAAGTTATTGTAGGGACGTTCTCTGCACACAGCCGATCTGTCACATGGGGAGGGGAGTTCCAGGCTGGCATGCAGCGGAAATAAGGAGGAAGTTCCCATGCCCACCCAGCTGGAGACTCACCTTCCAGACACTGGTACTGGACCCACAGGTAGCTGCTCCTGGTCGGGCACGGATCTCCAAAGTAGGTCCCATCTGCTGCTACCTGGCATGCCTGCAGCCCCTGGCACTGGCCTGGGAGACATCCACGTTGCACGGAGATGGGAAGGGTGTTGGAGACAAGAGGACACAAACTCAGCAAAGCATCACAGACGTGTTACTCAGTTACTCACCACATGATCACCCAATGCCCGTGGTCACCTCCAGGCCCTGGGCTAGAGCTAAGAGGACAGGAAAGCCACCTGTGTTTTCTCTAAGCTGTGACATATTTAAATGTCTGTGTGGTTGTTTAGCCAGCAAGACACACTACCCACCCGCCCCCAGTCTCCAGAAACTATCCTGGGCAGGGGTTCCTCCTTTCTTCACTATTTGAACCATGGGGTTCAAAGCAGCCAAGGGGGCGTGATTCTCTGCTCTACAGCTTGTAGAAACGGAAATAGAGAGTGATGGCCCCATAAGCCAAGGACACCAAGGAATACCAGAAAACAGCTACAGGAGCCTGGGAAGGCTTCTCTCGCGCGGCTTTCAGAGGGGCATGGTATCTTGATCTTGGGTTCTGACCTCCATAATTATTAGAGAATAAATGTCTGTTATTTGACACCCCCCATTTGAGGTCTCAGCTTTGACATGTCTGCGACACTGCTCTCCCTCTTCTTTCCCCACGTGGGGCCCTTCCTCTCTTATCCTCTCCTTCAGCCTTGTGTACCTCAGGACACAGAGTGGTCCGAGGCCGAAATGTCACAGCATCCTGAACTCCCACCAGTGAGCAATACCACCAGGCTGGCTTCTGTGTCTAGACTCTCTCCAGTTCGCAAACACCACTGTGCTGCCTGCATGCCCCACCTAGGTTTTAGATAATCAGCCTCCCTGTTTGTCTTCTAGCACACACAGGTGCTCACAGCGGCTTGGGGGGGCTTTAAAACCAGCTTCCAGGCTCCCCCTGCCCAACAGCCTCCATCCATTCCTAGCTGTGGGGTGGGGGGGTGGGGGGGTGGGGGGGGACAGGGGGACAGAGGTCCTGGCTCTTTGGATGAATCTCCTGTCTCCCTGTGTGCTGGAAGCATACCACACATTCTGAAGTTCCCTGAACCACCAAATTCCTTCTTCCTGTCAGACTCCACACACTCCCTTCCTGCTTCCCCAGCCACCCACCTGTGCTTTTCTGGGTCTTACCTCTCACCTGCTCTGGGGAGTCAACCAGTCAATAGGCCCTTGTTCTCGCCCACATGTCTCCTCACCCGACTCTGTTGCACATTACAACCAATCTCATTTCCTAGACTCCCGAGTTCAAGCACATGTGGAGGACATATGTTCCTCTCCAGCTGCTCAAACAGTGGCTCAAAACAACACAGGCTCTTGTGTCTCCGTTCTAAAGGTCAGAAAGCTGGGTGGGCTGGACTGGGCTGCTTTCCCTTCTTGGGGCCCTGGGAAAGACTACAGCCAATACCATTCCTGAGGCAGAGTCCAGTCCTCAGATGCTCAGTTTCTTTCATCCTTGAATGAGGCCTTTCCAAGCCACCACAGCGCATGTGCCCTGCTCCTACCTGGAACCTCACTGGCTTCTCCCCCCAACCCCCTCCCTGCCCTCCCCGGCTCGCCCCCCCCCCCCCCCCCCCCCCCCCCGCTCTCTTCAGTTTCCATCCAGAGATAGAGGGTCTTGTGTGTTTACACTGTTCTCAACTGGACAGTCCTGGAGAACCTCTCCATCCTCAAGTCAGGTGACTGGTGACCTTAAGTACATCTGCAAAGTTCCTGTGCCTCATGGGTGGCTTTCTGAGTCCTGGCACATCACACCCACTGTCCTGGGGATTAGGGAGATGTAAGAAGCAGTCTGGTTTCTCAGAACTTCCAGGACTTTGGAAAACAGCTCCCTGGATTAAAACCCTCTGTTGAATGACCTAACATGATTGATTGATTGATTGATTGATGATTGATTGATTTCCTCCCCTCCCTTTCCTTCTTTCTCTTCCCTTTTCTCCCCCTCCACTCCCTTCCCCTCCTCTCCCTTCCTCCTCTCATCCTTCCTTCCTTTCTTTCTATGCTTTTCTTTTTTTGAGACAGGGTCTTACTAGGAAAACCTTAACTGGACCAGAACTCTCTGTGTAGAGCAGGCTGGCCTTGAACTCACAGAGATCCACCTGCCTCTACCTTCCAAGAGCTGAGGTTAAAGGGGTGCACTGCCACATCTGACTGATTAATGTTTTTTGAGGGGGCATGGGTGGAGTTTCACTTTGCTGTTTAGGTTGACCTTAATCTTTGACCTCAAACAATTCTCTTGTCTCCACTTCCTGAGTTGCTGGGACAGTTGGTAGAGGCCACAGCATCCGACTCAAAATTTAAGTCTTGGTTCTTTGAATTGTGACTTGTGAGGTGGAGGAGGGGGACTGTGGAAGATGTTTCTGATCATTAAACCTAAGGTCTCCCACACGCCAGGCTGCACTGAGCTTGCCCCTAGCTCTCAGCATAATTCCCAATGAGGCCTAGTTGGTGATGTCCCTCTGTCTGGTTACATACTCCTGCGAGCACCCATAGCCCCAGACGGTAGTCTCTAAAGGCCTGGGGACTAGTTTAAATGTTCTGTGCACTGCTGGGTCCTCCACACACGGCTGGCCCGTGGCGGATATAAAGCACATTTTACATGAGTCAATGCATAGTGTGCCTTTTGCTCCCTTGCAGGGAAGCATTTATCTGCCTCCCTGCTGGACTCTGAGCTCTTTGAAAGCAGACAGTTTGATTCATCCTATCTCTACAGAGCCCAGGGTAGTGCACAGCACTATTGGTCCTCAATAAATGTTTATTGGCCACTGGATGATTAAGTGATCGGGCACTTAAATACAATCAGATGTTGGGGCCCTGCTAGGTTCTCTCACCCTCCCCAGTAGGGTCCAAGTCTCCCTTCCAATGTGCTCTCTGGGGTGTGGTGGCCATGTTTCCACAACTTACAGCTGAACCTTTGGGGAAGCAGCCTGACCAGCTCGTGTACCGTGGGGAGGAAGCCTCCCTCGGCCTGTCCAGCTGGGCCCCTTCCATCTTGGAGGACACAGCCCAGGAGCGCTGGAACTCACAAGAGAGTTGTTGAGAATGACAACTGATTTCAGTATTTTCTATCACGTGGACAACAACATGGTGGATATGTAGGGGAAAGAGAGTGGAGCCAAGGGGAATTCCGAGGGAGAAGAGACACGATCTCCCCAGAAGGAGGAGGCTCAGGGAGAACTCTGCACCCCACAATCATCACAGGTCTTTGGTTAGAGACGAAGCCTCAGAGGAAAAATGCTAGCAGGCAAACCTGGAGAGGGTGAGCCCATGGCTCCAGGGCTCCCAGGCTGGCCACACACTGATGTGTCCTCATTAGCTGAGGAGTTAAGACTGCCTGCCTTCCCAGGTCTCTGGTGTCTGGACAGTGGTCACTGCCAACAGATTCCCTGGATAAAGGAAGGGTCTGCAGACCTCACAAGGAAACCTGGGGAAGCCCTGGGAAGCCCCGAAACTGAGTCCTTTGATGGAGCAAGTACGGATCAGAGGAGATTTCATCTGATTTGGGACAGGGAAGGGGGAAGCCCTAGAGAAACTGCCACATACACAGGAGATGGCATCAGAAATGTCTGCTCTAAGGACTGGGGAGATGACCCAGTCAGCAAAGTGCCCACTGTGCCAACACAAGGACCCTAGTTCGGCCCCCAGAACCTACATACAAAAGCAGCGTGTAGTGGTACAAATTTATAGTCCTGGCACTGGGGACATGGAGACAGGCAGGTCCCTGGGGATCACTGGCTAGCCAGCCTGGTCTAACCTAGTGTGAGTTCCAGTCCAGTGAGATAACCTGTCTCAAGAGAAACAAGGTAGATGAACCCAGAGAAATGACGCCTAAGGTCATCCTCTGACCTACACACACGGGTGGGGGTGAGGCAAGGAGAAGAGGAAGAGCAGTATAAAAGACAAACTAAATAAGCTAGAACAACACGAACCAAGAGAGAGCACACATCTCGAAAAACAAAACAATGTTAAGCGTAACGCTGCAAAAAGCTAACAGTTAAAAAAAAAAACATGCTGCAGAATGACACACAGAAGACAACATTGTTTACATAACCAAGATGACACAGGCTTAGGGATGTGCAGGAAGGAGGCAGGACCGAGGACCAGGCGTATGATTAGTAAACACCGAATTCCCAGCGGCAGCAGGACCGGGACGCCATGCGAGAGCCCTATGCTGAATTCTTTATGGATAAATCTTCAGCTGATCCTACGATGTTACGTGGTTTTAAGATCTGACGAAGGTGGGCAGTGGCTCCCTGGGAGCCTCTCACGGCATTCTTTATTCTTTGCTTGTTTACTTGCTTGAAACAAGGTCTCACGTAGCCCAGGCTGGCACCAAACTTGCTAGGTAGCTAAGGGATGACCTTGAATTCCCAATCCTCTTTCCTTGATATCCCAACTGCAAGGATTACAGGCATAAACCACACAATCTAGCTCTCTTTACTCTTGCCTGCGGGTTTGAAATGTTTCGTAATTTCAAAAATTGGGTTAACTAAGTTGATATTCTCTACACCCAGGAAGGGTAGGGGATCAGAAGCCTTCCTGCCCCAGGAACTGGGTTTGATGACCATGGTGCGCCTGCCTCAATGTCCCGTTCAAGATCTTGGCACTGTGGACAGAGACTGCCTGGCTTCCCCACATAAAGTAGGCCCAGGTCATAGCTGAAGAATATCAGAATCTTTCAGGACCCTACGATGTGTCTAGAAGACCAGCAACCTCTGCTTCAGGCAGAACTGTGGAGCACTGGGGTCCTACCTGCCACCTCATCCTTGACGCTGACCCAGCCACATTCCCCCTCCAGATCTGAGGGAGGCCAGATGCCCTGGGTGCAAAAATAGGGGGTCTGGCGCCCATAGAAAGCCTCCTGGACCTGGATGACCTCTCCCGAGCCACAGTGCATGGTGGCGTTGTGGCCCTCACAGGCCAGGCTGCGGCCGACCCCTGCAACAAAGGGAAAGTGACAGCTTAGGAATACACAGCTGGGTAAGTGCTGAGCCAGGACTGTGAGATACAAGGACGGGGTGGGAGTGGGGCCGGCTGGAGAGGAGGGGAGACCTGGAGAGATAGAGGGAACGGTCCAGGCAGAGATGGGGGGCGGGGGCAGGGGGCAGAGAGACCCAGAGATGGAAAGGGAGAAAGTCCCAAACAAACAAGGTGGTGACAGAGGAGGTCTGAACAGGAGGCCGAGAGGTTCAGAGAGGCAACACTGAAGAGAGGGGAAAGACAGACACACAGAGACACACAAGGGAGAGAATGAGTTAGGAGGACGAAGGGCCACACGAAACTTAGAGAGATGGGGGTCGATAAAGAGAGAAGGGTAGAGAGCTGGGGATGAAGGGGGGAGAAGAAGGCAGGCGGGAAGGGAGGAAAGCAGACCGGCAGGGAGAAAGGGAGGGACAGGGAGAGGGCCCCGCAGGACCAGCTCACCGAACTCGCAGATGAAGGCAAAGGCCTGGGTGCAGTCCCCCAAGGCAGCCCACTGAGACGCAGGGCCACTCCTGATGTAGCCACAGGTCCCCGGGGCGGGTGTGACCTGCCCTCCATGCCAGTTGCTATAGTTCACATTTGTAGTGTCGAGCCAGGTCCCAGAGCCTGGATCGGAAACAAATGCAGCAGGGCTTGGAAGGCGTCCCCCCTCATCCTCCCTTATGTGAAGGGCTTGCCCTAACTCAACGCCTAGTATGCCATTGGTGCTCAATCAATGCTTCTCTTTCATACACCAGAGAATGGGTGTGTCCTCATCATTAGTTTCAAACATTCAGACATAACTAGACACCCATAATGAAAGCCCGTAAAAGTTGCTGCTACCCAGGCGTGGCAAAATGCAGAGCCCAGAGCGTGCCATGATGTTCACAGGTAGATGACTCCTGAGCAGGGTGTCTGCAGATGTGTCTGGGCATGGGTTGAGTTCACACAGAAATGGTTTGCATTGCTTCAGAAGTTTCTAGAGCCTTGAGAAGATGGCTGGAACTATTCGGGTGTGAGACTCGGCAACCTTCCGGGGAAGATTTCCCCTCAGAATGAACAGAGGCACATCTGTATCCCCCTTAGGCTCCCTGGGCTTCTGCCATGCCCCAGAGAGCATGGACCCCAGAACAAGAAGAGTACAAGCATGTTTTTAGATCGTCTCTCTGCTAGTGACTGTACATGAATTATTTTACCTGATCCACCCAACAGCTAAAGAGGAGGGTCTCCTTACCATGAAAATTAGGACATGTTCATTTGCCCCAGGGAGTTCTGGGTCAGAAGCAGCGGTAAGAATTTTTAGCACAAGCTTCGCATCAGACAAGGCTATGCAACACCTACCTCCCACAGTCTCATTGGGGGCCGAGGTTCCTGTGAGTCCAATCCACCAGTCTCGGTCCTGGGTAATATGCTTCTGCAGGAGCTGCTGGGTGTCTTCATCTCGAATGAAGACCAGATGGCCTCCGTGCCCTTCACACCAGCTCTGGGCACTGTGGAAGGTGTGCCCCAGCGGCACGAACTCGTAGCAAGTGTCTCTGAACAACACTTGGCTCCTTAAGCAGAGGTGGCTTCCTTCTAACTTGGCCCCAGCAGCCCCAGTGCTCAGGGCAAGCCCCAGGAGCATCACACCTGCCATGCTTATCCTAGGACCACGGCCCGGGCTGCAGAATGGAGCGCATTCCTCACGCCTTCATATTCTGCCATCTCCACAAGCACCATCCATCTTCCCGTCCCTCTCTGCACCAAATAATAACTCTCTTTTGTTTATGAGACAAAAGACTCAGGGATGAATGTGTCTGGCTTCACACAACTCTGTTCAATGCCTGTTTGGAAACCCAATTCATATTCGAATTTTTTTCCAGAGAAAGATAAAGTTGCTATGATACATATTTGATAGATTATTTTTACCATTCTTTTTTTTTGCCATTACCTGAGTGCCCAGTGTTTCCAGAAAAGCCACCAGCATGTGGGAGATATGTGATAAAACTGGCATCAAAGTTAGTTATGGGATGGCACACATACAGAGTGGTACCCATGTGCAATCCCATTGTGAGAAATGACATCTGTGCCCAGATGATAAGTGTCTTCCCCTGGTGTGGCCAGAAGCTGATGGGACAAACAGGTCTCCTTCTGACTCACCATGTTATCACTTACACCTCCTGAAGGATAAAACATCCCTACAAAATTTATTTCATGTAATCATATAACCTTTTGTTCAAAACTCAGACCTACCCATCCTCACCCATCACCTAAACCATCTGGTGAGCGTCCAGGATCTGTGGCTAAAATTTGAATGTCTTATCTTTGAACACAAGGCTCTGTTTAGTCCGGCCTCTGACAATATTTCAGTCCTTCCTGTCTACCTACTAACCCTCTACGAATTAATTCAAGACTACTCCCCAAGGCTGGGGAGATGCCTCAGGGAGGGGGTAAGAGCAGCAACACACAAGCCTGAGTTTGATCCCCAGAACCACCTTAATAATCCAGAGGTGGCGCTGTGCATATTTAATCCCAGCGCTCCTACAGCAAGACAGAGGTAGGGACAGGTCAAGAGCAATGTGTGTTCTTAACTGCCAAGCTCTCTCTGCTGCCCCAGCTTTCCTTAAAAAAGACATTTGGTACACCTCTGCTCCCTCCCTCCCTCCTCTGTCTCTCTCTCCCCTCTGTCTCTGTCTCTCTGTCTCTCTGTCTCTGTATCTCTCTCTGTCTCTCTGTCTCTGTCTCTGTCTCTCTCTCTCTGTGTCTCTCTTTCTGTGGTTTCCACCTTTACATAGTTTCAAGGGATCAAACTCAAGCCATCAGGCTTGAGCAGAGAACAGCTTGAACAAGTAGCTCTCTCCTACCACGTGGGCCTTTACGGACTGAACCATTTCTCCAACCTCCCACCCTCTCACAGAACTTGAAGCTCACTGGCTAGACTGGCTGGCCAGTAACCACCCACCCCCACCCCCAGAAATCCTCCTGTCTCCACCTTCCCAGTGCTGGGTTTAACAGACACACATCTCTACCCTCAGCCCTAACATGCTTTGGGGGAATAGACCTCAGGTCCTCATGCTTCTGTGGCAAGTACTTTACCAACTGAGGTGTCTCCCCAGCTGCAATGTAACTATTGCCTTTCATCTCCATTCTCCCTGCCCCACCCCCTGGCAACTACAAACCTGCATTTCTGCCACTAGATTTGCCCGTTCTCAACATTTCATACAAATAGAACCTTCCAGTTCGTCACGTGCTGTGTCTGGCTTCTCTCACTGAGCGTCACGCTCTCTGGGCTCACCCATGTTGTAGTGTGTATGCATAGGCACCTCCACCATTTTGACACTGTCACGTGACTCTGTAGTCTACAACGTTCACACTCAGGTGGGGATGTAGAAGGCTTGCTTGCCTAGAAAGTAGAAGGCCCTGAGTTCCATCTCCAATACCGTAAAAACAGACGCAAAAAAAAAAAAAAAAAAACAACAAAGTTCACACTAAGGAACTTCCTAAGTGTGTCACAAAAATATTGCAAAAAGAAAAACCATACAATACTTTAAGCAAAATTATATTGCTTTAGATTTATGTATTTTTAATTTTATATTTATTTATTATTTACTTTGTGTGCATGTATGTGCACATTCATGTGCCACAGCTTGAGTGTGGTGGTCAGGGGACAACTTTGGGGAGCTGGTTCTCTCCTTCAACTATGTGAGTCCCGGGGGGGTGTTGAATTCAGGTTGTCAGGCATGGTGGCAAACTTCCTTATACTGAACCATCTTCCTGACACTAAATTTAGTAGTAGTGGTGGTGGTGGTGGTGGTGGTGGTGGTGGTGGTGGTGGTGGTGGTGGTAGTGGTAGTGGCAGTGGTAATGTGGGGGTTCCCAGGCCACCACATATGTAGGGGTCAGAGGACAACTTTGTGGCATCAGTTCCACCTTTCCATGTGTTCCAGGGATCAAACTCAGGTCATCAGGCTTGAGCAGCAAGCTCCTTTATCTACTGAACCATCTTGCTGGCCCCAAATCTTATGGTTCTATGCTGGGCCACATTCATAGCCATCCTCGGTAGCACACAGCCCAGGCCGCTGCTTGGATACACCTCATCCTGCTCTCCTTTTTAAGTCTCTGCAAGCCTGACAGGGATAGACCTCACCGGCTGCATCTTCAGGTAGAGGAGATTCAAGCTCCAATTCTCTGTGCATTTCCTGGGGCATGGGACAGCGTCTCTTTAACGTCATCTATCCTGTGACTGGCTCATTGGAGGGCTCAGGGGATGTCCACTTGGCCCCAGCTGTCAGTTTCTGGGGCTGATCCTTGCCCTCCACCCCCATTCCTACAAACCTCACAGAGTCCTAGGAGCGGCACTGCCAGATAGATAGAGGAGGGACAGAGTTGGGAACGGGGCAGCATGTGGTGTCACTGCGTGACTCAGAGGCTGGAATTCAGACTGGGCAGAACTGGCCTGTTATCTGCAGAGGCCAAACTTCTGGTGACTTCCATCAGTAAACTATGTAAAAGGCTACACGCAATGATAGTGTATCTCCTGGGGAAAGGCTTAGTTTATACTTCTAATGAGATGTGCTTGGGACTTCAGAGGGCACATGAAAATCTGCAGGCTAAATTCCATCTTCAAATTCTTTGAATTCTGATAGTGTAGGCTGTCAGCCTTGGGGTTCATCTTGGCGGGTTTATCAGCTTTCAATGTCTCTTAGCCTCTGTGTCCGTGAGGTCCACATGTCTGGTAAACCAGGACACAACTGGCCTCCTGTGAGCATATTTCTAGTGACCCGGTCAGCCATCTGAGCCTGTAGGTGGACTCAGCAACATGAAAAAAGAAAGATAGCACGTTTGCTTTAAATGGAGCATTGGGTCCGTACGGAGAACTCTAAAGAGGCATTGGGGAGATGACTTCATGGGTGAAATGCTTTGCCAACAAATGTGAGGGCTGAGCTTGGTTCCTAGCACCTAGGTAAAAAAGACAGGCATGGTGCTATGTAAATATAATCCCAGCCCTGGAGAGATAGAAACAGACACCTGAGACTCACTGGCCAGACAGAATAGACTATTTTTGTGAGCTCCAAGTCAGTGAGAAAACTCTAACCTGGTCTAAAAAGGAAAAAGAAAAGAGGTGGGCAACATCAAAATTGTCCTCTGGCTTCCATATGCATGCACATGAGAATACACAAACACACAAAAAGAACCATTATAATACGTGCACTCCATGGCCCAGTATTTCATTCCCCTGAAGCCAACACAGGTGAGGATTTATTGCAAGCAATCTATGCAGGAGGAGGCCCAGAAACCACTGGCAGACCCTCCACAGACAACTGTTTATTGATCGTAGAATCTCTCAGATTCTTCATCACCCTAAGATGCTGCCTCACAGGGAGAAGGGGAGGGGTCCATGTACATGTTCTCTGGAGGACTGGTGCTACCCAGACACGAGTGTGTGTGTCCCACATTGTGCTCTGCATTTCCATTCAGCATAGTCTGCAAGTCTTCTCTGTGTTGTTAAAGATCATGGTCATGACCAAGCCTCTCTTCTCTCGCTTGTATGTATGGGGTTCTTGTTCACCTGTTCGTTGTTTGGCTTTGCTGTTCAGAAAACACTACCACAAACATCTTGAACGAACCCTTTCACCTGGGAAGATGAATCTCTCAGGCACTGTACAGGGCTCTGTCGGGTCACGCCCTAACTTCATCCTTATGGAGGGCTTCTGCAGACAAACACTGGATTCTTGACCTCCCTCCTCATGTGTGACAGAATGGAAGGACAAGAAGTCAGCATCTCTCAGGAGAACACATGACCAGTCAGAGTTAGCAGACGGTTACCTTGTGTGATGGTTAATAGTGTCAGCTTGACAAGTTCTAGAATCTCCCAGGAGACAAAACTCTGGGTGTGTCTGGGAGAAATTATCTAGATTGGGTTGATTGACAGGGGGAAGACCCACCTTAAATGTCAGCACCATCCCACGGACTGGGGTCCAGGACCAAATAAAAAGGAGAAAGTGAGCTGGGCACCACATTCACCTCTCCCTGCTTCCTGACTGTGGATGCCAAGTCACCAGCGGCCTCATGCCCCTTCAGGCATGACTTCCCCACCAGGGTGGTCTGCACCTTCAAACTGTGAGCTGAAAGGAACACTTCCTTTCCTCAGATATTTTTGTCAGGTACTTCATCACTGCCATGGGGAAGGGAACTGATAACTTGACTCCCTCCAGACTCACGTGAGGCACACTCATGCGCACCTCCAGAGCCTAGGAGCGTATGGGCCTAACAATGTATCCTTGCTATCTCCTTCTTCTTCCTCCTTCTCCTCTTCTTCTTCTTCTTTTGTTTTGTTTTGTTTTTCGAGACAGGGTTTCTCTGTGTAGTTTTGGTGCCTGTCCTGGATCTCGCTCTGTAGACCAGGCTGGCCTTGAACTCACAGAGATCCGCCCTGCTCTGCCTCCCGAGTGCTGGGATTAAAGGCGTGCGCCGCCGCCGCCGCCGCCGCCGCCGCCGCCGCCGCCGCCGCCGCCGCCGCTGCCGCCACCACCACCTGGCTCCTGCCATCTTCTTGTCATTGTTATTTACAGTGTCTTACAGACAGCAACCTCTAAAAGCCATTTATAATGTCACAGTGCCCGCTCTGTCATCGTTTTGTTACTACTGATAATCCCT